GGGAAGAGGAGGATTCTCCCTTCACCTTACGAACAGAACTGCTTTTGTCTGCAGCTCTCGCTCGGAGGCGGTTGTCGAGGGTAGTAGCCCAGTCCATAAGCTCACTGAACGTGGTAGGCTCGAAATGGGCTCGAGCAAGCTCATCCTGAAGTTCTTCAGACATCTTTTCGATAGCCTGGTCGATGAGTGCCTCGCTGTCGATATCCCAACCAAGAATAGAAGTGAGGTGTTGGAACTCGACAAAGAAGGAGTCTGCTGTGCCGGTCTGACGTAACATTCGCAGGCTACGTTTGGCATTTCCCTTCTCGTCGGACGTGCCCCAGTGTCGGCGAAGATGGGAGATGAATGCCGATAGATCTTGAAGGATGAACGGCCGTGGTTCCTGGTTGACGTAAGGCTGTAAGGATGCCCACACAGGACCACGGATATTCGTGAGCATATAGGTGATCTTCTCTTTGTCCGAGACAAAAGAACTCGGATATGTGTCGAAGTAGATGCGGTTATTCGCGATGAAGTACTCGAGCTTTGAGCGATTACCGCTGAAAGGTTCGGGCGCATTGGCTACTTTGACTCGGTCTCGAGTGATGGTTTCTGGCTCGAGAGCTCGTGAGGGGCTTGGAGAATAGGTCGTAGGGGCAGGGGGAGTGGTGGAGGCACGAGCAGTAGTAGCAGCGAGACGCTCGAGAACTTCGAGGGTACGAAGCTGAATCAGCTCCGCAGTAGTTGCCGCCGGAGGGAGGAGAGAAGGGGCAGGAGTTGTCGAAGTAGGTCCCCTGTTACCCGCAGCGTTGTTCGGCTGCCCATTATTAGACGGAAGGTCAGAGCCTGAAGACTCGTCATCGTTGTCGTTTTGGGCAGGGGCTTGGGTGTTGATAGGGTTGGGGTTGGGGTTGGGGTTGGGGTTGCCCTCTTCATTATCAGGTAGTTCCGGCATGGGGGATGGAGGAGGGAGAGGAATGTCGGCAGGTAAGACAGATGTCTGCTCGGTCTCGCCTAGCCCAGAAGACTGAGGAGCATCACCAGTAGAAGCACCACCGGGGCCATCAATTGGACCGGAAATATCTTCTTCCTCCTGGGATGGAGTGAGTAGGGCAGCCCGTCGGCGTGTCCTTAGGGCAGGAGGTTCTTGATTGTTGGTGGACATTGTGATGAGGGGGGAAGGGGGTTGTTGGTTGGGGTAGAGTTGAAAAAGGGGTGGCGACCTCAAGAAGTAAGGTCGATCCACTATACTGTCAGGGGGCTACCTTCCTTAGGCTATGCCTTCAGAGGTCGCCGAGGTGTAGAGACGAAATGGTCTGAGAACTCGAAGTGAGTGGCCAGACCAATGCCGAAGGAAGATAGCGTTTGTGCGAGAGTGTTGAGTGAGAGAGAGAGTGTGTACTAGAGAAGACAACAATAGTGGATCGACGGAGTATCTACTGCTATGGAGACACGTCCTTATATACCCTGGCACCTCAAGTCTGCTTACTCATCGTATCCTCCGTCGAATCCTCTAGAGTCAACTACATCGGCGAACCTGGTGGCGAAAGAATGTTCTCGAAAGTGGTGGAATGGGTTTGCTCTCTCTATCTCCGCGTATTTCCGTTATTGCCCGCAAAGGCTTAGCAAGCATAGAGCTCGAAGGCGGTGCTGGTGCAGCTCGGCCGTGGAGGTAGAACGGATGGATGTTATAGCCAGATGGTGGCAAGATGTGGGGTTGACGCGGACGTCGGAGGTGGAGGTTCGGGTGTTTGGTTCGTTACTTTGGTCAAGTGGCAACAGCCACGTGACAATGCCTCTTGCTCTTCGCGCTGTTTCTTTTCCTGCAGCACGAGCTCCTCTATCATCTTATCAAGAGTCTTTTCCGACTTGTCTCGCTTCTTGATCATCTCCTTTCTGGCGACAACTTCGACCTCTGACCTGGCCATCAAGATAGCCACCATAGCCTCCAATCTCTTTGCCGCTTTCTCCTTCTCCTCGTCATGGTATTCACCCCCGCCTTCCATCCTCTATTTGCGAGTGTCGGTGAAGACCCGTTTGGTGACGTCGAGAAATTGGACAGACAAGGAAAGGAGCTCGGAGGGTGCTTTGACGACCACCTCGTGGTCAAGGCGAAGGTTCATGGCGTTGACGTGGTTGTTCATCCCAACGGTATCTGTATCTGGAGGTTAATCAGTGCTCCCTTTGCTATCGATTGATACTGACATACGAGGGAGAAGGGGAGTGGACCAGGAACAATCGCCGTATTGGGCAGCGTGTTGGAAGGGTCGGGCATGGCGGAAAAAGGTGATGACGAGAGGTGCAGTAGCTATGTAAGCTCCTGGAAGAGAGAGATGAAAGGAACAAAGGAAACGAATGAAAAGGGCGAAAGTGACGGACAGATCGTCAGCCAAAACACGGGGCTCGTAACTACGACCCAAAGAAGCTTCCAGTGTGCCTTGGCTCCTATTTGATCCTCGCAAGTCTTCCCGGACTCCCCTACAGCAGCCGCACCAGCAGCCGCACCACCCCTGCCGAGTCAAGACACTCACTCGGCACCAAGAACCAAAAATGAAGTTGGGTAGATATCTTGTATATGCGCAATGGGTTCAGTCACCGTGAGTGTGCATGTCGAGCACACCAGGGCGCTCTATCAAAGGGCTATGGGACGCTCTTATATCCATGTATTGTACAGATCGGGTCCAAGTGTAAAGTTTCATCAGAAAATCAAGCGACATGCTCACATTTGGTCGTTGATCACCCTAGCCTGCCCCACCAATCGACATCCAGGGTCTTCTCGCTCTCAGCGTCACCTGACAACCTATTCATATTTATTGAACAGCTGGGACTCGAACGTATTGAGCCTCTTCCACAACTCGAACAATCCTCTTTGAGCCCGTTCATGGCTTGTAGAGCTCTGTTCCACCGAGACAAACCCCGCGGGTCTCGGTGGAAGGAGTGAAGTACATGGATTCTTTGGGACCCTTGGGATCTCCTCCACTCCCGTCCCCCAACCTTCTCGGATTCGGCGTCTCAGTCTCCTTCAAAAACTGCGCCAAAAAAAAACCGATACCTTTCCTCCCTGCTTCCAAATGATCTCCAACTCTCTGCTCGCTGCCAAACACGCCCTGATCCCATCTTCTGCTGCTTGCCTCTCAATAGCGGTCTGCTCGACTGTGTATATGCTGACTGGAAGGATGGTCCCCGCTAGCCAAGAGAGAAGTCTGAACGATACGTCGAGGCAGTGTCCAGGTTGGCAGTCTTCTTGTCGACCACGTTGAAGGACCGCTTTGCTGATACTGCAGATGGAAAGTGCCGCGGTAACGCACGAAGTAAGGGAGGAGAGCTGGTCGATAGTACCCACTTTGCGCTTGGGAGGGATAAATTTTCGATGAATGAGCATCTTGACAAAGCCGTGATATCCCCATATACAGGACGTTTGCTGGAAGATTGTGAAATTGGAGCAATTCGGGTCCCAGCGTAGTGCCTCGGGGACATTATCCGCCCACTCTTCAAGTGCCAGATCGAGCTCGATAGCAGAAGTCCGTCTCGTCGCTTGCCGCGAACCCTCTTGTCTAGAAGAGTACAGCACCTTGCCCAGGATCTGATCGAGCTTGAGTAGTTGGATAAACATTGCAACTTTTGACACCTTCCCCTTCCCCTCTGGCTGCTTGAACGCCGCGCGACCATCGATCAACGCTCCAATACTCGTCGTCCACATCTTCTGGGAAAGGAGCATCCTGGTCGTTGTCCGTCATAGCCACCGATCTCCCCACCATAGCGCAGCTAAACCTATCGAAATGATAGAGACACCAGAAAGCTCGCTTGAACAGCTCTCGCTCGGTGGGCTCAAGCCTTTCAAGTACAGTGGTGAGATGGATGCCGATTTCTTGCGACGAGCTCAGGGCCGATCCAGCAAGGTGGGCGCTCATCTGGGGTGTGGTACTGGATTGGAGAAAGTAGCATATGAGGACTTGACTTTGAAGCTCGTGCAAATCTGGCATGTAGAGGGGATTGTGCCCCATGTGCAGCGCCATACGCAGGTACTTCCACCCCGCCGAGTAAGGCAGCCATTGCTCGTCATAGTCCCTGTTCTGACCTTGCGTCGCGGAAAGCCCTCGTGGCCAGAACGTCCCGGTCGCACTGTAGAAGCGAGCGCCGCATGCAAAGATCAGGAGGCATACACACCCAAACCTCTGCTGGCTTTTCCACAAGCCCGAGTCGTACTCCTTCTGAAAGATATGCCGATTGAGGAGGGGAACGTTTCAAAGTAGGCGTTGATAAGCTGCTGGTCGAGACCATTTTCGGGCCATATCAAATAGTCGAGTGCGTTCTGACCGACGTCAGAGACAAACTGCTCCCATTCTGGGACTTGCCAGAAATCCTCTCGTTTATCCTTGCTGAGCTTTTCAAATATGTTGCCGCTCTCGCCCGCATCCTGCTTCAAGTCCTGGTAGTGGCGCACGAGATGAGAACCGGAGGTTCTGCCGTGGTGCCGCCATCGGACATGCTGGTATTGGAGCCGGCGGAGAGAGTTGACGACAACGACGCTATCATCGCCCGTGTGCTCTATCTCGTCCAGGGACTTGCCTCGGTCTGATTCCCTGATGAAGCTGACAGAGTCGATCAGAGCGTTACTGGGTTCTGGGGACGACGGGCTAGCAGGAAGGGGTGATGGGACCGGGTGGAGAGGTTTGAGAGATGGGTAGCCGGGAATGGAGAAGGCCCGGAGCTCTTCTTGGTAAGAGTCGAGGTCAAAATCCTCAAAGTCAAGAGGAGGCCCGACATAATCGTCCAGATTGACATCCGGATACACCTATGCCCTTGTCAATGAATTTGTTTCGCTATAGCACATTGTACGTACCTCCTGTAGCATCATCTCTAGCCGGCTGCATCTTTGTTCCAGCATTCTGTCGTAGCTACGTGTGCCATCAGTCAATGGCTTTACAAGGTCGTATTGTTTACCCACGATTTTGTTGGATTCTTGCGCCTAGATGCTTCTTCCACACACGAGCATTCACACCGAAATGGTCGCATTGAGCGCACTCTGCTCCATTTGATCAAGATCGAGCTCGGGGGCAGCACAGGTGCGGCTCACTGGCATTGGTGAGACTGTTCATAGGCCCTTCACATCGCACCTTCTTTCTTCTACAGGCGTCACATGCTCTCTGAAATAGACTATGAGCGTATATGTACCTCGACCAAGAGTAGACAAAATACGCACCCTCACTACGGATGGCGACTTTTTTGGGGCTCTACGCTTGACCCGCTTGTCGCTGCCCTCGCCGCTACCCTCGGATGTGTAGCCCATGATGGTGATGTCTGGAGCTGATGTTGCCTGAAGGGATTGAGTGTTGGGGAAGAATGTCAGGAGAAGAAAGATTGTCACTGAGAAACATAAAGCCGAGCCCGCGCCAAACAGAGAGCCCGGCGCGCCGAAATACCGGCCGCAGACGGACACCGCCGAGCTTGCCCAGCGAGAAGATCAGATGTATCTGTTGCATCTCGCTCGCACTACGAGATGCTCGAGGTTATCCCATATTCAAATGTACATAAGAAGCCTCTTAGACACAGGCCTCGAATAGCAGACTCGCCCCAAGCTATCAAGAGCAACGCAATCTAGCAGTACATGATGGTGTCGAACCGATGAAGATACAAATTGCGGAAGGAGAGATAGCAGGCAAGAAGAATGCACAGCAAATCATATTTTCATATCCAAGTATTAAACAAGTCGGGTCCACTATGAGGCTCGCATCAGCGACAGGCCGCTTTTGGCGAAGTAGACTTACTTGTGATCGTCAAGCATCTTTGCCCACCATTCATCTCCTATCCCCTCTTCCTGCTCTTCTCTCCCCCGGGACGGGAGGTTCATGTCAAGCAGTTGGCTCTGAAACGTGCTCATACGCAGCCACGAATTGTACAGTCCTTCTTGGGCCTCCATCCCATTACTCGTCTTCGTCCCTGGAGTTGGCCCGAAAGGAGAATACGTTGAGCTGGAGTGAGGGGCAGGATTATATAAAGACAGTTCCAGATCACCGTTCACGGTAGATTCTGGCTTCGATGGCTCATCAGCCATCCTCGACACCATAAAGTCTGCTTCGTTTACGGCCTGCTGCAAGAAATCTGTCGTCTTGCCAGACTTCTGCCACAACTTTTCCAATTCTTGACTCGCTCTCAAACACGATTTCAGTCCTTCTCTTGTGCGAAACAGCTCCTCTTTGCTCATATCAATCGTGTAGAGGCTGAGAAGGAGGATGATACCTGACAACCATGAAGGGATCTTGACAGTTACAGGCAGCGCATGACCAGCGGGACATTCTTCTTGCCGGCCGCGAGAAAGCAGGGCATCGGTGATGGCGCAGATGGCGTAAGCTGCGTGAACGCAAGAAGCGAGAGAATAAAGTTGTTCGAGTGTTCCGGTGTTGGGGCGAGCAGGTACAAAGTTGCGATGGATGAGGATCCTGGCATAGTGGCCATGAGCCCACATGTCGGCCGACTGGCGCAAAAGGGAATAGTTGGAGCGTTTGGGATCCCAACGGAGAGGCGGAGGGACATTGTCTGCCCATGTCCTCAGATCTGCATCAAGCTCGTCGACCATTTGCCGTCTTGATATGTGAACATCGGCAGGTTTCTTTGTGCCATAGATTCTGTTGAGCGTCTTTCCCATGATTCTATCCACCTTGGAGATCTCGATGAAGAAGGCCACCCTCGATACCTTGCCTTCGGGCTGTTTTCCTCTCCCGTCGAGATCCTCTCTTTCCCAGTATTCATCGTCGATGTTTGCCAGCTCGGGCACGTCAAAATCAGAGTCGAGCACCGCAACAGGCCTGCCCACTGTAGAGCTGCCGTACCTATCAATATGGTACAGACACCAGAAAGCTCGATGGTACAGCGCCCGCTCGACCGGGTCCCATTGCGCGAGGACAGCGGAGATGTGGGCCCCTAGCTCTTGGATGAACCGAAGCCCTAGGGAGGAGATGGTGGCGATCAGCTGAGGACAGGAGCTGGCGTGTATAAAGTCGCAAACGAGAACAAGGTATTGGATGTCGTAGAGGGTAGGGAGCTGCATGATGTTGCGGCCCATGCGAAGCACCACGCGAAAGTACTTCCAGCCCCCCGAGAATTGGGAGATAGAATTGTCTCCAGGAGTAGCGCTGTCCCACAAAACTCTTCGGTCCTTCACATATCGAGCTCCATTGGCAAAGACCAGCATGCAGATCTTTGCAAAGCCTTCACTCGTCCGCCACAGCTTCGCATCATACTGCTCTTGAAAGACAAGTCTGTTCAGGAGCGGCATGTGTAGATCTACCTCGTCGAAATAGGTATTGATCAACAGCTGATCCAGTCCCCGCTCTGGCCACACTTTGAAATCCATCGGGGATGTCCCGTCGGCCTCGATAGACGTCTCCCACTCTGACGTCTCCCAGAAGGCCTCCCTCTTACTTTGGCCCATGTTGACGATGATATCAGACCTGATTCCCCTGGCCGACTTGAGATCCTAGATCTGCATGACCATGTGAGCTCCACATGATTTCCCGTGATATCTCCAGTGAGTTTCGCGGAAGTTTCGGATTTTGAGCCAGCGCACAGAGTCGATGAGAACGGCGTGAGATGGCTCGTCTTTGTCGTTTTCGTCCTTGACATGGGCACTCTGTGTGCTGCTGAAGATCGAAAGCGCCGGAGAAGGGGCATGGGATGTCGAAGGTGTGGGAAGGGAGAGTGGCTTGAGAGCCGGATAGGGAGGAATATTGCGCGAACGAAGATCTTGAATGTAAGTGTCGTAAACAAAGCCTTCAGACTCGAGACGCGGGCCGACATAGCTCTCGGTCTAGAGAGGGGCACAGCTGTACACAAGTCAGCAATGTTGAGGAAGAGAATGGAGCACTTACCTGCCGCAGTATGCTTTCGAGACGGCCGACCTTCTGTTCCAGCATCGTCACATACCTGCGAGTACAAGATTCAGCAACTGTCTCGAGCTTCAAGCACTTTGCTTACCGCTTTGACGGCCCTTTTGGTCTTTGACTGTCTTCCATATACGTACACTCATGACCACCATGTATGCAAGACGGACATTCTATTCATATGTCAGCCACGACTTTTGACGAGTCGTGATACGTACTGCCGCCGGCGTCGTTGTCTTGAGAGCCCTCGCAGCGCACTTTTCGTCTTCTGCAGGAATCGCAAGCTCTCTGCTTCAGTCATCAGCGCAGATAAACCTTGGAGAATACTCATGCTCACATGTACGCGGATTGTGTTTATGGACGTTGACCTCGGGTCGCCGCTCATGCTCGGGGTTGCAGCCGAGGCCTCGCCCGACGAGGAGTGACGGCGGTCAGTGTGCGGCATCTAAGGTTGGTGAATATTGGCTCGGAATTCCTCCGTAAGGGATATTGGGCAATCTGCAGAGTGGTTGGGCATACCGAGCCAAAAGGTAAACGACTTGCAACATGATGGCTGGCAAATGGCTGGTACTTTTGAGCCGCGGCGGCAGGGACCGAAGATGGCACTTGTCCATGATGGCTTGCCTGCTTCCCCATCGCATCCAGGCAGACATACTAGATAGATACATAGACAGGTTTCTTATCATTAAAGATCGATTCGTATATAGTTACAGTCACATATATGCTCTGTCGCACTTTATCAGAGTCATGGCTCTATCCGCTGGCAAGCTCCGCAATAAGCTGGCAAGCCATCTCCAAGAAATGGAATGGTCCCGATACACCCCCAATCGCCTCCTTCCCCTGCCCCTGCCCCGGACCACCAGCTCCTCCGCTCGGCGCGCTCCCGCTCCCCCTCTTTTCCGAGCCGATGCTACCGTGTTGACTACTCTCGTGCGGGGAAGGATCGTCCTGCCTGGAGACGTCGGGCATGAACCTGTCGGCTTCGCTGACCAAGTAGTATCCCAAGTTCCGAAAGTCCACAAGGTAGTGTTGGTCGTCAACACGATACAATTGCAAGTCCATCCGAACCTATACAATGGTCAGTTGCGGTCCTTTCAAGATCGGTCTACTCACCATGACATCTCCATACCTCGCCCTCGTCTCGACATGGTACAGCCCCTGCGCCGCCTTCTCCTGCGCCATAGCATCCTTCTTGATTGGCGGCTTCTTGCCCATCATTGGCCTCTCCCCACCATTCTTCTCCCTCAGTTCTTCTAACACCGCCTCGACCTCCTCCGTATAACCCCCCGGCGGCGCACCGCCAATGTCCGGTAGAGGCACCTCCTTCTTCCGCCACTGCATTCCCAAGATATTCAGCGTTCTGTAGATTTCCAGCATGACCTCCATAGGCGGGGAACGCGAACGGATACCAAAGTGCCATTTGGGTTTCGACATGCTCTTGTCGGGCCGGCGAGGCTGATGGGATGTTTGGGATGATGGGGGGAAGGACGAGGTTGATGTGTTTTGGGAGGGAGAGAGGAGGGCACGGGCGGCTTCTTCGGCCGTGTTTTGGTTTTGAGGGGGCAGGTTGCTGGTAGGAGTGGATATTTGTGATGCCGTTGACGATGGGGCTGTCGTGCATCAGCGATGATCTGGACTTGCTGACTAGACTTACGAGTCATCCACCCAGGAAGACTGCTATCCAGCACATCAAAGTGCGCATTGGGAATATCTTGGATCTCCAGATCCACATCCTCCATGTCGGGTTCTTCCATCTCTTCATTTTGCGTCTGCGAAGGAGGCTACGCTTGGTCAACCATCGTCCCAATATGAACGAGGTAACTTACAGGAATATTTGCGTTCCAGGCAGGCGGCGACGAAGCCATGAATTCCTCCATCGCCGAAGAATCCTCATCCTCATACGCATTCGAATCCTTCAAGATTCGTCTGTGGTCGCGCACCAGCTGATAAGCCACCTTGACTTGATTATCACCTGGGGATTGAAGTGCCTCCCAAACCATTGCCGCGCTATACGTCGAAATCTTGGTCAAAAGCTCCTCCACGATATCCGGGTCAATCACCCCCAGCTCGTCTGTAAACACCAGACCTTTATCCTCCGCCACCTTTCTCGGGTCCGCCTGGCCTTCGTTGATCAACAACAGTGTCGTCATGTCGTCCATCGGCAGCGCGGGGTATCGCTCCATTTCTGCGATCTCGGGTAAGGGCTGGAGGTAGCGAGGAAGGTTTTCCTCAAAGAAGGGCATTTGTCGGATCTCAAAGATAGTCGCACGCTTGAGGGGGTCGACTTCAAGCATGCGTTTGAGCAGGTGACGGGCGGGGTCAGAGACATGGCTGGGAATGTGAAAGACGCCATCTATGAAAGTGTCAGTGACGAAACAAGTGAAAGGAGACGAACTCACTTTCGATCTTTTTGAACAGGGTAGGGATATGTTCATCGTCGAACGGCAATTTGCCGCAGAGCAACACGTACATGATCACACCAGCACTCCAGACATCGATTTCAGGGCCGGAATACAGCTTTCCAGAGATCACTTCGGGCGCCGCATAGTTGGGACTTCCACAAGACGTCTTCAAGAAGTCACCGTCCGTCATCAGATTCGACAACCCAAAGTCTCCGATCTTGATATTTCTTCTCGAGTCGAGGAACAGACTGCCAGCATGTCAGCGGGGGGCTTTTGGTTATATGTGAAGCGGGCTCACTTTTCAGGTTTGAGGTCACGGTGAACGATATGGTGTTTGTGGCAGTACTCGATAGCGCTGATCATTTGCTGGAAGAACCGCCGGGCCTCGTCCTCAGTCATCTAGCATGTCCGTCAGCACGACTCTCCCAAGTCTGCACCTCGCACGACCGCTCACGCGCCGCCAACGCCAGCCGCGGCTCCGGCCTTCTTTACCGGCCCCGACCGACCCTGAACACCGAGAGCCCCAAAATGGATGACACTGGAACTCACTCCATGTTTGCCCTTTTGCACGATGTAGTTGAAGAGCTCTTCCCCAGCATACTCCATGACCATGATGACGTCCGTGGGGGTGGTGATGACTTCGTACCTATAAGAGTCCATGCATCAGTCATCTGCCCGCTTATAGATTCATCTGAGAGTCACCCTCTCACTAGAGAGATACAATGAAGACACTACCCACAGCTTGATGATATGGGGATGCCTCAGCACCTTGAGGTACTGTATTTCACGCTTCACCCGGGCGTTCATATCGGGGGTGGTAATCTTGGAGCGATTGATCAGTTTGAGCGCCACTTGATGCCCTGTTATAGCGTGCGTCGCCACTACCATCGCATAAACCATTAGCCATCCTCCCCCATGCACTTCGGTCGTCGCCACCCACGTTTGACCTTGCCGAAAGACCCCGTTCCCAGCGTTCGCTCGACAATGTACTGGCCTATTCTCGGCTTTTGTCGGGGCTGGGGGATGGGGGCGGGGTGCTGGGCGGACATGCTTGCTGAACGGCGCTGGCGGTGGTGGGCGGGGACGTCGGGGGCTGGTCTGGATGCCATGTTGGATGATTTTGCAAGGATGAAATGGGATGGACCTTATTTGGCTCTGACAACACACCGACACCACCACCCCCGAGCATGACGCGTAGGGTGTTACTTTTGCTTCCGTCCGGCATAGACCGGCGGGTGTTGAGTGAGTCAAGTTCTGTTGGCTGCATGGAGAACGAGCAGCAGATACATGTATACCAGAAACCAGTATGCGTGTACACTTGCACAAAGCCGATGCATACTTTGACACACAATAAGGATCATTAAAGATCAGATGTAGATGTAAACTAATAGGAAATCGTCGTAACGTCATATAAGATCTGTCGAGAAACTGTGGGCTACATCATTGGTTTGTCTAGCTGCGATTCGAAAGCGAAGGATTCTAACGAAAAACGAAAGAAGATGTGAAAAGTCTATGAACCCGGTTGGGGCACGGGTTCTAAATGTGGTTGTTCGGCAGCTTGCTGTTGTTCAGCAGAGGATGGTTGATCTCGGAAGAACATCGTAGTGATGTACTGCACCACATCAGCATAGTCTCTCCACAACAACAAGCAATCTCACCTTCTTTCGATACCTCGTTGTCGTACCAACACCCAGCGTCCCGTTTCTAATCGCACTCGCCGTCAAGTGATTCAAAACCACATGATTCGGCACCGCCAGAATCGAATTGTCGTCCAGTCCGGCTGGTGGATTACTCTGCCATCCCGTCTGCGCCGCCGCCTTGGGGTCATGATTGTCCCATAACCTCTTGGAGTCGTTGTTGACGATGACCTTGTCGAGGATACGGGGGAGCGTGGGAGGGGCGGGGACGTTGGGAATGTAGGGGACGGATTTGAGAAAGTTGTGAAGCTCGTCTTGTTCCATACGGAGCGGCAGCTCTTCAATGTACTGGTACATGATGAGGGATGGAGGAATTTCGCCAGTCCATTCAGACTCGTCGGCTGTATCATATTAGCGTGTTTCAATTGGTACTAGGATGTCTCACTTTGCTCCTCCTTGACTGCTGGTTTCGAGTCCATGGCCCACTCAGCCTTGAGCTCCTCGGCCGTCTTGGGCGCCTCGACCTCGATCCAATTGACCAGTGTGCCGTCGTCGTCTGTGGCAGTGGAGATCTGTTTTGAGCAGCGCCATGATTCGTCGACGATGAATTTTACGCGGTACTGGCCCGGAGGAAGCCGAAGGGTAGTGTTGAAATCGTGCGTACTGTGAATCGTCAGCAAGAGACTTGGTTCGATGCGAATACGCACCTTTTACGCAGCTTGATCCGGTTGGCCCATCCTCCTTCCCAAGTGCCCGCAACATAAACATTCCTCCCGCCTCCATTCCACTGAATCGGCACATCCACCAGACCATCTCCCTTCTCCTCCACCGGCCCTTCCGTAAACCCTTGCTGCACCGGTGGTCCAGAATCATGCTCTGCGACCTGCGGCCGCGGGAGAGGAACCTCTTGAGGCTCAGCACGCGGTGGTTCTTTCCCAGGAATAGGAATCGGGACCGCTTTCGACGGATGCGTCCCTGCCGTAGGATCCTGCACACCATAAGGATCGGGAAAGTACGGATTCACGTCCGAGGCGCCCCCTTTCGACGTCTGGCCCGATGAAGACCCCGAAATGGGCGGTTCGAGCTTACTCATCGCGGCGAGTGTATTCTGGCCCGCCAGCGGGCTCGCCTTGCCTCCGAGGGTATCGCGCCAGCGCCGATTGTTGACGTTGGCGGTCGGGGTGATGGGTGGGCTCTCTTTGCGGACTGCAGTCGTCGACGGTGCGAGATGATGGGAGGTATGGGTGTGGGTAGTAGGCACGGGGGCGGCGGGCGAGAAGGCGGCGGGTGTGAACTGGAGCTTGTTGAGGTCTGGGAGCTCGAGGGATTTCCGTCTGCGGGGGGAGCCGGGGCGGCCTGAGGGGGAGGTGTTGCCTGAGTGGGAGGGGGAGATGTGGTGCTGGGGCATGTGAAGGCGCAGGGAGGGGTGGCGGTGGGGGGCATTGCTGGGTGGCCCCTGCCTCTGGGCGGTGTTCTGCTGGTGGGAGGGCGTGTTGCCCATGCTGATAGTGGCGGGGAGATGTACACTGCATGAATCGAATGCTTCGACCCATGCCAAGACGGAGGTCCCCGCCGGTTTGATCCCGCTCCTCCTATCACTCCCCCCCTTCGTCGAATGACACGACGAAGATAGACTCACCCAAATCGCCCTCGTCTATCGTGTATGCGGGCGAGCCAGGAGCTGGAAGTGCTGTGGCAGAGGTCGGGAAAGGTGACGGACTTTTCGGAGCGGGCGGTCGCAGAGGCGGATTCCTTCGCAAAGGGGATGACGCAAAAGGTGACGGGTCCAGGGGTGGAAGGAGAGGGCGTCTCGTTGGAAGGCGAGCTGGGCCGTTATTTCCCCACAGCCACGCCAGCTACACCTTCGTCATACCTGTCACCAGATGCTGAGAAGAATGATGGCAAGAAGACCCAGCAGGGGTTGCATGATTCATGGTTGCGCATGAACACGTTCCAATCGCAGCTGCTCAACATGGGCATCCCGATGCGGGCGAGGGAGGATATGGAAGAAGGTATAGGGGATGACTGGTGGGCAAAGACGTTAGGGAACAAAAGTGAGTCTTGTTCTTGAGAGAGGCCTGTCGCTGATGTGATTCTTCATAATGGTCCAGATCTATACAACACTTGGATATGATCTGCTTCACATGTATAGACATCAAATCTGTATTCACTATAATCGTAGCCAGCTGTACTGTGTATCGAATTCAGACAAGATTGAGGAATCGAAGATAATCGGGAATAGAGGGTGTTGTTACCGGTGGCCGGGAGTGTAATAGCCGGGTAGCCGGGTGCGCGTCGAGGGAGTCATGACCCCGCCTCTATTGGAGCAAAGTTGTATTAAAGATGCATGCCAGTCGATTAGAAACCCCCATGCACCATGGCCACCATGACCACCATGACCACCATCAACCCCAACCCCAGCCCACGCCCCCAGCCCCCAGCCCTCCCAAAGCTCCCCATCCCGCCCCTCAGAGACTCGTGCACCAGGTATCTCAGGGCACTCGAAGCACTCCAGACCCCCAGCGAGCATGCAAAGACCAAGGAGGTAGTCAGGGAGTTCCTGGAAGAGGGCGAGGGCGACGTGTGGCAGAAGAAACTCGAGGAGTATGCCAAAGACAAGGAGAGCTACATCGAAGAGTTTTGGTGTAAGTTATTTTGGTGGCATCATAGGGCGGGTTCTGATGCGCTATAGATGAGAGCTATCTCTCGCACTCGGATTCTGTGGTCTTGAGCCTGAACCCCTTCTTTGTCTTGTCGTGAGTGTTACACTATACTCTCGTAGTGGTGCTCACACGACCACCAGCTCCGACGTTACACCTCGAGCCAATCCTCAGCTCTCTCGCGCAGCTGCACTCATAACGTCCACACTCTTCTTCATTCACGATCTCAGAAATGGCTTGCTCCAGCCTGACGCGATCAAAAACAAGCCCTTGGACATGAGTCAGTATGAGCGTCTCTTTGGCACTTGTCGAGTTCCCACAGACGTAAGCAGCTTCCATCGAGCAAGAGAACCTAGGCTGATCAAGTATGCAGACCGGATGCAGGATGGAAGTCCATGGTGATAGTCGACACATTGCTGTCGTAAGGCGTGGCCAATTCTGTATGTGAACTTTTCCATCCTTCCCATAGTCCGGCTGACATCCTTCAGACTGGTTTGATTGCCTCGACTCCAAGAACCGACCGCTTCTCTCTGACCGTGAAATCTTCCGGAACCTCGATGCCATCGTCAAGGATGCCGAAAAGACCCCTACTGCTCAGGTGAGTCTCCTCCACTATCATAGATGCCAAGCTGACGCTCTGTAGATTGCCGAAAAATCTCTCGGTGTCCTCACCACCGAATCCCGCAAGATCTGGTCCGGCCTCCGCTCAGACCTCATCAACTCGAACAAACACAACCGTTCCTGCCTCGACGTCGTCGAATCCGCCCTCTTCATCATCTGCCTCGACGACACTGAACCCGTCGACACTGCCGAGCTCTGCTCCAACTTTCTCTGTGGAGGGTACAAGCTGGAAAGCGGGGTTCAAGTTGGTACGTGTACCAATAGGTGGTATGACAAGCTGCAGATCATTGTCTGTGAGAATGGCGAGGCCGGAGTCAATTTTGAGCATACGGGTGTCGATGGGCATACCGTACTGAGGTACGCGGCAGACGTCTATACCGAACTCGTCTTGCTGTTCGCAAAGACCATCAACCCCTCCACTCCCTCCTTGTTCAAAGCCAAGATGTCTCCCTTTGCCAAGTCTGGAAAAGCGCCACCCCCTACACCAGAGGAAGAAATCGATACCACCCCCAAAAAGCTTGAATGGCAGCTCACCCCGGATTTGCGCGCGGGTATCAAGTTTGCAGAGACGCGGATCAGTGATCTCATTTGTCAGAATGACAGTCAGGCGCTCGAATTTAAGGGGTATGGAGGGGCATTTATCAAGAGGCATGGGTTCAGTCCGGATGCTTTCATACAGATGGCTTTCCAGGCGGCGTACTATGGGCTTTATGGTGAGTACTTTGGTTTGCTGATGAGGCACAGGCTGACCTTGTTGAAGGACGAGTTGAGAGCACATACGAGCCGGCTATGACAAAAGCTTTCTTGCACGGTCGAACCGAGTCTATTCGTACGGTCCAGCCTGAGAGTTTCTCTTTTGTGAAGGTAAGTCTTCATACCCATACCCACTCTCCTTCCACCACTGACGCCTGTCTAGACCTTCTGCTCCGACTCGGCCACCGTCCAAGAAAAAGTCAGCGCCTTGCGCAAGGCATGCAAAAGACACTCTGAGCTCACTGCAGAGTGTTCAAAAGGTCTCGGACAAGATCGGTACGTTCCCCTTCCTTCCTCTATTTCGAGATGTTGGCTGACGCGCGACACCTAGCCATTTCTATGCTCTCCACTGCCTTGCTCAGAAAGAAGTCATGGCTTACGAGTCCGCCCACCCCTCCCTCTCACCTCGCCAAGCCCTCCGCCGTTTCTCCTTGGCCTCCCAACAACCGTCCAGTCCTCCTACCAACAACAAGGGTAACGGTAAACCCGACATGAACAGCATCAACGGCCACGGCGCCAGCCCCCCAGGTGCCGATACCTTTAGCCCTGTCATCGACCTCGAGCGCCCTACCATTCCTGCCCTCTTCACCGACCCCGGCTATGGGCTTTTGGGGACGAGTGTCTTGAGCACGTCGAATTGCGGGAATCCCGCGTTGAGATTGTTTGGTTTCGGGCCGGTCACGCCGGAAGGCTATGGCATTGGTGAGTCTTCCAAAACAACAAAGGTCCGATAACTGACGTAATGGTCAGGATATATCATCAAAGAAGACGGTATCTCAGTCTGCATGTCCTCCAAACATCTCCAGACCCGCCGTCTCCTCTCCACCCTCCACGCATACCTCCTCGAAATCCGCAGCATGCTCATCCTCCTCTGGAAGGACGCCAACGAGCGGCCCGAGACGTCCTTCATGGACCATTTCGGTGTGCTCCGAGACTCCAAAACGGGCAAGGCGCTGCAGATGGTGGAGCAGGATGAAGCAGGGGAGGGGAGAGATTTCGGGGAAGAGGGCATGGGCGGATTTGGGTTCTTTGATGTAGAGACGCAGACCCAGATGCCGCAGTCGAGAAGAAGGAGAACATTGGTGGGAAAGACGCTCAGTATTGCCGAGTACTAGGTCTGTTTGCTGTGTTCTTGTACATTAGAGTTGTACGCAACAACGTTGTACTGTAAATACCGCTGTAAAGAAGCGGTCACAAAGTCGTTATATCAAATATGAAAAGAATCCGTTCATATGCCATTACATCGATATGTCGGTCTACTCTAATCGTACACTACTTATGTCACCACCCTGTCAATTCTTGTTCATGTAATCCTTCAAACTAGCACCACTGTCAGTACGCTATTTCAATATACGAAAAGATACTCACCTGAAGAATCCAGAAGGCAACTTTTTCTCATCTGTCACCACTTTTTCTCCGTCTTTTGGCGCAAAGCTAAACATCCCGGCAGCTGGCGGCGGCGGCGTTCCACTCGAGGCAGCGCCGGGCACATACTTGACAGCAGCAGGCCTCAAGCTGTTACCTGATGACGAGCCACCTGACCTTCTCAAGCTTGACTCGTGTGATAGTCCCTCAAAACTGGGTGACAAGTTGAACTTGATACCACCAAATGCCGAAGGGGACGAGACGGCTGGAGTGGGGGCAGATGAGGTGGCTGGAACAGGCACGGGTTGAGCTAGAGGAGGGGAGGAGGAGAGGGTGGACAGGTAGAGGTCGGCAGCCTCATCATTCAACTCTGGAGCAGGAGCAATGTTTGGTGAGACCGGAGGCGAGAAATGACCTGCTGGGGGTAGATCATCGATCATGACGGGACCCGCAGACACAGACTCGTGCGTAAAGCTAGCGCCTCTGACTCCGGACGACCCTTCCCCCCTAGCAACGACTGGTTTGTTGAGCTTGGCGACCTTGAGTTTGCCCAGCCTCTTCTTCTTGGTCTCGGAGGGCCCAGCAAGAACAGCGTTAACCTCGGCCATTGCGTCCTTTGTCGGCTCAAAGTTGAGTGCTCGGCGCGAGGTGAGGAGCGACCTGTTCCCGGAAGGCGAGGCGATATGGCAGGATGCGATGCGCCTGGACAGGTCATTGATGGCCTGTTGACGTTCCCTAATAGCAGCATCGACACTCCTCACAGACCTTTGGATTCTTTCCAAAGGTGGGAGACTAGGATAAACGTAAGCAATGGTCTTTGCAGGACTAATGGCCCACTTACGAAGCATGTCCCTCATCCTGTTTTTCGTTGCGATGTCTGAGGGAAGCGATAGAGTTTTCAAGCTCTTGCAACTTGTCCTCGGTGTCCTGAGGTTAGAAATTAGCAAGAGTTGAGTCAACATCAGTACTACCCACCTGTACTGCATTGCGCAGCTTCAATCGATACGCGGCCTGGTCTGGGTTGAGATCAAGACTCTCTCCAGAGATCTGACCTCTCTTTGCTTTCAAATGTCTTTCCACTTGGGCCACCTTTGAATCGACTATAGGATGTCAGTACTGGACCTACCAATGTCTTGAAAACGTACCTCTCAGCATCTTTGACCTCAATTCTGCAAGCCTAGCTTCCGCCTCTTCGTCAATCCTCTGCTGCTTGACGACTCGCGGGTGTAGGTCGTCGATCAAACGCTGTACTTGAGACAGCTGAGACAAGGGAAGGGTCCTCTGCTTTTCCACTACATCAACGAGGGCGTCGAAATCGACGGTGCCGGCGTTACGACGTCGAAGCTCCTGGTGGAATTTGGCGTTTGAGGCGACTACGTCCTTGAGCTGCTGTAAAGTTAGTGACGATTTGAAGCACTCGAGTGTATCCACTCACTTTAATGAGGTCCTCATCGAGGGTCTCTACGATCTTGACTGCCACGCTACCCATTGTCTTCTCGCCACTTTGAGTCACCTTTGACGGTCGTTCAGCCAAGGCTGGTCTCGTGGGCGCGCTCAAGTCTGTAAAGTCCGCAGCCTTGGGGACGCTCGGGTGCGGTGTGGGCTCAGGTTTGGGGGCTGCTGGTGCAGATGCCGGTTTTGAGCTTGGCAACGGGGAAGACTGAGGCTGAGGTTCATTCAATGGCTTTGCGGAGAATGCCGACGGCGTCGAGGAACCAGAAGGCTTCCCAAGGCCAAGATTGCCAAACACAGACTTTGGCTGTGCGGCCGTCTTGGCTGCTACAGGAGCCGTAGCAGGCTGTCCAAATAAGGATTCAGCAGGAGCAGCAGGCGCAGGAGGTTTGATAGGCTCTATCTTGGGTTGGCCAAAGAGACCAAAACCACTCGGCGCTGTGGAAGCAGGCGTTTGCGATTCCTTTGTGTTTGCAGAAGGTTTGGAGGCTTCTGCGGACTTCTGTCCAAATCCGCCAAACAAGGATGGCTTGACTTCCTCGGATTTAAAGAACCCACCAAACCCACTGGGCTTTGACGCATCTGTCGGCTTCTGGCCAAACCCTGTGAATGCGCTTGGAGCAGCAACAGATTTGGCCGGGGACGACTCGGGAGTTGTAGATCCCAGAGGAGGACCAGATAATGGTGAACTTGTCCTAGAGGCGTGTTTGGTAAAGTTGAAAGGGAGTTTTGGGGCATCGGTAGGACTAGTCTTGGGTTCTTCGGAAGGAGTTGAGGTGGCCGAACCAAGGCGCGAGAACAAGGAGGAACCGGAGGAGGGGGAAGGAGACTTAGGTTCATTCTCTTCAGGGGGTGTCGGCGCAGAGGTCGAGCTCTTGGTTGCGAACCAAGCCGGAGGTGACCTAAGACTGCTGGGTTTGGGTTTGACCGAACTTTCCTTCTCCGCATCATCCTCTTCGTCTTCGTCTTCTCCGGCGTCGCTTCCTTCATCAAGTTGTTGTTCCTCTTCGATGGGAGACATATCAGGGGCAATGGAGGTTGACCTCCTGCGATGTCTCTCTTCATGATCCTCCTCTTCCTCATCTTCTGAATAGTCCTCCTCGTCCTCGTCTTCATCTTGTTCGTCCCCTTCCTCTTCGTCCTCTTCTTCTTCCTGTTCATCCACTTCTTCCTCTTCTCCCACAAACTGTTGATCCTTCTGATCCTCAGGTCCAGACACTTCAGCGTCCTGCTCTTCTTCCGAAAGGTCAGAAATGGAAGGCTCAGGGGAGGACGCGGTGTGTTCGTCCGCTGCAGGCTCAGAGACCTCTTCCTTCGTCTCTTCCTCGTTGCTGTCTCCGTCAGAGGCAGATACGGCGGTAGCAGGCTTCTGATCTCTGCCTACTTCTTCAAAGACGTCCTGGTGTTCATTGCCAATCACATCATTTGTTCTTTGTTTCTGGGCCTCCTCCAGCAGTTCGGCGACAGCATCTCCACTCGCACCCTCGCTTGACTCCAAAGCAGCCTTCTCGGCGGACACATCACTCGCGGCTTCTAGCTCTGGATCCAGAGTCTCCACTTCATCAGGATCGACAGTCTTGTCCTTGCCATCATCAGCCTCGGACTTGGATTCCGGTTCACTAGGTTCAGAGACAAGAGTGATGGGTGTGGTCGACTCTTCTTCGTCTTTGACCGGGATCTCGGGCGAAGTAGATTTGGTTGGCTCAGGAGCAGATGTGTTGGATGCTTCTTCGTCCTTGGCGGGAGTATCGGGTGGGGTAGTGGTCTCCTTGGCAGGAGTAGAGAGAGTTTCCGCGGACGCAGGGGGCGGTGATTTTGCCTCGACTGGCTGGGGAGCAGGCACATCAAAGCCTTCCACTTCCTCATCCCGCTCCTTCTCCTTCTCCAGCTTGTCCTCCCCTTGCTTCTCACCTTCTACCTTGCTGTCCTCTTCAGCAGGCGGTTTCTCCTCTTGCTTCTCCTCTTGCTTCTCCTCTTGCTTCTCCTTTATCAGGGTTGCCTCTTCCTTGATATCATCCTTCTTTTCTTCTACAGGCGTAGCAGGTTGGGAAGTGAAGGCTGAAGTCTGTGTAGGTTTCCCAAAGAGTGACCCACTGTCCGTCTTGCCCGTATAGAACGGCGATCCGGCACCAAACGCCGAAGTACTCTTTGGAGTCCCAAACGACGACGAAGGCTTGCTGAAGGCCGAATCTCCCTTCTGCTCGTCATTCTTCTTCTGGCCGAATAGAGACGGGCCCTTGCTGGCGAAGCCACCAAAGCCTTTCGCCTCTTTACTAGCAGCAAACCCGCCAAAGCCGCCCGTGATGGATCCAGAGGCTGAGGGAGCAGGACTGGCGGGCTTGCTCTGGCCAAAGCCGCTGGCCCCAAAGGCAGAGCCGCTTCCGATAGCAGACTGTTGTCCAAATGCTGTACCGCCACCGATAGCAGATGGTTTGCCAAATGCACTGCCCGGTGAGTGGGTGGATGAAGTTGACCCAGCGGGTGCAAAGCCTGAGCCGAAAGCGGTGGGGCCTGTAGGTTTTTTCTCCGTGGCATTGAACCCGAATGACGGGGCAGAGTTCCCGAAGGCTGTAGCAGGCTTGAAGAAGCCTGACGAAGAAGATGAAGGGGCACCGAAAGCACTGGGCGCTGGAGCGGCCGGCTTAACAGGGGGAGAGTTTGGTGGCGTGTCATCCTCCAAACCTGCGGGTTTCTTATTTGATCCTCCCACAGGAGAAGCAGGTGGTGATTCTCCCAGCCCGGGGACGGACACGGTTGATTTAGAAGATTCCAGAGCCGAAGCGAAACCGCCGAGCCCAAAGTCGTCTTTGTTGGAATTTTGCGAGGGCGCTGGGGAAGGAGCCTTGGGCGTTTCAGTCTTGGTTTGACCGAAGCCTGCAAATGCCGATACGGATTTAGGCGCCTCAATGGAAGGCGAAGGCGCCGGCTTGCCGAACGCGCTCTGACCAAATGCACTCCCGTTCCCAGCCCCAAACGCCGACTTTTGACCAAAAGCGCTCTGTCCAAAGCCGCCACCAGCTCCGAAAGCAGACCCAGCTCCTGTCGCAGGTTTCTGCCCAAAAGCGGACTGGCCAAAAGCTGGGGAAGCAGTACTAGGGGTTCCGGATTTTCCGAAACCGCTGAAAGCTGGGGCTTGGGTGGCAGAGGAACCGAAGGCTGAAGTTTGTGAGGAGGAAGATGGGGCAGGAGAAGCGGGCTTGTTTGCTTGACCGAAAGCAGATGGGGAGGACCCGAATGCAGATGGCGCGGGGCTAGCAGGTTTGCTAGACTGCCCGAACGCCGATTGACCAAACGCAGACTGACCGAACGCGGAGGGGGTGGAGCTCTGGCCGAAAGCAGATGGGGTGGCGGAACCAAAAGTAGAGGGTGTAGCAGCTTGCCCGAATGCCGATTGTCCGGATGCAGCTGGCTGGGCCGCATTGCCGAACGCCGGCGCTTTTCCAAATGCTGATGCTCCACCTGAGGGTGTTGATGCGCCCGAAGTGTTGGGCGTAGGGCTCTGTCCGAAGGCAGATGAGCCAAAACCAGAGGGTTTGGCCGTGCCGAACGCCGATTGACCGAATGCAGAGCCAGCGCTGGGCGCAGCGGTGCTGGGAGGCTTTGAGCTCTGGCCGAAAGCGGGCGAAGAGCCAAAGGTAGAGGAACCGAAAGCTGCAGGTTTGGCCGCCCCGAAACCAGATTGCCCAAACGCTGACCCAGAGGATGCGCCGAAAGCGAGTTTCGGGGTGGAGGAGGCGGGCTTAGCAGCAGGGGCAGGTGAGGGCGCGGCTGCTGAGTCGCCAGAGACGATATTTTGAGGTGTAATCATACCAGGGTATGGTCCAGCATCGGGGTTCAGGACATCAAAAGAGATAATGACACCTTCCTGGCTGAACGTGAGGAGTCTTGGAACTGGGGCTAGATCGGGAAGGGTACCGTCAGTACTTTGCTGTACTGGCTCTTGGCTGGTAAAGTCGAATCCGAGCGCCAGAGGGGAGGTGTTGTCGCGGCCAGCTTTGGCTACTGGCATCGTACCTCTCTCTGACCCGTCAAGGAATAGTACTTCCCATTGAGGGGGTACGTTGCCTGATGGAGGATGGCCGTTCATCACCGCAATATCAGGCGCAGCCCCAGAAATGAGGAACGCCAAGTGCTTTGATTCTGAACCCCATGCAGCAAGCCCCGCATAATGCCTGTAATCCTCTGACCTTGCAGGGAAACCCATGTTATTCAGGGGGTCAAAGAATTTGACAAACGAGTGTGACCCGTTCTTGCGGCTGACAATGTATTGTTCGATGGGGTCACTGTCCATGCCTTGGGCATTCTGCACGTAGGTGACCAGCACAAGGTCGTTCTCCAGCCATTGGATAGATGAAGGGCGGTGATTAAGATTGGGGGGATGGGGAATCTCGGCTTTGGCGACTCCATCGGGAGTGTATTGGACCAGTTCACCGGAAGGTTTGCCAACTAGTATTTGCTTGCCCTTTTGCGACCAGCATGCTAGAAGGTTGTGAGCTGTCTCCTTGAAGAGAGACAATGAAGACTTACCAGATGAAAAGGGCCCCGCCACTGGTGGCATGAGCTTTCCTTCTTCAATGTCTGCCATCACAAGACCCTCGTTGGCCACCAGCGCCACTAAACGCCCTAGAGAGTCCGAAGATGGGTTCGGAAGCACATTAAGCAGGCGACTGGGGATATTGATGGAGAACGAATGGAGAGGGTTGGTCTGTTGATCATCAGCCAGGTATAGAGGGTTACGATCAGAACATACGCTGCCCGCAATGATATCTTTCAGATTCCATACATATATCCCGGCGCCGTTCGCTGTAGCGACGACCAATCGCTCCTCGTTCATCGCCGACCTGGGGATGGTAAGATGTTGTCTTGGTCCAGATAGAAAGACCAGCTCACCTGATCCATACAGGCCTAGCTGGCAGGGACACTGTCTGCGCTGGTGCAATTTCCGGCAGGGTTTTCCCTCCGGGAGGCGCCTCATTGATGGCTTTGTGTACGTCTACCAAACGGTGTATCCGAATATCTAAAGACCGTCAGAGAGAGCACATATGATCTTTGGGTGTAGACATACCACTGTTACTCCCAACAATGAGGAGACCCCACTTGTTCACCACCGTCATCAAATTGCACTCATTCGGCAGTCCTTCTAATTCAATCTTTTCCGAGACTCGTACATCCACACCTCCATTCCTTTTGACAAGCTTCAGCCACTAGCAACAGGGATCAAGTCAGCTTGGGTCTCGGGTCTCTGGTACACGCACTGAAACGTCGAGCTCTTCTCCTTCGATGACTTGGGAGCTTGGTCCGGCAGCATTGGAGGCATCGCTGTCCATCGCCAGAGCCCCGAAAGCATTGTTCCCGAACATGGCGGAGGGAGGGGTTGGGTAGAGAGATGGGGGGGTCTTAGAATGGGATCTGTTGTGGTTTGGATTCGAGAATTGACAACGACTGAAGTCCAACTGAAGTCAGGAAGAAATAGCTCGGGATTATTTTGCCGCGTCCTTCCTTCTGGTTGCTAGATTTCACTTGTTGTTGTTAATCTAGGATCAGACCTCGGACTTGTCTTTCTACTCGCAAATACCTCTTCGACCATGGCAACCCGACTCCCAGCGAAACCTCCTCCCCCCGCCATCTTTCCCAAACTCCTTCCTCTCCTCATATCTCGGCTGACCACCCAGCCCGTGGATATCGCCCTGATTCCATCCATCGAAACTGCTTTCTACATCTTGCGAGTCCTGACTCTGTACCCCGACGTCGTCCAGGGTGTCCCGTCAGCGTCAGCCAAGAGTCTCGTACCGCTTCAGAAGCTCTTGGAAATATCTACGTCTCATCCATCGTCCATCAAACCACCACTGGTGCTAGACGCCATCATCGCCTACCCCATACACTCTCCTGTCGTCAGGCAAGTGGTGTCCAACGTTATTGCCAACTCGCCGGACGTGATCGAAGTGTACCGCATCGATGTCTTGCCCGACCTCGTCGACCGATGCCGTAAGGGCTCCCAGAAGCAAGTGCTTCTCGCTGTCAACCTGCTACTCGGGATCATGAGGGTGCACGATGAGCTCCTCGCTCTCATTCTGGAGGCATCGGAGGACATCTTGAAAGGCTTGTCGGTGGCTTATGCGAAGCTCGCAGAAGACTCTCAAGGTGTTGTCCCAGACGAGGCTATCTTTTCTGGACGAGATGACATTCTCGTCATCTGCCGGGAGCTGCTGGTGCGAGTCGGGCTGGAAGGGTCAGCGAGCGAGGCCATGTTCCGATTCATGGACGGCGGGCAAGGAGGGATGGAAGCGGTTCTTGAGGGTCGAAGCTTGAGAAAAGACTGTGAAAAGTTCGTCTCCAAGGATCAGGGCGCGTTCAACCCATCCTCATGGGTGGTCGCGAGCCTGAACAGGAGACGGGACGAACTTGCCAAGAAGGACGCCCGGGTTGCCAGCATCCTCGCGCTTTTCCCCACTATCCCAGCCCATCTCCTCCTCGCCGCTCTATCCCATCCTCAGTTTTCCTCTATCCCATCGGGATCCCGAACATCTCCTGGCGAATTGGCAGAGCCCTTGCTGGAATGTCTTTTGAACGGCGGTCAAGGGTTACCGGCAGAGCTGTCCCATTTGAAGGAACTCGCTAGCAAGCTTGGGTATCTCCAAGCCAGCGCCGATGCCCCAGAGGAAGTGCCACAACCCAAGAAGAAGTTTGAAAGGCGGAACATCTTTAGTGCTGAGGATTTGGACATGTCGCGGTTGCGTATCAAGAATGACGAGACGTGAGTGTATCCCTATCCCATAGCATTGCAAGCTGACGCCCTTCAGTGCTCTGCCTGAGCTACAATCCACTATCCCCTCACACCTCCGCGACTCTATCCAACGCCTTATCGCCCTACAAATAGACGAGGAGGAAGAACGCCGCCAAGCCTTGGCCGGTGCCAACCTCTTGCCCTCTGACGACGAGTCCGACCTGGACGAATCTGGCGAGATTCCTCTCCGCGTCAAGGTTTCCGGGGGCGACTCTGAAGACACTGCCCCCATCGATTCGGACGGAGATGCCGTCAAGGTCAAGCAGCAGAAGCAAAGTGGCAATAGGCTGCCGGATAGAGAGGTGCATATGGTATTGAGGGGATTGTATCTGGATGATCCGGGGCTGTTTGATAGAGATGGAGCGACGAGGAGGAGCGATCAGAGGAATAAGCTGAAAGAGAGGACTGGGTGGGATGATGGGCAGATTGAGGGATGGAAGGTCATGCTCGAGCGAGACGTAAGTGCTTTGGTGTCTGGAGAACCGAGCTGATCGCCTGCAGCCCAACAAGGATACAATCCTCGAAGCACACCGAGATAGCGTAGGCAGAAACTTCAGAGCTCCATCACCCACACTATCGACAACCTCCAACCAGACGCAAGGCAGCAATCGCGGTAGAAGACCAAACAAGGGAAACAGGGGGCATTCCAACGCGGCGAGAACGAGGGGTCATGATCGCAAGATGCGACAGATGGGGGCCTAAGAGTTGTAGCATACATCATTTTCGGGAGCATGGCATTGAACATAGAACAGCATATGCATCTGTCCACAAGGCAGCACGTTGTGTAAACGCCATCTACAACTATCAGATCGAACCATATACAAGTTGACCGTCCACAATGACAGCCTTGACCTTGGCATCCAAGATCTCATCCTCCGGTACCGTCAAGAGATCACGATCCCAGACAACAGCATCGAACCTCTTGCCCTCTGTCAGGGATCCGATTCTATCTTCGCTGAACGACGCGAATGCCCCTACCCCTTCACATCAGCAATGCACACGGCAAGCGTACATAACTCACCTCCAACAGTAAGTCCTCTCAGAGCTTCCCATCTCTCCAGCTTTTGTTCCTTGTACCATCCTTCCTTTCCATGGGGCGATGTTCCATCCACCGATAAGCGAGTGACCGCGGCGTAGAAGGTGTGCAGAGGGTCAATGGATTCCACGGGAAAGTCGGAGCCGAGGGTGATGATACCAGATTCGCTACATATTATCAGCTTGCATTCAGTCAGGAAGGTGGGACGCACTTGAGGTACGAGCGCCAGGCGTAAGCGCCCTTGATACGTTCAGGACCAAGCCGGTCTTCAGCGTACCACATCTAAAAGCATACATCAGTACCGGCTACTATGCCCCTTGTCAGACTCACATCACTGGTAGCATGCGTAGGCTGGACGCTAGCAATCACACCCATGTACGCTGCTCGCTTGATATCCTCCTGGGTCAAGATCTGCGAATGTTCAAGTCTGAATCTGGCGTCTCGGCGAGCAACGGGGTCGTTGGTCGAACCCGCGATAGCATCCAGCACTACTTTGCCGGCCCGGTCACCGATGGTGTGAACATTCTGCCATATGTTAGCTGCATCTCATAGAAAGGAGAAAGGGTGACTTGCAACTTGCCAGCCCTACGACAAATCAGCGCTGATCCAAACCCCTGGTAGTATAGACTTACAGCATTGTACCACTTTTTAATCAGATCGTTCCAGATATTCTCATCTTTCAGCATCATGCCCTTCCATCCCGGCTTGTCGGTATAATCATCAATCAGCGCCGCACCCCTGGAGCCGAGAGCACCGTCGCCAAAGAGCTTGACAGCGCGAAGGGTGTAGTGGTTGTCAAAGTCGTCGTAGGGTTTGATATCGTCGCCGCAATAGTCACGCCCTTCGCACGAGAGCATGTTGTAGAACCTGATAGGAAGCTTGCCTTGCTTGGCCATCCTTGACGAGAGTCAGCGGCAGACCTTGAGAAGAAGAAGAGGCTCACTTTCTCCAGAACTTCTGATCCTTCTCAAACCCTTGCGCATCATGAACTCCAGTGAGACCACCCTTCAGAGCGTCCTTCAGCATCACATTCAGGAATCTTTCTCTGTCATCGTCCGTCCATGCAGGTCGAATGGCAGCGAGCTGGTTGATAGCATTATCAATAAAGACGCCAGTGGGCTTGCCCTTCTCATCGCGTACGACGGTGCCGCCGGAGACGTCCCTGACTTTACCCAGGCGGGTCAAGATGGCAGAGGAAACCCACTCAACATGGAAGTCGACTCTTGACAGGCTGATTGGAAGGCCTCGGAGGATGTCTGATTTGTCGAGGTCGCTCTGCAAGATAATGAGCGTTCTTCTGTTGACGACTGTGAGGTGACTTACGGCGGTAGGGAACTCCTTGTCGTCCCAGAGATTTTGGTCCCAGCCAAGACCCTGGATCCATTTGCCCTCCTTGACCTCTTCTGGGTGGGCCAGAACAAACGCCTCAACCTTCTCAATGACCTCGGCGACGGAACGAGACCCATGGAGCTGCAGTTGCCGCGAGTGCCCATAGACGAGGGGGTGGCCGTGAGAGTCGATGAAGCCCTGAAGACGGTCAGCCATCAACAGTCATGCCTGAAACTACCTACAGGAGTAACTGTACGTCCAGGAGGAATATCAATGATCCTCATGGCCTCGCTGATAGGTTTCGGGTACGTATCCGTAACCCACTTTCGTCTCATCTTCTCTGCAGGACTCTGTCAGCTCAGCCCACTGCTTCCCCGCACAACTTACTAAGACCACCCGCATCTACAACCTCTCCATCAATCACCACCACACAGTCGGCTCTACCCACGCCTTCTTCATCACCATCACCTTCATAGTCAAAGGGCACCGTCAATACGCTTTTGCCATTTTGTTTCGAGCAGATGGCGTAGAGATCCGGTAAATCACCCCCTTCTTCTCCGAGCGCAGTATATCGGCGGGGAGGGAAAGCATTTCGGACAAGGTTTGTCTGCTTTTGAGCATAGAGGATGATGGCGCCCACTATAAAGATGGAGATGGCCAGGTGGTATCCACGGGTGGACGGGATACGTGCCGGGGGATGGCGCTCGTATGGTATGACCCCGGCTGCTGTGGGTTGATTTTGGACCCGCCGTCTCAGTTGTGAATGGGGAGGCATGGCGGGATGGATACGAATGAGAGATGGGATTGGACTGGGAAATGCCCCCTTCCGTCGTCGTCTGGTCGTCGTTGCTTGCTGCGGACTGAGGGTTGCTCGGAGATAGCCGTCGGTCACAGAAATTATCTAACTGTTTCACATGTCAACAACAAGCATGACTAATATGCTCTTTCCATTGCTTATTTGCCTGCGATAAGCTGTCTTCCAAATCTTCCGCAGACAGTGACTCTGCTTGTCGTTGTGGAAAGTGTCGCCTTCAGATGCGCGATGGAACAGGGAAATCCTGTTGGCTTCGGGATAGACGGCCCGGTACATCAGAACCGCGAGATCAGAGTGAGTATAGAGTCGCCCTTGTCTTCAATGTATACTCATGATGGCTGATAGAGAGCTTGCGATGCTTGCAGAAAGAGAAAGAGGAGATGTGACGGGCCTGTGAGGAGTCACGTCAATGATAGCAGTGAGTTCGTCCATGACTTCTTTCTATTGAGCATCGCTGACATGTCCTAGAATGTGCTCACCGCTCTCGCTATGATCTCGACTGCACATATACCCAACATGTGCCTACCCAAAGAGGTCCATTGAGAGGGTGAGTGTGCAAGGTCTGAAGGTATCGCGGACACCGTTGAGGGGCTGTCAGATATCTGGAGATGGTCGAGCAGCGATGCGGACGACTCGAACAGCTGCTAAGGCAGGTAAGGATCCCTCAGACCACAAGAACTGGCTAACACGGTGAATAGGCAGTCCCAGACATTGATCTTGATGAGTATGTCGGCCCTCCGATAGACCCAGAAACGTTCGATATCGTCGACTACAAAGTCCACAGCGCAAAGTTTGTCTCTGACCCAAGAGTCAAGATCCCCGACGATATAGGAGGCTACCACCCTTACTCTGCGGGTTGGAGATATATGCGCGTCCTCTTGCGGACAGGCTACAACTTCCTCCAATCACCGTCGCTCTACAGCCTGCAAAAGACTGTCCTCGTTTGTCAGTTCTTTCAAGGGAGCAGCACCGTCCCTCACACCCTCCCTGTCATATCCAGCCTCGGCCTGCGCTTTTCGGAAGAGCTAGGCATACACGTCGGGCAACTCTTGCACCACGTCAACCCCGTGGAAAGAGAGCTCTACACAAGGGCTTTCTGGTGTCTGTACCATATCGACCGGTACAACTGTACCTTTGTGGGACGGTCCGTCGCCATGAGGGATTGTGATTTCGATATCGAATATCCGAAAGACGTCGACAACGAGTATTGGCAGCTGGACTTCAAACAGTCTGAGGTAAAGGTCTCTCGTGTAGCTGTCTTTATACAGACCTGCAAGCTGGATCGGATCGTGGGTCGGATCATGCAGACGTTCTACACTGTCGAGTCTTCGTCTCAGCCTGTCGTATCTCTTCGACGTGCTGCCGATGAAATCAGCGCAGATCTGGACGTGTGGACTGAGGAGCTGCTTTCCGTATTGCATTGGGACCCCGAACGAGGCGACTATCGCATCTTCCAGCAGACGGCCGCTCTCCACACATACTTTCACTACTGCAAGATCCTCATATACCGGCCATTCATCTCCAGCTCTGGTAGTCATCCCAAGAATGACCCTCTCGAGACCTGTCTGTCCGCATCCTATTCCATATCCGACATTCTCTCTGCCTGCCTCCATCGCGGCCGTCGTGAAAGCTGTCAGCCGGGTCACTCTCTCGATATATCCTACATCCTCCCCCCTATGGTGTTCTGGCATGATCATTCTCGCCAGCTTACTGCACAAGACCCACTCGACAGACGAATACGAGCAGGCGCTGTTTCATGCCAAGGTCATTCTCGCGGCGAGCAAGGATAGCGAGGTGGTGTGGAGGCAATGTGGAAAAGTGACGGACTGTCTCACGCATTTTGTCAAGGAGGCGGGAGAATGGAGAATTATGGGCGGCAGGGAGGGTATGGAAGGTGGGGAAGATGATATGAGGGGTAAAGTACGGTGAGGGCGACGTTATCTTCGTTGTTCTCGCCTCCGCCACTCGATCGACGGGCTCAAGACCGGGATTCGTTTGGGTCTTGGATGCGATTCAGGGACTTTGAGGCTCATGTCATGGGTATGAGCAGTAACAGGCTGGAAGGGCAGTCTAGCGAGCGAATGCAGGGATGTTTGCGAGTGGTCATTTGTGAGTTGACTGATGGCGCTTCAAGACAGTTCTCTGACGTGTGGGCTGCAGGGGTCCCGATCTCTTCAACTCTTGGGCGTAGCGGACTGTCTCCTCGGATTGATAATGATTCGGCTCAGATCTCTCGGATACTATTGGAAGATAAGCTCAGGGACGCTTTACAAGCGGTGCCCACGCCTGGCGAGAGGAAGACCTGATAGTCTCGGCCTATGCATCACAAATGGGTTCACGTCAGACCTTCTAGAATGAACTGTGATCATCACCATACAGAGTGTCTTAGACTTATGCATATTGTGCTGATGCCAGACTCACTCACCACTACGCCTCGTCGTTCGTTCAACCAAAGTAGCGCAGCTGCGTGCAACGGCACTACTCTTTCTGTGAATAGTACGTGAGTACGGAGAAGTAGTATGACGGCGGTCGATGCACAACGATTGGATACAGAATCCGAAGTGATGCACATGATATAAACAGGACCACAAAACAGACATAAGAAGATACAACTCGAACAATTCAGCGATCTGAGCAATAGCTGTGATGAGGCAAGACTTTCCAGTCCCTGCTGTGCCATCAACGTTGAGACGGAATAGTTTGACTTCTTCACCCGCTAGCTGGGCTTGAGCATGACGCATAAACTTGTCGTATACCAGTCGCTGTGTGACGTTGAGTGAGTCTGGATTGATGTCGTCAGGCTTTGCAGGAGAGAGATCAGCATGCTCATCAGTCGTTGATACGTACATCTCTGTCAATTGTGGCACAGCTTGACCCACAAGTGCTTTCACAGGTCCAATGCATTTCGAATACGCCAGTCGGTCATCTGCAGACAAATCGGCGCTCAATGATGCCCAATCGAAATTCGTGTCTAGGTTTCTCATACCTAACCTTCCTCCAAACAACTCCGCATTTTCCTCCACCCCCCAAAGCCGCCAGGACATGCTTATCCAGTCGTACTCGGTCCTCTATCTCCTCCACTCCCTCAAACTCTTCTTCAGGATCTTTCACCCCTTGACTCCCTCTTTCACCAGAACGCCGAGGAGATTTTGGCATAGTGTCGTCCTCGCAATTGTTGTTTTGAAGACGTCCAGCCCATCAATAGACCGAGGATCAGGATGATAGAGGTGTCATTGACGGAGAGGTCCAAGAAGACAAGTCCACGCCCGCCAGGTATGTTCATCCGCCCCCCCTACTCCTTGTCCTCCATCTCCACCCACGCTATCCCCTCCGAGCTTCCACTGACTTCCATTGTCTCTCTAGATCTCACACTGTTGGTGGTACGCCGCAAAGGAGGTTGAATCCCCCAGAGTCGCAAGGATCAGACGCTTCTGGAGATGGTACTGAGGAGTGGGAGGATAACGATGACGAAGACGACGCAGACGACGTGAGCTCTACCGGAACAGGTGCGATGACATCGTCTGTATGCAATGGTCGTCGCATGCTAACGATAATTCATGACAGAATACTCTCGTGATTCGAATGTCGAGGTGGGTGATGTTGTACTTGGTATTGAGCTCTTGGATGGCCTATACATGATGTCAGCTCTAGGTTCGATACCAACCAACGACTGACCTGCCTTTATAGCTAGACTAGCTCTTGGAGTCTTCTTTCCCGCTCCTCCAACTCCCTCATCCTTGAGCGGTGCTCGGCCTCTTGCGCTTCCTTCCGGGCAAACTCTGCCTCCTGTTCTTCCTTCCTGCGGGCAAGCTCTGCCTCCTGTTCTCCCCTCCTCTGCTCTAGTTCGCTCTCACGTGTCGTTACTGCCTGCTCCTTCTCACGGATTCTCTCTGTTCTCTTCTTATTTTGGCGGTTGAGAGCTCGCAGGCTGGCATCGTGAGAGGCGGACTGGGCCATCAGGCGCTCGTCGTATCGCTGATCTGCCACACACGAAAGCATTGTCTCCGCAAGCTTGACCACCTGATCGATAGTGATGGACGGTTTGATCCTCTTGCCAGGTATTGTTGTTGTCTTTCCGTTCTCCGCTGCCCACAGCAGTATACACTTGCTAATGCGAGGGTCTAGTAGCTTCCCGTCGCGAGCTCTTTCAATCAGCCGAGAGGCCTGCTCAGAGCCTCTGAATCGACGGGAGGCATACAATCTAAACCCAGCTTTGGCTTCGGCACGCAGCGCTTGTATTTCCTGGCGGAATAGAACCGTCTATCAGAAGCTCAGTTATGTTGGGTCAAGAAAACGAAGTACGTACCAGGCAGTGAAGAAAAAGCTCATCGCGCGATTCTCCCTGGAGTATTTTCTGATCTACAGAACGTAGCGTATCAGCAACAGCATGTATCTTGATAGCAGTGATCCAGCTGTGGATGTATAGACTTACTCTCGCTTTCAACTCTCGCGAGCGCCTGGGAAAGTTGAAATGGCGTCGCCAGCCGGGCTCATTCATAATATTTGAATCACGAGAGTATTCTGTCATGAATTATCGTTAGCATGCGACGAATACAGACGATGTCATCGCACCTGTTCCGGTAGAGCTCACGTCGTCTGCGTCGTCTTCGTCATCGTTATCCTCCCACTCCTCAGCACCATCTCCAGAAGCGTCTGATCCTTGCGACTCTGGGGGATTCAACCTCCTTTGCGGCGTACCACCAACAGTGTGAGATCTAGAGAGACAATGGAAGTCAGTGGAAGCTCGGAGGGGATAGCGTGGGTGGAGATGGAGGACAAGGAGTAGGGGGGGCGGATGAACATACCTGGCGGGCGTGGACTTGTCTTCTTGGACCTCTCCGTCAATGACACATCTATCATCCTGATCCTCAGTCTCTCGTTCAGATACCAATTGTGGCGGTTGGTTGATATCCTGAAGGGGCGTGCCAGAGGGAAATATCTGTGAAGAAAGCGCTGCTAGGTTCAATCAGCACGGGAAAGGTCATGATGATGAAAAGAACTAACTCGAAGCTTGCAGTGGCGCCCAATCCGCAGGTGGTGCTTCTTCCCCTGTGGAGAGCTGTATATTGCTGGTGTTGCCTGATCCAACAAAGGCTTGTCCTGAGACATCGTCCCTCAACCTTGAGCCTGACGCTAATGTCGAAGAGAACATCACAAGGTCCGTCGATATATCTGGATCATTGTGGTAGTTGACTTGCTGACTCGTACGCGAGACATTGGATACCATGTCATTGTGCGATGAACTGAACGAGGGATCGATGAAGGAATGGCTCGGGGAGGGATGGGCACCAGCGCCTAATTCGGAGAAACGGACAGAAGGCGCCTGATCCACACAACTGGCAGTTGACCCGATGCTGGAACGGTAGGAGCAGCGGGTGAAGCTGGCGCAGAGATGCTGTCCCGAGGGATGGTAGGAAGAGAAGCACCCGATGCTGAAACGGTAGAAGAGACCGCACTAGGAATAGGGGCGTGGCTGAGGGAAGAGCTAGAGGGCGCGTCGCGTGAATCAGACGAGACAATAGAAAGCTGGGTGTGAGGGTCTACAAGGCCAGCTACATCTTGACAGTCAGTATGGCAATAGCATATCCAGCACACTAGAGGGCTCACCGACTCTGGTCTTGGGAAGGCTTGCTTTTGTATGACGCTTATGCGGACCAAACGCAAGGCATTCAGGCTGGCAGCTGGCTCGACACAAGCCCTTCCTTCCCACCCCCCACCCCCCACCCCCAGGGAAGGGTCGGGGAGAGAAACTGACAAGTTTGCTTTGCTGGTTTCGGCAACCCAATTTGTCAATTTTGGGCCAGATGCTACCCCTTCCGGGCTACTTACCATTACGATGACGGCGGCGGCCGCCGCGGAGAAGGCCTACGGTCTCGGCTCACGATGAAAGATAATTGGAGCAATGTCATCAATAGTCAATACAGTCACCTTGACATCAACCAACATGCCAGCGAGAAGGAGAGACGGCGAGGGCGAGGGGGGCGCATCCCCACCCTCAGACGTCCCGGGAAACAAGAAGCGCAAGGTGCACGTGAGTATCGCAGCTACGGAACGCCCTTCTCGCTGACATTATACAGAGAGCCTGCGACGCGTGTAGGAGACGAAAGATCAAGTGCAATGGGCCCATGGACAGCCGTATCAATGACAGTCAGTTACTGATTCTCGTACGAATGACCAGTACTGACTCGTGGCAGAGTGCGCTTATTGCATTAAGCTTGGGCTCGAGTGCACCTATAACAACGACACTAGCAATAAGAGGGGACCATCAAAGTCGTGAGCACTGATTCAGACGCGTCGATATTCAGCTGACCTCGGTTGACCTCGGTTGACCTCGGTCAGGTATGTACAGATGCTGGAACAGAAGTGTGGCAGGTTGGAGACGCTGCTGAGCCAGGTGGGTCTGAGTCTCTGGACCGAGTTCGTGACTGAGTGACCTCTAGGCATTCCCAGATGTGGACCTTCGCACCTACGTCGGACCAGAACTGGATCTCGATACATTCGAAATCACTGCGTACTCTCAAGCGCTCGCATCTTATGGAATACCCCCATATCCCTCGGTCAAACCCCTCCCCGTCCCTTCGCCACAAGTCTCCGCCCCTGTGCTGAATCCTGAACCCGTCACATCCTCTCTCGTGCCTCGCGCTGGAGAAAAAGTGCGTAGGGGTAAAGACGACGTCAGGCAAGACCAGCAAACAGCCGAAGAGCTCTCGCTCGCTAGATTCATGAGCCGGCTCAATGCTCGGGGTGCTCAGGGGCGAAATTACGACAAACCTTCCCCCGCCTTCCTGGTATACCAGCTGAAAGAGTACAGAAAGAGCTGTGCGCAGAACCCACAGCTTATCGAGGATCTCAAAAAGACGAGGAGGTGTCAATTCTGGGACATGCCGCAGTGGGAAACTGACATGACCGATGAGGGACTTCGTCACGCCGACTGGTCTATATGGCCCTCAAAAGGTCTAGACAAGCTCCTTATCGACGCATATTTCGACCACGTCGACCGCTTCCTCCCATTACTCAATCGCCCCCGCTTTCAGCAAGAGTATGACCGAGCGCTCTGGCGGAGTCACTATGGCTTTTCGCGCGTCTGCCTCATGGTGTTTGCGAACGGCGCCAAGTTTGTGCAGGACTCTCGGGTGAAGCTATCACAAGAAGACTTGCAGGATATGGAAAGTGCAAGCTTTACTGCTGGGTGGAAATACTTTCGCGCTTTCATCAAAATGGGGCAGAATCCCTTGCAGTGCCCTACCCTCTTCGACCTCCAAACCTCTGTGCTTCTTTCCCAGTTTCTCCAGGGATCGACTACTCTCCCGCACAGCCTCCACAGCGTCTACTCTATCGGCATCAGCTCTGCACAAGACCTTGGTATTCATATTCGCTCACTCATGGAGCGCGTGAATCCTGTAGAGAGAGAACTCTACGTCCGCGCGTACTGGTGCCTATACCATATCGATAGGCACAGCAGCGTGTTCTTCGGTCGTCCGATGGCCATGCGAGACGTCGACTTTGATATCGACTATCCCAGAGATGTCGACGACGAGTACTGGGAGAGTGGAGATCAGAGCAGCCGGTTTTTAAAGCCGCAGGGAAAGGTCTCTCGGGTAGCTGGGCACATTCAAATCCTCAAGCTCGACCGTATCATGGGCCAGATTTTGCACGCCATCTACACCGTCAACATCTCCCGAGATACCAACATCACCAACGCATATCAAAGTTCAGGCCAACTGCTCGATACCTGCCTCAACCGCTGGCTGGCCGAGTTGCCTAGCGAGCTCCGCTGGGACCCTACCTGCCCGGACTTTGGCGTCCTCCAACAGACCGCCGGCCTGTTGCTGTACTTTTACTATTGCAAGAGTCTCGTGTATCGCTCTTACGTGACGATCAGCTTTTCCGACCCTGCCGACCCTAATCATACCCTCATGCCTCTTGCAGCTTGTCTTGCAGCGGCTCGCTCCATCTCCGATATCATCTACACCACCCTGACTCGGGCCAGACAAGAAGGCGTCCCTCCGGGCCACGCTCTCAATGTGTCTTTTATGCTACCTGCGTGGTCTGCTGGCATGATCTTTCTCTTCAGATTGTCTCTTGTACAAGATACGAGCGACGAGAAACAAAAGATGTTGCGCGAGATGAGGCGGCTTATAGAGGGGACGAGGGATATGGAGCTGGTATGGAAACAAGCCGGAAAGATGACCGACTTTTTCGAGCACCTTACGAAAGAGGTGGAGAAGCCGAGATCGACAGTGTGGCGGCCGGCCGAGGGAGGAAGTGGGGCAGAAAGGGTGGAAGACCGGCAGCTGATCCCGTTGTACATTATCAATTCGTCCCCGCGTGATCTCCCGCAAGGTCAGCCGCAGTCGCCGGATATCTTGGAGGCGTGGATGAAGATGGATGCGTTCGAGTTTCAGATGCTAGGGACAGGCGCTGGGGATGCGGGGTCGGAGCCGGATGAGGAGTGGTGGATCAAGCTGTATGAGCATTATATGTGAGCCCGGTGTCACGATTCTGGATGGGGCATGTTTCTAACATCTTTACAGAGCGCCTGATATCATGAGTACCTGGTCCTGAACGTCAACTGCTCAAGATTGAGTATGGTAGACATGTTGTCTCTTCGCCGATACTTTAATCCACCGAATGCTTCTGTAAATCACTCGGTGGTCTGCAGCATACCGACAGTCCACGCTCAGCTGGCCGTTGTTCTTGAGTGTGTCTTGTCACTAGTTGTATGTATTCATGTTCTCGGACGTCCTCTGTGATGAGGGATCGGAGGTCGTCAAATGGTCGTCGACTGTGTTCACTCGTCAAAGAGCATGACATGATCCGACGAACCATAAGCTGCATGATCATTGTATAACACATAAAGACTGTACTACATAGACTATATTCGTACAAGATGATCCCAGTGCATAGGCACACAACAAAACCCCATTTCTCCAGATCAATCATGAAACACGAGACCCTTTTGCGGACAGCGCCCCAGCGTCCAAGACTCAGAGCACATACATGAAACTCGGGTTCCTGCCACTCCTGTCAGCACCCGCAATCACGACTCAGCACAAGATCAAACTCACTCAAAGTCTGTCATGTCATCGAAAGCACCCTCATTCAGCTCCCCCTGCCCTGTTCCGGTCCCCTGCCCCCTCGCCCTCATCATCTCCTTCAACTCTGCCCTATACCTGTCCGCCTCCTCAGTGTTCATGATCGACACATCCTTCAAGTTGGCCGGCATGCCCAAGGCGACACGGCGGGCTTCTTGTCGGCGGTTCAGGACTTTGAGGTAGAAGCCCATAGTGATGACGAGTAGGAGGAGGAGGCACCAGCAGGCGATGTCGACGTAGAGACCGGTGTGGTACTTGGGACTTTCGCGGTCGAGATAGACTTGGGGGCCGACGATCTGTCATCTCTGTTTAGTGGGTGTGTATGGAGGAAGGAAAGAAAGAAGGGGCGTACGTTACCGACAGTGAGGGCACCGAACATGGTGGCGGTTGTCAATACTCGTTTGGTCGTACCCGCACAATTCAGATTGCACCAGCTGACCAACAACGGTTCTGATTTTCGCCAAGCTCAATCAGCAGTCATACTCCCGTATTGCATGAATGTTGACTCACGAATAGCCGATAAAAGATAAGCGACATAATAACTAGCCATCAAAGCCCCAGTCTTGCTGTTTGGCACTTGGGTTAGGGCGCAAGCACCGGCGATGGGAAAGATGCAGATGGTAGCGATGACAGGCCATCGCATCTTGATCTTGTTGGTGACGTAGATACCGACGAGGATGGTGATGATGCCGATACCGCCGGGAGGCATTTGAAGCAGGATAGTGGTGAATGTGTCAAAGCCAAAGCCCTAACATGGATCAGACCGTCTTCCAGAGCCAGAGATGATGAGAGACATACCTTGGTAATGAGACCTCCGAAAGCACCGATACCACCACTGGGAATAGCACACAGCAACCACATAGCAGCCCACATATAAGTCTTGGGATCCTTGTACGTCTCCCAGAACTGGTCCCACTTGAACTTGGACGCTTTGGTACCAGTGTTGTTGTCCTTGAGCCGATGGATGGCGATGAGCCTGTCATTACCGCCACGCAAGAACTTGGCAGTAGTGGGCGAGTTGGGCATCATGAACCATACAAACGGCACCAAAGCGAGCGAAATACCGCCCATGAAGATGAAGATGCCTTGGTAAGGCTTGACGGTGGTTGAGCCTTCGACGGCTTTACCGATAGCGTACGCCAGGAGGGGACCGAGGATGGCGGCGAAAGAGTTGGAGATTTGGTAGGCGACAGTGCGGTAGGATTGCTCACGACGGACCCACCACATCTGGGTGATGAGGATGAAGGAGGGCATGATGGTGGCTTCGAATACGCCCAAGAACATTCGGGCGAGGAGGAGGCCGGTAAAATTTTTGGCAGCGCCGGTGCACATGGTGACGATACTCCCTGACAACATTGTCAGCTTTACCATTGAAAGATGAAATGTACGACTCACAAGCAGTCATGTTGAAGATAACCCAGTACTTGACAGGCAAGACGATGAGCGCGTAGGAGGATAATGGTTGACAGACAAGTTGCGCGCAGTACCTTGTCGCATTGTCAGCTGTGAGTAAAATATCTCGGATCATACTGACACAACAGAGGAAAGCCAACTGTACTCTGAGCCGTGGAGATTGGCTTCCGTCCTCAGGTCAAAGACAGCCGCGTAGGATACCGCAGACTTGTCCAGCTACCCGTGTACGCGTCAGCATCCATCCATCGTTTTCATTCGTCAATCACTCACCTGCTGGATAAAGTAGACTAGACACATGGGCAAGCAGACAAAAAGATCAATCTTGCGCAAGATTCGCTTGTTGTCCTCAGTAGTATAGTCGACATGACCACCTGCTTCCTCTAGTAGTCGGGCAGCATCGTCGATCTGGTTGTTGGCCGTCCTCTTCTTTCTGGCAGGCAGGCCCTTTTCGGCACCGTCATAGTTAGTGGCGCTGGGGGCGACTTCGATGTGCTCGGTAGAGAGCTTCTCATCCTCGAGAGAAAAGACGCCTTGGTTCTTTTCTGGTGTCGACATGGCGCTAGTGAGGATTGGGATGAGTGGTTGAGGCGAAGAAGAAAAGAGATGGAAAGACAAGGGTTGATATAAGACAATTTGGAGGCCGATGCTTTCGGGTCAACGAGGGAGAGACCTGCCCCGGGCCGTTCATATGACATGGTCAGAGGCCGGCCGTGGGGCACCGGCGAATTGTTTTGTTGACAAAAAGTGCTGCGCTTGGCGAGAGATTACTAGTAGGACAATCATCATCCCTCTCCCGTAGCCCCAGGCATGACTTCACCCCGAGCTCGATCGGGGACGACTGGGTCAATGATCTTGCGGGTCATTTGCAGTTTTGCACAGCGCCTCTCGTTGAAAACAGCCATTGTGCGGCAAACATCAACCATCTCACAGCCGGTCCATCCAGCGCGTGACTTGTCCCCAGGCACCGTGCTCACTTTGCCCCGGGCTGCCGACGCGTTTGGTTTCCTTTCAACGTCATCACATTTGTTTCAACACTTCTAGAGATACAACCATGTAGAGTACGAGTACAGCGCATGCACTACTCATCCTCATCCTCCCCCAGCACCCCCACACTCCGAATCTCCCCTCCCGGCGCATACACCGTCGTCTGATTCGCCGCCCCTCCTTCCACATACCCCTCCACCAAACTAAACACATCCGAATGACTCTTACTTCTCGTCCTCGTAGAGGGCTGGGGCTGGTACGACAACGTGCCAGACATGAGGCGTTTCCTGCCCGAAGACGGGGATGTCGGCTGACTAGGGTTACGGGAGGATGAAGGGGAGGGGTAGTATGTGGATGAAGATGTGGATGCTGTGGGACGATGTCGGCGGGAGAAGGTGGATGGGACTGGGGGAGGGGAGAGGGTGAATGCTGGGACGGATGTCTGAGTCCTGCGCAAGCGGGGGAGAGTGTGGGCTTGGGGTACGATAGGATCTTGACGCGTAGGAGTCGCAGGAACGCGGGGGAAGGGGTATCCACTGCCCTTGTGATTCTTGGTAGGCGTCGGCGAGCCCGAATCGGATGTAGCGAGCGAATCGGTATCGACCGTTGGCTCATCATCCACCGCCTCTTGCGTCTCGTAACGCAGCGTCGACTTTTTAGGCGTCCTCCTTGCCCTCTCACTCGAGTCTTCGGGCTTGTTGACGCCAATCTCCTCCCCATTGTTCATAATGACATGCGCACCTTCCTCTGCAATCTCTTCTTCCACACTCTCAATCACATCCAAATGCAACCCCCCAACACCGCTCTCGCCCACCCTGCCTTCGGCCTCGCGCTTCTCCCGCTCGATACCAGGCAAGACGGTGCGCACCCACTTGCCGACATTGTAGATGGCCTTCTCCGTAGCAGGGAGGAATGAAAACATTTGGAATACGTGGACCATGTCTTCGTACAGTTCGTGTGTGACCGAGACGCCGGCGAGGGTGGCTTTGTGCGCGACGAGGATGATTTCGTCTCGCAATACTTCAGAGTCGCCGGATTGGATGAGCATGGGAGGGAGGCCGTGAAAGTCGCCGAATAGGGGAGAGGCGTATGGGTGGGTGAGGTAGGTGGAGATGCCTTTGGGTCCGAGGTAGCACCCTACAGGGTTCAAGTGGTCTATAACGTGTTAGCATGTAACAAATGTATGGTATAGGACTCACCATCAGCTTCGGGTCGTGGGACGACATCAGAACTAGCATTCTCATCCCAACTCCCACAGCTCATCGTCAAATCCACCCACGGGCTCATCAAGATCAACCCCGCAGGGAGCTTGTACCCCTCATCTCGGAGATACATGCACAGCGCCAGACTGAGCCCACCGCCGGCAGAGTCGCCTGCGATGATGATGTTTTCTGGAGGGATCGATAGCGGCGCGGAGAGGAGGCGCAGGTAGCCATGTAGGACGTCGTGTAGTGGGAGGGGGAAAGCGTGTTCGGGGGCGAGGCGGTATGTGATAGCTGTGCTGTATCAGCTTTGTTCAGTCTTGAGATTAGGGGACGCACCAAAGACTCGGGCGTTGCACGACTTGCTGACGCCAATAGTGATCAGCCGGTGGGTCGCAGCATTTCCCACATAGTACGCTCCCCCATGAATGTAGTAAATCACTCTCTCCCCTGCACCTGCTTCATTCTTGAGTTCCGTCGCTAGCTCTGGGAAACGCTGCCCGGCCCTCGGGGACGCGCTCCTCCCCTTCCCTTTCCCCTGCCTGTGCCGCTGCCTTGCCCGTTTCTCTGCTTTCAGCCGTTTCCACACTTCCGTCCCCACCACCCACTCTCCCGCCAGCTCCCTATCCCCGAGTTCCAAAAGATCACACTGCCTCAAGAAACCCCTCGCCGCCTGCGCTTCGGTCCGTTTTGGGACGACGAACGTTATGGGAGTGACCACCGCGTCTCCGGGTAGCGGCATGAGAAAGTGCAATGAGACGAACCTCCTTATGAGGACGATATCAGCCAAGCTGGAATGGTCTGCAATATTGCGCATGAACGACGTTATAAGCGTCATCCTATACCCCCAACTAGTGCGTTTGGGACCAAACAAGAGATGCGACAGGAGCGCCATAAGCACATGTATGCCCTTGGTGAACACAAATCTTATAAAGAGCCACCATTCTGCGAGGGACCACAGGAACGGGCTGGACGAAGCTGGTGGGGGCAGACGTTGTTCGAGCTTGGGGTCTATGCGCGATGACGGGGGCAGGGGGGAGGGGGAGCGGAGTGGGTGGGAGGTGGTGTATGTCTGGAGGAGGTGCTGGAGGGGGAGAGGCTGGAGGGGGGCGTTGTTGCGGGGCATGGTGCTCTCCGTGATACATCCATCTGAATTCTGATATCATCATCAACAGGGTCAACATGTCAACAGCGGCCATCACCGGTGCTGTCTGCGCACCCACTTTACACGCGACGCGTCTCTTCCCCTGTCATGTTCTCTTTTTCATTTGTCCTTTTCATTCAACCCATACTCCCATACTCGCCATGTCCACAGCGCTGGAACGACTCAAGGAGGCGAGGAAGAAGGGCGGTAGTCTGTCTCAGTGGAAGGTATGTCCAACCCCAACGACGCGTCGGAAAGGGATCATATACGACGCGTTCACTGACCCTACCGCGTTTCATAGCCCACTGAAGAGACCGACATCTTTGATCACGTCACCGAAGACCAATACAAAGCTATCGTCGGTGATAGACTGGACCAAGATGATTTCATTGAAGATGATGGGACGGGCGATTATGTAGATGATGGGAGAGAGGATTGGGACGGGGCGGAGAGTCAGGAAGAGAGTGAGGATGAAGACGCGTTTGATGGGGAGGATGAAGAGTATCGAAAGGGTAAGCCCGATCCTAATGATAGGAGCCAAGACTGACGCGTCTATAGCGCGTAAACTGAAAAAGGCAAAGGCAAAGGCGAAAGCCGCTGCCAACCCCGACAAGGCCACCAAAGCCAAGCCCAAAGCCAAAGCTTCCTACTCTGACTATGCCCGCCCTTCCAACAAGTCTTCAACCTCGTACCGCGCGGCCGCGCCAAGTGCACTGGCGGAAGACGACTTTATGGCCAGTCTCTTATCGGGCATCGACGCACCATCTACCACCCGCAAACGCAAATCCTCCCCCGAAATCCCTTCGTCCGACGGTTTCCCCGAACCCAGCTCCGATAGCTCCTTCTTTTCCTCTTCGCGGAAGCGATACGGAGCGGAGAGCGATGATGAGACGATGTGGGACGCCAAAAGAGGCATCATGGGCAAGAAGCCGCGTGTTTCCGATGTGACCGTCACTGGCAGACGCGATTCGCATATGGACGTTGATCAGGAGAATGATATCCAGTGGGACGACGATTCCATGGATATCCACGAGGTCAAAGCAGAACGCGCGGATAGCGACGACGACGATATACGAGTCAAGAGTAAACCTCTGACGACATCAAAAGTCAACGGCGTCACGACGAAACGCAAGGTCGTCAATGCTTCTTCCGTCAAACACGTCCTCAAGCGCGAACCTTCACCTGTGGCATCTCCTGCCGCTGTGAAGGCGGAAAAGGCAGAGGTGGAGATGGAGGTGGAGCCGAAAGTGATCAAGCCTCGGTTGGCGGCCAAGCCCAAGGGCAAGAGCAAGCACTGGTCGGCGATCCAAGCGGACCTCGCTGCAAAGGCCGCCGAGGCCGATGTCGACGACCTCGAAGCCGCCAAGGCGCCTGTCAACAGCACGATCCATTCGGACGATGTGCTCGAGACGGACGGCTCGCTCAAGTTTTTCTGGCTCGATCATTATGAAGAGGCTGGGCATATCCACCTTATCGGAAAGGTGTTGGATCAAAAGTCGGGCAAATATGTCAGTTGTTGTGTGTCGGTGCTCGAGATGGAACGATGCTTGTATGTCAAGCCGAGAGCAAAGAAGTTTGGTGAGTATTTCGTCTTTGCAAAGAGACACTGCTGATATCGTGGCAGCCGACGGTCATCAAACAGATCTCGACGTCTCTCAAGACGATGTCCTCGACGAGTTTGACAGTTTCCGGAGAAAGTCCAACATCAGCGAGACGCGAGTCCGTTGGGTGAGACGGCAGTACGCTTTCGAGGATCAGACTGTAGAGAGGGAAGAGAGCGACTGGCTAGAAGTCAGGTACCCTTTCCATCGTGAGTGTATATCACCTTTGGACCAAGTGTGATACTGACGATATACAGAGCCCGAGATTCCCGCCGGTTCTAGTGGTTCTACCTTCAGTCACATATTCGGTACCAACACGACTCCATTCGAGCTGTTTGCGGTGCAACAAAAGATCATGGGTCCTTCGTGGCTCGAGATCAAGGACCTATCGCTTGCTGCAAACGCTGTACGTCCTTCATATCTGCTTTGCAACCAGCTCACATTTCACAGGCTACCTGGTGTAAAATCGAATTTTGCGTCGAAAGCCCCTCCACCATCAACCCCTTCCCCGAAACCGACAACGCCGCCCCCAAAGACACCCCCCCTCTCACCGCCATGTCCATCTCCATCCGCACCATCGTCAACCTGCGCGAAAACAAGACTGAAGTCCTCGCCATCTCGCTCCGTGCATGGGACGACTACAATATCGAAGATCCCACCCCGCCAGACCAGCTCCGATCGCAGATCACCACCGTCATCCGGCCTATTGAAAAGTTTCCTGCCGGGTTTGAAGCGTTTGCCAAGAATCCGAAAGAAGGCAATTCGTTCCATACTGTCAAGAATGAGCGGTCGCTTCTGAATCTTGTCCTCACGCATATTCAGCGACATGATCCTGATGTGCTGGTGGGACACAACTTTTTGGGCACGAATTTCGAGACGATGCTTTACAGGTTTAGAGAGCTTTCTGTGGACAAGTGGTCTAGAATAGGCAGGTTTAGGAGGGGCAAAGGGATCAAGATTTCAAAGATGGGGAGTAATGTCAGGTTGTTGTCGGGCAGGTTGGTTGCCGATCTGTCTAGTGATGCCGCCAAGGTGTGTCCTCTCATCCCTACTCAAGTCCAGGCGCTCACGTTCTGCAGGGCATGATCTCTTCGACGACTTGGTCTCTTACAGAGATGTGCCTCACACACCTCAAGATCCAGCGCGAAGATATCGACCCCGAGGACACTGCTACGTATTTCGACCACAGTGCCGTCTCTCCCGACAAGTTGATCACTTTCACGCGATTGTGCGAGGTGGACGCCTTTTTTCAGATGGCTATCGCTGCTAGGGTGCAGATCTTGCCGTTGACCAAGCAGCTCACCAACTTGGCTGGTAACTCTTGGTACGTTCCGACGTGGAGGGAAGGGCATGGCTGACCTTGCACAGGAACCTCACGCTGAATGGTGGTCGTGCTGTCCGTAACGAATTCATCCTCCTGCACGAGTTCAACCGCCTCGGCTACGTCTGCCCCGACAAGGCTCCCTTCAAGGCCAAGACAAAAGCTTCCGCCGACGGCGACGAGGGCAATGAAGATCTCGGTGTCATGAAGGCCGGAAAGGGCAAGGCCAAGTATTCTGGTGGTTTAGTCTTTGAGCCCAAGAGAGGGTTGTGGGACAAGTACATCTTGGTCATGGACTTCAACTCGCTGTATCCCAGTATCATACAAGAATTCAACATTGATTTCACCACGGTTGTGAGAGGTCAGGATGGTGATGTGAGTTTTGCGACTTCTGTGGAAAGGGCTTGGCTGACGGTGTGTAGGACGAGGACAAGATTCCCGAAGTGCCCAGATCAGGCGAAGCCAAGGGTGTTCTTCCCAAGATCATTTCGACCCTCGTCAACAGGCGTAAACAAGTCAAAGGCCTGATGAAGAACAAGTCGGCCACCCCGGCGCAGATCCTCCAGTGGGATATTAAGCAATTGGCCCTCAAGCTCACTGCCAATTCGATGTACGGTTGTCTCGGTTTCGTTGGATCTCGATTCTCTTCGAGACCTCTTGCTGCTTTGACGACTTTCAAGGGTCGTGAGATTCTGGGGCAGACGAGGCAGACGGCTGAGAATGATCTTGGTCTTGATGTACGTGTTTTCACTTGCGGCAGATCGGTGCTGACTCCGTGTAGGTTGTTTACGGAGATACCGATTCCGTCTTTGTCAACTCCAACGTGACTACCTACCCTGAAGCTTTCAAGATTGCCAACGACTTTAAAAAGGCCATCAACGACAAGTATCGTCTCTTGGAGATCGATCTTGATGCCGTCTTTGAGAGAATCTTGCTGTTGAACAAGAAAAAGTATGCGGCTGTCAAGATTGATGAATCGGGAGAGAGGATCACCGAGGTGAAGGGTTTGGATATGAAGAGGAGAGAGTACAGTCAATTGTCAAAGGACTGCAGCACGTAGGTTCTCTACGCAGAAAGTAGGACCCAAACTGACGGTCAATTAGTGCGGTGTTGAAAGAGATTCTGAGTGGAGAATCCACCGAGGTTGTTGTCCAGAATGTCCACGACTATCTCATCCAAGTCGGGGAAGCCGTCCGTAACAATGAGGTACCGCTCGAAGACTTCATCATCTTCAAAGTAAGCCCACCGTCCCGCAAGATGACCATGACTAATAACCATCGCAGCGACTCGGTAAAAACCCCGAAGAATATCCAGAGAAGAATGCCCTCCCCCATGTCCAGGTCGCCCTTCGCATGAAAGCCAAGGGTACATCCGCCAAGGCGCACGATGTTATTCCTTACATCATGTGTCTGGATGAGGACGGCAAGAGCGGTAAAACGCAAAGTGGTGACCGAGCCTTCCACCCTGATGATTTGAGGAGACAAGGATCAGAATTGAGAATTGGTATGTTTCTATACTCTTTCACAGTTTCCATCACTAACGGACGACAGACTACGAGTACTATCTCGACAATCAAATTCTTGTCCCCGTCAACAGATTGTGCGAGACTATCGAAGGTACCGAGCGGGCGCGTATGGCGGAATGCCTCGGTCTCGACCCCCGACGATACGCCAACACTGCCTCAGCCGAAGCGCAAGAGCAAGAATTCGCCACATTCGACTCTCAGATGTCTGATGAGGACCGGTACAGAGACGTCGATCCTCTGAAACTGACCTGCCCTGGCTGTATGGAAGAGTTGGCGTTTGTCGGTTTGCCAGGCAAGGAGGAAGCCGAGTCCCAGATCCGAGCCAACGGTATTTGCTGCGACAAGTGCAACACCCCCATTCATTCCGCGTCTCTGGGGCTGCAACTCGAGAACCAGATTCGCGCTCATATTGCGCAGTATTATCTGGGATGGATGGTATGCGACGGCGAGGGATGTGGCAGTCGGACACGGACGATGGGTGTGTATGGCAAGCGGTGCTTGGGTTTTGCGCGAGAAGATTGTCGGGGTACGATGAGGCTGGAGGTGAGTTTACTTATCAAGTCCTTAGACAGCGCTGATGATGGGTTCAGTACACGGATATGAAGTTGTACCACCAACTACTATACTACCGCAGTCTTTTCGACGTTGACAAGATTCTTGCGCCCCTCCAGGGCAGTAAGCGGTTAGGTAAGCCACCTCAACCCCTCTTCTACGGATGTCAACTGACCCCTTCTGCAGAGGAAGTCCGACCAGTAACACTTGCCAACAAAAAACTCCTCTCAGACCTCGTCAACGTCACAGACAAGTACCTGAGCAAGAACGGGAGAAGATACGTCGACTTGGGAGGGTTGTTCAAGTTTATGGAAAAGATCAAGCTGTGATGTGTCCGATAGATGGGATGGTTTCTCTCGGTGTTTATGTTTATCTACTTTTTGCTACTTTGGTATTCTCATATTTGTATGGTATGTATGCATGGACGTTACGTTCTTGGTCAAGTCAAGATATCAGAAGTTGCATCCCAACATCATTGTCCGTGATCTATACTTTGCGTTCGACCCTTCATTCCCGCAAGCACCCCGAATACAAGCATACAACATTTCCAGCAATCACGTTCTCAACGTTCCAGAAGGACCAAACTCCTATTCGACGTTCAGCACAAACCAGACATTAGGCATCGGTGACTCTCACTTTAGCATAGCAGTTCTTGCAGTGCGGCGTACCATCTCTATCCGACACCTTTGCCGGGGCTAGTGTCGTATTACACTTGTTACATTTCAAACACCACCTATGCCACTTGTGGCCCACCGAAATCACCTACAACCCCATCAGCTTCCCTCCTCACAAACACCACATCTCGAGTGAAGAACTCACCTGCTCAGCAGCATAAACCCTCTTCTCACACCCCCCACAAAGATCATCCCCAGCAACGCTGATACCAACTTTCGTCCTCGGGCTCGAGCCCTTCTTCAGCAACCCCCTATCATCCAGCGCCCTCGCCCCTCCCGCATAAGGTATACTTATCGGCCTTTGATCTCTAAAGTTTGGTCTGGTGATCGGCGTTGAAGGGTCTGTGGGGGTGGCTGATTCTGGCGGAAGCGATTGGGCGGTGGGGGGGACGTAAAAGTCTGTTGTGGGAGGAGGGAGGGGGCGGGCGGAAGAGAGGGAGCCGGCGGGGCGGTGGTATGATGGGGTTGAGGTCTCGGTGGGAGGAGGTTTGGGAGGGGTGTTGGGTACGGAGGGGAGGTGGTTGGCATGGCGAAGATCTATCAGAATGTGAGTATTGCTGTAAGTGGGTAGATGAGGGTGAGAGGTACCTCTTGTACCGAATAGGACGACATGGCATCGAGAGCAATACGGCTTTACGATGAAGTGAGTCAGCTTTGGTCAATCATTACCATCCGCCAAGGAAGCCGAACACACCTGAGAATCATGCTCCACTAATCCTCCAGGGTCCAACCTCTTTCCACAATTCAGACACTTCAAACACAATTTATGATATATCTACCATTCATCTCTGTCAGCTCAGGGAGCAGCAGTCTCCAGTGGCAAAAAAAAAAGGACAAGACGAACCTTGCGACCAGGACCCATGACCTGCTCAGCATGATACGCCGTCTTGCTGCATCCTTCACACTTGGGTGCGCCTCCGAGCATCATCTTGTGGAAATAGTAACCGGGATAGTTGCAGGAAGAGAGATGTTAAAAGATGAAAGGAGAAAGTAAATAGACGCGTCGGACGCGCTTGGTGGTCAAGGCGTTCGGATATGAGCGTAATAGTCTGTGCACGCGAATGTGGCACTTGCATAACATCATCAATTCATCAGAAACTATACTATATAACAGTCCTAGGAAAATGTACAATCTATTAACAGGTAATTGTCCATGCAAACATCAACAGCATCTAGACCCAAGTATTATACAAGTCAGGTCCCCTTCCGTACCATCAGCTCTTTGACTGCCAAGAGGCAAGAGGACTCACATTTGGTTCCCAAACACCCGCCCCCACCAATCTTCATCCCCTTCTCCTTGCCCCTCCCCTGCCCCCTGCCCATCTTCCCCCTGCCCCAAAGTCACCTTCTTCATCCCCTTCATCTGATTCTCAAACGTATTCATCCTCACCCAACTTTCGAACAACTTTCTCTGCGCCTCCTTCTCACTCGACCCTTGCCCTTGCCCCTGCCCCTGCCCTTGTCCTTGTCCTTGTCCTTGTTCTTGGACGCCGGACTCGTGTCCCTGAGGGGCAGAATAGACCGGCTTGGTAGGTGTCCCCGATTCTTGCCTGAACGCCCGTTCTTCCGCCTCACGTCGTGTATCAAGTCGCCCGCTTTCGCGCAAAAACTGTTCCATGAAATCTGCAATCTTGCCTCCCAGCTTCCAATTCACCTCCAGCTCCCTCGCTGCTCTTAGACAAGCTCTAATCCCATTCTCTGCGCGCCGACGTTCGAGGGGCGTTTGGTCGACGGCGTAGATACTGACGAGCAGCACTATCCCAGCGAGCCACGCTGGGAAAAGCGCAGAAATGTCCAAAGCCTGCCCGGGCTTACTCCCTTCTCTCAAAGACCTCGACAAGACAGAGTCGGATATACTACATATCGACAACGCCGCCGTCACACACGAAGCCAACGACGACAGCTGATCATGCGTCGCCACATTCCTCCTCGGCGGAATCAAGTTCCGGTGGATGAGCATCTTGATATACGCGTGTAAAGTCCAGAGGGAGGCTGTTTGGCGGAAGAGGGTGTGGTTTGTGCGGTGTGGGTCCCAGCGCAGGGAAGGGGGGATGGAGGAGACCCAAGCCTGGAGGGTGGCGTCGAGCTCTATGGCTGCTGCACGTCTCGTCGTCGGGCCGCGGGTGGTTTTGCGGGAAGAGGAGTATAAGAGCTGGAGGACTTGGCCTAGGATCTGGTCGAGTTTGAGTACTTCGATAAAGACTCGCACGCGGGATATACGCCCGGAAGGCTGTTGGAGCATGACCCCACCAGCAAGACTCCAGTACTCGTCGTCCAAGTCTTCAGGGAAAGGCAGGTCGTAGTCGCTATCTGCCATAGCCACCGACCGGCCTAGCATCGCACACCCCTGTCTGTCCAAATGGAACAAACACCAGAACGCGCGCTTGTACAATTCCCTATCCGCCGGCTGGAGGCGCTCCAAGACGACTTTGGAGTGAATGCCGATATCTTGGGCTGAACGGAGGGCGCTGCCGGCGATGGTGGCTACGCGCGCAGGCTCGGTACCTGCTTGGAGAAAGTGGCATATAAGAGCTTGGGCTTGGAGTTCGTACAGATCCGGCATGCGGACGGGGTTTTGGCCCATGTGCAGCGCCATGTGGAGATACCTCCACCCTGCAGAGTACTGCAGCCACGGGGCAGAGTAGTCTTTGCCGGTCCCTTGCGTCTTTGAAAAGGCTGGGTGCCAGAATGTACCCAGGTTGTTGAAGAACCGGGAACCGCAGGCAAAGATGAGGAGACAGACACGGCCGAAGCGTTGTTGTGATTTCCACAAGCCAGAGTCATAGTCGCGTTGGAATATGTGGCGGTTAAGCAAGGGGAGGTGGACATTGACGTGATCAAAGTATGCATTGATCAGTTGTTGATCCAGCCCTTCATCCGGCCAGATAGAGTACCCCAGCGGGTTCAGCCCCACATCCATGACAAACACTTCCCACTCTGGCACATGCCAGAAATCCTGCCTCTTGTGTTGACCGAGGTCTTCGAAAAAGTTGGACTGTTCTCCGGACTGGTGTTTGAGCTCTTGGAAATGGAGGATGAAATGGGAGGAGGCGGCTTTGCCGTGGTGCCGCCAGTGGATGTCGTTGTCTTTGAGACGGGTGAGGGATTTGACGACGGGGGCGCTGGACGTATCGGGGACGTAAGAGTACTCTTCCGACTCTACATCTGGCACATGCTCGGGAGAGGGCGTGTGGGACGGAAGAGAAGAGTCGGCGGGGGAAGCGACAGGGGAGTCGGGGATGGACAGAGCGCGAAGTTTGGCTTGGTAGACCTCCGAGTCAAAGTCTGCTGCCACGGGGGCAGGACCGAGGTGATCGTCGAGGTTGACTGCGGGAAAGACCTATGGAGTGTGAGCTCAGACATCGATTGAGAAAGGAGATGGACGCCCTGAGTTGAGGATGCGCTCCATTCTCCGGCAGCGCTGTTCGAGGGCCTGGGTGTAGGCTGCAGCATTCCTCGTGGCAGTGGGCGGCTACACCCGCAGCAGTGAGGACAAGTGCATGGATCATGGGCAGACTCACCTGGCTCGGCGTTGTGCTCGCCGAGGTGGACAGATCTCGTTCCGTTCTGGCGCTGGAAGAGTGCGCTCTGTGCCTGTGCTGAGCGTAGGGGGAGTCGTGGGGGACACCGGGGGGGCTGCGGGGGGGCATTGGGGGCATGGCAGACGGGTATATGGGATGGCAGAGGACATCCCTCCCCTCTCCCGCCCATAACAGCTGCCCACGTGGAGGGTGATCGAGCGAATCCACACACACCGTCCGTGCACCATCACCCCGTCGGAAACGCCTCCACTTGCGCCTGCCTCCACTTGAGTTGGCGGCTTTTCCCACTCCATCTCATCAGCATACACCATGTCCAACCCCCTCGACCAGCCAGTCACAGACACCCCCCTCGCATCCCCATCCCCTCCTGCAGCCACCCCCACCCCGGTCCAGGAGCAAAAGACACCCCTCGCCATCCAACATGGCTCCCACCAGCCTGCCGATTCTCAGGTAGTAGAACAGGAGGAGGTGCACAAACTCGACTTGGGAGGCGGAAATGTAGTCAAGCTGGACAAATTGGGTCCTATGATTATCAACTCTGACGGTGTGCGTCCCTCTCTCCTGTACACTCAGAAGCAAGACTGACAAGGATTAGACATTGTCGAGAATACAAAACTGGCAAGACCTCCATCCCGTCGAACAAGAACGTACAGTGAGATTACTGGTAAAGAAACGTAACCTCGTGCGATTGAAGAGCCTCGCCGCTGGAGGTGGTGGCGAGGAGCTCAGTGCTCTGAAAGACCAAGCGTAATGCCGAGGAATGCAGTGTTGTACAGATTACAGAATAGATGGCCGTAGCAATGGAATGCTTAAAGACATGGTGCTCTATCAATCCCCAGTCTCCACCCTCACTATCCTTCCTAACCAAAACTTCTCAACTCGATCCCCTTCTTCTCCTTCTCCTTCCCCACCCCCTGTCCTTGCCCCTGCTTACCCCCACCAATAGCTTCCCTTACAGCCTTCTCCAACTCCCCCCGATCCCCTTCTTTCATAGCCATCGTCGCCTCTTTAAACGCCACGGGGCTGGACTGCGCGAGACCCAGGAGGACGCCGGTGGCTACACCGTGTAATTGCGATGGGCCGGATGTAGAAGCAGATCCGGGAGGGTCGAGCATGATACACAGCGTTGGCAAAAGCACACCATACCCCCTCGCCCTCTGTCTTCCTTCCTCCGGTAACCCAGTCCCCCAAGCGACCAAAGCTTTGACAACTTCCCTCACCCCTCCAAGCGGGGGCGCACTCTCAGCTTTCGTAGCGTGGGCCACGACAGTTTCAGAGATGTAGCCGATCATGAAAGGTAAGAGGTTGAGGGTTGTATGTTGGAGGACGGATGATGGGGATGGGGGAGAGCTTGGTCCGAGGGGGGAGGGGATGGGGCGGAGGGAGGCGGAGAGGAGGGTCGAGGCGCAGTGGATCGCTGTTAATCCGAGCTGTCGTCCAGTCAGTACTCATTCTCATGTAGATGGTCTGAGGACGCACCTCGGGACGTTCTACAGCAGCACCGAGGTTCTTGCCAACAGCACTCGCTGTCGCTTCAACGAGGTTTTTGCTGACTTTGATCAAAGACGGTAAAGCCGTCAGTATCAGAGTGATAGCGAGCAGGTTGTTTTTGATTTTGAGGTTGGCCACCGGGTTAACCCGCGATCTATTCCCCCATCAGCACCATTTTCCACAAACAGGAAGGCAAGGCTTACCTCATATCATCAACATTGCTCAAACAAGCCGACACCACCCCATGTACCACCTTCTCCCCATTGCCCACCCCGGGCACTTGCGCCCCCACCAACCCTTCCACCAACACCTTCAAACTCCCCAAGCAACCCCCTACCAAATCCAAAACCGCCTCATCCTCCAACAATCCCATAAACAGATGCAGCCCCACAGCATAAAGGTCGGCCCGCTGGGAAATGTCGATACAGTCGATAATCTGGGCGTAGGCGGAGAATGCGGATCGGAGGAGCGCCGTTTTGGACGAAGGAGGGTCGGTGTGGTGCCATGTCGCTTTGATTTCTTTGCAAGGCACGATCTGGCGGAGGGTGAATGCTACAACGGCCAGTGCCCGACGCGTTTGCGCCGCATCATCGACACCAGTGCCCTTCCGGCTAATCGCGAAATCGCGCACAACGCCCACCATCTCCAGCTTGACGCTCGCCGGCTCACTCATCGCGATCCGATAACACACCGTACACAGTTCATCAAAGAACTGTCCTTCGAACACTGTCGTACCGCTCAAAGACGGTTTCACGAGCGATTGGAGGGCTTTGAGGTATGCTGCTGCGAGGGGGGATTGGGCGGTGTCGCCTAGGGTTTTGAGGAGCGATTCGAATGCGAGGCCGTAGATGGTGTAGAAGTTTGTACAAGGTTCCGGTCTGATGGTCGGTAAAGAAGAAGGCGGGGTGGGAGAGCTGAATCGTTGGCCGTCCATCGCACCGAGGGCGAAAGCATCTTGCAGCGAAAAAGTGATGGCAACAGCATGTACCAATTTCGGCACCGCCTGCTCATAGTACGGCAACAACACCTCCCTCCCCAACCCCGCCGCACTATCCACCCCACCACCCAGTCCACCCATCTCGGGGTCCGTCCTCAACTGCGCATAATCCCTCAGCGCCCCGATCCAGAATGGCGCCAGAAGCCAGCGGTGGGGATCAATCACGGCCGTAAGGTATGGTTGCCGGAGGGAGGCAATCTGCAGTTCCGCCCAAGCGGTGAAGATGGAGATTTTGAGCATGATGGCAGCAAAGGGGGAGAGGTCTTCGACATCGCCTAGGGAGAGCATGTCGCCGGATTTGCACTGCTCCAACGCGCCGGTTAGCAGTTTGAGGATACGGCCCATGCGGGGTACCTCTTTGACGACACCGCTGCCGACAAAGACGGCGCATACTTGGACGGCGAGGGAGAGGACTTGGGGGGCACTGTCCGAGCTGAAGGAGGGGGTGAGGGCGGCGGCGATGGGGGCTTGGTGTTGCTCGAGAAGGAGGGAGCTGTCAAAGTCCGGGTCGGGGGAGGATGCGAATTTCTACCAAGAGATTAGTGATGGTTGGCGAAATGTGTCAAGACTTACCTCAATGACGTCCCTCAACACAATTAGACCGGCCACTCTCACCTCCATCACGCCAGCCGCACTGGCAGAGAATGCCATCCTAATCAGATCGCCCACTCTCGACCACAACATGTGCTTGCCATTCGCACCGATCCTCCTCGCCAACACTGGATCGAAATGCTCCGGCCTATTCCCCTCACTCACCGCCTGAACAACATCATGCAAACAGTGCAAGGCAAATAGCTGCGTGCGCCATCGGGATGAAAGCGCATTACTACCCGAGCCCGCCGAGTTGCCAGCGAATGATTCGCCTTCGTCGTCGATAAAGCCTGTACCGGCAGAAGTCTGTTGAGGTCGCTTGGCAGCGGCTTTCTGGGCGGCGGTGCGAGTCATGATCTTTTGGCAGATATCGATCCAGCCGGATGGAAGAGCTGCTGCGGTCTCGCTCAGCCAGCTGGTGATCAAACGCTTGACGCCTTCAATACTGGGGTCGTCATCCAAGAGACCAAACAGGTCTTCCACCAGCTGGTTACCACCGATCTTGCTAATCAGGATGGCGTCCCTCTGGACAATCTGGTATAGAGCAGTAATGGAGGCGACCTTGAGAGGCCGTCTAGGCGAGGCGAGATGTCTCCTAAACGTCTTGACGAGCTTTGGCGTATCAATAGCAGCTGGCGCAAACATCAAGAACTGCTGAATACACTTGATAGCCTCCACCGCCAATCCCTCATCCGTCTCCTCGCCAAACTCGTGCACCAGCAAAAACACCAACGACTTGACCCTGCCCGCCTCTTGCAGCTCGGGCCCAAGCACGCCGATGAGGGCGTGCAAGATCCTGCAGATGACTTGATAGGCTGGCAAGTCGCCTCGGAGGTTGACACTTCCCAGAGATCCGCCTTCGGGATCGTGCGTTTCCAGCAGGTAGATGTTGGCGAGCATGCCGAGGGTGGTGGGGACGAATGGCTCGTAGCTCAAGTTGGCAGCATCTACGACTCTGCCGAGTGCTTTCATGGCGTAGAAATGCACGACTGGGTGGGGGTCGGTAGCGAGGCTCATGAGGATGTTGACGATAGTCTTCAAGATCGGCCCGCCAGACAGACCGCCGACGGACGAGTAGATGGCGCTGAAAGCCAGGGCACAGCCAGCTCGGGCATCCGGCGAACGGTTGTTGACAACTTGATCAACGAGCCACTGCACTTGGTTGGAGAGGTGGTTGGGTGAAGCCAGAGATGCAAGAAGGCCGATAGCTTCCGCAGAGGTTGACCGGATACTGGGTGTCGGGTCAAATATGGAATCCTGCTTCGTGTCAGTTCGATCCAATGCCGAGTAGGTAGACTTACCTGGAGGATACTTCTGATCATCTCGCTCACTTGCCCACTCCCCACATGCCTCTTTGCTCTGGAACCCTGCCCTTCGGTCTTTTCCAAGCTCCGTCTCAAAGCCAAGAGTGTGTTGACGACAACGGCTTGCTTTCGACCCGGGTTCCTTTCCAGCTTGCTCGACTTGATATGGGAAGAAAGAGTCGCGAGCGACTGCACCTGGCCCTCTTGCGATTGATGAGGGAAGAGGATGGAGAAGAGCGATACACCGGCGTCAATGACACCTGTTTGTGCGGGGGGTGGGCTTGGAGATGTCGATAGGGGCTTGGCAGAGAACAATGAAAGAGCATCATGCTCGAGGGATCCGAGGACGGGTCTGGACAACAGCGTCTCGAGATCAACTTCCACTTTATCCCTGTTCAGCCATCCGTCCTCCTCTTCCCTTCCTTCGCCGATATCCCTGACCCCAGCAGTACTCGTCACGCCAAATGCGTACCCGTCCGCAGCGTACCAAACGCCGGTAAAGTTGCCAGCCTGCGCGGCGATGGCAGCCTGGGTGTTGCTGCCCGAGTAATTCTCGGGGTCGGCAAACACAGTGATGGCAGCTTGGAGCAAAGCTGGTTGGGTGGACTCTGTAGCGGACGAAGGCCCGAGCGCTGTAAAGCATTGCAAAACACGTCTCCTCAGAGTCGCCTCGCGGTCAACAAGAGACGGATTGGAAGTAAAGATAGTCGAAGGGTTGGGAGAAGTCGCTTGTTCCCGGAGAGCCTCGGCATATGCCGTAGCAAACCCATTGACAAAGTTCAAAGTGTTTGTAAACAGCGTAGCAAGACGTCGGGCGACGTCGATATTGACCAACGACTCGTTGTGGGTGAAAAAGTTGAGCACCGCAGACAGTGTACACTCGCGCACTTGCAAGAGATAACTCCACTCGGCCTCGCCTCTTTCTCCCACGGACGTGTCCTTGCTAGAAGGTTTCGGCAGGGCGTTTCGCCACAGGACGAGCAATTGGGGCAAGTGAATCTTGACAAAGCTCGGGCCTAGACTCATCAAACCAACCACAAGGTTCCAAGCCACTTGCACCTCTATACTCGCCCTCGGGATCTCGTGATCACTCGATTGTTTCAGCAACGACACCGCCATGTCAAACACTTTTGTAGGCACATCATGCGACACATACAAGGGCCGAGCAGCGCTGACGGTAATCAAGGCGGAAAGACCAAGCGATTTGCCAATAAGTCGCTGAGAGAGGTCTTTTGGCGCAGTGGGAGATGGGAGGTAGCCGAGGTCTTTTTGGATATCCGAAACAAGGACATTCAGCAGGCGAGGCAGCTGGGAGGGGTTGATATGGCAGAACCTGCGAAGAGTGTAGGAGGCGGCGAGTCGGACAGAGTAAGACTCGTGGCCCAGCAAACGTACGACGGGCTCTGCCAGCAGTTCGATGATTTGCGCAGGAGCATTACCGAGCTGCTCGAGAAGTCCGGCGATTTCGCGAAGGGCAATGATGAGCACATTCTTGTCGATTTTGGGTTGTCCGGGGAGAAGGGTTGGCTGCCATTTCTTGAGGTAGGAGCTGATGAGTTCGCGAATGGCGTTGACTTGCCCCGGCTCTGACAACAAGCGCTCCCCAATCAGATCACGTAGCAAGAGATCCGCCACTGCTCTTGTCGCCAGCTCTTCGTATCTCGTGCTCGGCCCCTTTTGAGGGGTGACGATCTCAGTCATGATGTGCTTGACAATCTCGGCATAGTTTGCCTCTACATATTCCGCCCCGAGGGTCGAGAAGAGCGTCGAGTAGACGTCGATGAGAGCGTTGCGCAATTTGCGAGGAGATTGGGGGCGGTTGTATGGTACAGAGATGTATTTGAGCATCTCTTGTACTGAAAACAATGTTCTCGCGCTCTTGTCTTCTGGCGCCGACGTAATGACTGTCGGTTCACCATTATTGTCCTCCTCTGGCTTCTTCCTTCCATTATCCACCTGAACCACCCCACTGCCAGGTGTCTGCGTAGCCGCCAAAAAGTGGGCCAGCATCCGGCTTTGAGCGCGTCTCGTGGTATGGTCCGCAGTCTCAAGACTCTTGTAGGCCAAGGGCGCGATGATGTCGAGGGTTTGTTGCAAGTGAAGGACAGGCGAGTAGAGGTGGAGGGAGACGAATGTTTCGGCAGTGGCGCGTTGGACAGGTAAAGCTTTGTCTTGAAGACCCCAACGAAGGGATTTGAGGAGGTCTTTCAGGAGAGCGTCGGGCAGGGCTCGGCCGGCAGAGTAGAGGGATTTGGAAAAGGCAACGAGAGATTGGGTACGCAAGAGAACGGACTGGTACATGTCAGCTGGAATTCAGATGTGCTGACAATGCATACCAAGTTTGTGTTCCTCAAGACCTTTTGCGATGAAGTACAGATCTCGGCCATGAAAGACATCATCTGATTTCGTCAGTCTGGCCCTCGCTTTCATCTCTATACTTACGTTCTTTCCATGTTCCTTGATGACCTCCCCAATAGCATACCAGCAGGCCACTCTCGACACATTCTCCGCCGCGCTCATACCCTTCGACCCTCCATCGCTAATCGCCCTCACAAGCGACTGCACGAAATCAAAGAGCGTCCGCGATTCGACTCGCTTATGCAAGTTGACCAGGCATCTTGTCACAAGATGCCTTATCGGCCTGCCAGGTTTGGGTAGAGTCGGATTAGGGGAGGGGAGTAGGAGTTTGAGGAAGAAGGCGTGCAAGGGCTGGATTTGAGGGGAGAGTTGCTGAGGGTCGAGTTGTTCTATGGCTTGTTCCGCCTGCCGCAGCCAATGCAGGAGAGATAGGTCGGAGCCTTCTCCAGTGAAGCGGTTCTATGCATGGTGAGCGGGCTATTTGGCAAGTCCCGGAAGACGCACCTCGTCGACGTTGAGGGCTTCGAGTGTGAGCTCTGACATGGCGGGTGGCTAGGCTGTGCTTGCAGTGGAGAGGAGGCAGAGTAGGAGATGTGAATGACAAAAGTATATCTCTTCACGCTGCCCTCTGAATATAGCCGTGGTGAATGATAGCCAGGGATATCTCGTGCATAGGCATCTCTTCATGACGGTGAAGCCGGGAGCAAACGGGGGCAGATAGCGGCATCAAATTCGGGCAGAATTCATTGTTCTCTTGCAAAATCGGCCACTACCAAATCCCTATATCTTTACACCCGAAAAAGTCACCCAAAATGTCCCTCAACACTTCCTCCTCTGCTATCCACCTCTCCCTCCCCCCTACCTCTTCCACGTCCGTCTTTTCCCGCCCAAAACCGTCCACGTTTGACTGACTTTCAATCCTCAGCCGCCCTCCTTCTCAAATCACCGTCCACCCCTCCGTCGTCGCCTCCATCCTCACCCACCACTCCCGCCGCCCCACCGACTCCGAGTCTACGAGAGTGATTGGTGCCCTCATGGGCACCCGCTCCGACAACGGCCAGGAAGTAGACATCCGCTCATGCTTTGCCGTCCCTCACACCGAGCAGGGCCAGCAAATCTCCGTCGACCAACCGTTCCAACAAGAAATGCTCCAGTTTCTCTCCAAAAATGGCACCAAAGAGGTCCTCGTCGGGTGGTACGCTTCCTCCAAGCACATCGACTCAAACTCTGCCATCATCCAAGAATACTTTACCTCCCAAACCAACAATCAGCCCGCTGTGCACCTCACCGTGGACACTGATCTCCAAAAGAATGGACAGGGTCTGGAAGTGAAGGGATGGGTTTCGGCGCTTTTGGGTTTGTCTGCCAAGTCGGAGAGTGCGGTATTCGTGCCCGTGCCCGTTTCTGTCAAGTATGCCGATTCCGAGCGTCCTGCTTGTGCGTCCTTCTCCTGCAAGTGTTGGTTGCTATGCTCACTTTCCTCCAGTGGATCTCCTTACCTCCAACCCTACCCCTTCCCCCTCTCTCCCCCCTCTCCCCACCCTCTCCTCCTCCCTCGCCCAGCTCTCCTCCCTCATCGACCAATGTCTCGCCTACGTCCAAGGCGTCAACGCCGGCACCACCCCCGCCGACGTTCAAGTTGGCAAGTACCTCCTCGAAGGTCTCGGCCGATGGGCCGCCAACGGCGAGAAGGAAGATGAGGGCGGTGTCAAGGCTGGTTTGCAGGACACTTTGACTGTGGAGTACTTGTCGAGCTTGGTGAGAAGTCAGGTCGAGTTGGCTGGAAGGTTGTCGCTTTTGCAGCAGCAGCCTTCGCAGTAAGTGGTGGATGGGTCGTTTGTGGATAGATGAGGTTCATGCACTCTGATCGATTGGATAGAGGGCGGCTCACGTCTTTACACAACAATCCATGATAATGCTAATCATCTCTGTACTGGCTCAGGCTGCGGTTCAAGCACCCCTGCCCTTTTTTGAGCGCCCTACTATACTCTGCCATATCAAGCCTCTCCAGCCTATCCCCCGTAACCTTTTCAAACTCTCCCGCCGAAACGCACTTTGATCCAACCCTTTCCTTACCTTCAAACCCTCCATACACACTCTCAGCCACCTCCGTCCCATGCTCCTTCAGCGTCCGGTCAAACGCTTTGGTGATATAGCTCATGGCTGTACTCCGATCGCCATATGCTGGCGGGGCGAATGACCCTTTCAAGAACGGTTCCAGCTGATGTCCAGTCCTCGAACAATGCTCATACCGTTCTTTGAGAATACTCTCCAACTCTTCAGCTTTTGAGACGCTTGCGGCATTCGGTTGAGCCGTATCATCATCCACCTTCCAAAACACACTATGTTTCCCCGCAGGAGGGATAAATCGATCAAGCATCGTCAACCCATCCCCAGCTGTCGTGGGCAGTACGGACGCGCCACGGGTCAAGTAGGAGGTAGCGTACAGCGTGATGGAACCGTCATTCTGGCTGCTGGGCGGGGGGTCGACAGAAGTACGAGGAGGTGGTTTTAGATTAGATGAGCTGGTGGAAGAAGAGGCTGGGTCGGCTCGGAGGTGGAGGACGAGTCCTTGGGGGTTGTGGCTTGATGGGTGGGTGCTGCGCGCCAGGGTTGTGGTGGAGCAGGTGCTTGGTGTTGCCATTTTGCAAAGCCCCGCTGGGTATCCGAAGTTTGGTAGCCGAATTGGGGTTTGTTGAAAAGATGGCTCTACCTATATATGTAGAGCGGCTCAGTACATGGATTGCAGGGGATGGCCTCATCGTATCCACAACCCACATGAACGAACCTTTCATACCATCTTCCAAACCACTCTCCCCACCTGAGCCAGTCTGCCCACAGACTGCACACCAAACGAAGCTCATCTGCCTTTGTCAACCCCCCAAGCCCTCTGCCCGCTTTTCCTTTCTCTCCCTCATCATTCCTTTCACCCACGCCAATCTATAGAAGGAACGCTAGAGCAGCTAGCGAGGTGGAGTGTGAAGAAGATGGGACAGGTCTCGTCATATGAGGGTTGTTGGGCCGTGCCTTCTATGATATATGAACCTCATTTTGAGAAGGACCAAGGAATTTATTGTTTTCGGCCTGCTGAAGGTGAACATGTTGTGGAAAACTATTCAGACGGAGAGCGTATGAAAGTTTACCTTAAAATGGCTGCTGAAGACGTCTTTTCATGATGGCTGCGATAGCCAGCTGCGATCACAACCCTATACTACTCTATCTTTTACGCTCAGCCTTAATCACATATAACCTTTATAAAGTAAAACTGCGCAGTGCACTCCGCATACTCTCGTCAGGTGCCCATGCAGTCTACCAGCTGTCTTCTCCTTCGACATTCGTTCGACTCTTGAAAAGATCGCCGCGAGAGCGGATGTTTGGTGAGCAAACAACATGTTCTCCTATCTTGTCCCTATACTCTTAGTGTCCGATGTGGATCCAAAGATAGGCGAGAGTATATGGCAAAACGTTGATCAGAACAACAGATGCCGAGCGCGGACTCGTGTTTGGGCGCTCGACGACTGACCCCACTCAACCCGACAAGCGGGTGGTATATCAAGCGGCTGCGAGTGTCCTTTTGCCATGCAGCGAATGAGACCTCATCCATGTCACCCGTCTCTCTCTCTGGAATATGCACCCTCCCATTCGTCCTCTGTACAGTCGGCAACCCCGAGAAGTGGCCGACAATTTTGAGGCAAAGAGCGCGTCAACAGATGACCCCCGCAATCGGTCACCAGCAGTCCGACGCGGAGAACGTTTTCGATGAGCTGTAAACAACTGCCCCCATTATGTACATTCTCTTTCTCTCGTACTTGTGCTTGCCTCTCAGCATACACCAGATGAGCATGCATGCCCACCTCGTCGGCGTGATGCCCAGGATGCACAAGCTGACTCAACTGGAAAGAAATCACCCCCCACGGCGGGGTAATTTCTGCCATTTCTCAGGGTTCGCCCGCAATCCCGATATCGGACCCCACGTGAGTCACCGTCTCTCATCCACTTTTCACTTCTTGCGGCTTGCGGGTCTTACCTCTTGCTACGTATCGGTTTCCGGCCCGGGAGTCGTGTTCAAGAAAAAGCTGCATGATGCACTACATGAGGGCCGACTCGGCATCCCATCCTATATAACCCTCTCCGCCCGAATCATCTCTCATCTCCAGTCACCCACCGCCACTCTTCCATCCACCCCGCCCTCCACCAGCAAAACGGAACAGCCACCACCATGCACGCCCCCGAACTCACCGACTACATGAAAGACCAAGCCGCCAAGCTCGACGAAGTCTCGGACGAGATCGACAAAGTCAACGTGCTCAAGCTCAAGTCCCAGGCCAAGGACAAGGCTACCTACGACAAGGCTGCTGCTGCTGCCGAGAAGGCTGAAGCTGCGCGGCTCGAGGCGCTTTACGATGGGGAGAGCCAGTTTGATGCGGAGAAGGATAAGACGGCGTTTAGGCAGTATGAGGATGCTTGTGATAGGGTCAAGAACTTTTACGCTGCAAGTCTCTCCCCTTCTTTGTTTAGGACAAAAGCTGACGTCGATGGACAGGAGCAACACCTGAAGCAGACGTACGAGTACAACGTCAAGATGCGCGAAGAGTTCCGCAACACCACCCGCGCCCGCATGTCCGTCTGGGAAGCCATGGAGCTCCTCGACAACCTCGTCGACGAGTCCGACCCCGACACCTCCGTCGGCCAGATCGAGCACCTCCTCCAAACTGCCGAGGCCATCCGCCGAGACGGCAAGCCAGAATGGATGCAGGTGGTGGGCTTGATCCATGATCTGGGCAAGCTGCTTTGTTTCTTTGGGGCGGATGGGCAGTGGGATGTTGTGGGGGATACGTTTGTGGTGGGGTGTCAGTTTAGCGACAAGATTATCTACCCAGAGACGTTCAAGGTCAACCCCGACTACAACAATCATAAGCTCAACACAAAGTATGGTGTTTATGAGCCGAACTGTGGGTTGGAGAATGTGTTGCTGTCGTGGGGGCATGATGAGTACATGTACGATATCTGCAAGAACCAGTCTACCCGTGAGTCCTCTCTTCTTTCCCGTTATTGGGACTATGAGCTGATTCTTGATTAGTCCCTAAAGAAGGCCTCGCCATGATCCGATACCACTCCTTCTACCCCTGGCACCGCGAAGGCGCCTACCAACACCTCATGGTCGAAGACGACTGGGAACAGCTCAAGGCCGTCAAAGCTTTCAATCGTAGGTCCTCTCCCTCCTCCTCCTCTCTCTCTACCTGTGAAAAATCGACTGACAATGGGATAGCCTACGACCTCTACTCCAAATCGGACGATCCTCCCAAGAAGGAAGAGCTCGGTCCATACTACCGTTCTTTGATCGACAAGTACTTCCCTGAAGAGGTTCAGTGGTAGTTCTGGTCTTCACCATCAGAGAAGAGGGGTGGCCCAGGCGTCCGGCTGGGTTTTTTTAGTAGTGTATATCTTTTCGGTTCTTGTATCTCCAAAATGTCCTTTTTCTAAGAGGTCTGTTTTCCCTGCCCGCGGGGGGTGGGCTGTACGTTATGATAGTGAGAAGGTAGAAAGCATAATATAAATAGAAGTTCTTGCTCAACAATTGATGTATCGAGCCTCTCGACCAGCTTCGTGCCACGAGTGAAGTCTTGCTGATCGCGCGCTATCAAGAGCAACAGGTATACATGAAGGACATCTACAACAATCATCAAGAGATAGAGATACAAAAAAACCGACAAGATAGCATCGAAATCATACAAAGCAAACACAAAACCCCAGTCTACTGTTACAGGAGTCACCAGCGCGCACCCCGCTACCACTTGTTCTCTTTCACAACCTTTGCCATCTCCAAGATATACCTCCCTACCCACCACCCCACGTATCAGTCCCTCTCCCCAGGGTACCATTTACAGACAGACGAACGCACCTTCTTTATACCGTTGCTCGCCGTTGGGCGCTTTGATATACATCCACCCGAGAGATGACTGGCATGTGGCGCAGATGAGGTCGGCGACTGTGTGTGTGCCGGTCCTAGGCGCCGAGTGTCAGTCTACGTAAGTTCAGATGGGATGTGGGAAGGGAGGGGGGATATACAGGAGTTTGCGGGTTTCGGTCTTGCCTAGGGAGGTGTTGATGGTCGAGTTCATCAAGCTGATAGTGGGTCAGTATTCAAGAGAGGTGATTGGTAGACTCGGGTCGGTTGCTTCGTTTCAAGGACTTCATCGGCCAAGGTCCAGATGCACCATGTCAAGATATCGAGAGGGATAGTGCGGGGCTAGTGGAGGAGGCTGCGAGAGAGCATGCTCACTATGCTCGTCCTGATCGTCCATTGAACGCCTTTGACACGAGCTCATCTTGCAGCGCCTTCACTTGATCAGCTCAGACGACATCTTCAGCCTACGAGAGCTGGCTCACGACGGCCTCGGAGCAGGAATGGCACGAGTACACAGGCTTGTCGTCTGGGAGATAGTGGCGGTCTTGGGAGGCGGTGGTTGGCTGGCTGGGCCCGTGGCTGTTGTTGGCTGGCTTGCGGAATGAGATGGGCATGATGATGTGATGACGCAGAGAACAGTGAGCTACTACCACACTACGCCTCGCTACTCTTCTCTTCTAGTGCATGCCCGCCGAATGAGAATGCAAGGCCGAATACCGGGAACGCGCTTGGCTTACGGGACCCCACCGAGTGATTACGTAACGGCTCGGATAGAAATCCCCATCATCATCTCTACTCAATCTCTACTCTCTCTCTTCTTTCTCTCCACCGCCATGTCCGTGCCCCGCTCACTCCGCCCCGCCCTCAAGCACGCCACCGCCCCCGCCGCCACCAGGGGGCACGCCGTCGCCGTCGACCCCCCCTTCCTGCCCCCAACGCCCCACGTACAGCAGCCCCAACCAAGACGCTGGGTCGATGGCGACGTCAGACACGACTGGCGCAGGAGCGAGATCCAAAAGATCTTTGACGGCCCCCTCATGGAGACCATCTACCGTGCTGCCTCTGTTCACAGGATGCACCAGGATGCCTCCAGGATCCAGCTGTGCACGCTCATGAACATCAAGAGTGGGTCCTTTTGCTTGATTAGTCGAGTCGTAAGCTGATTACAGTGCAGCTGGTGGATGTACCGAGAACTGCAAATACTGCTCCCAATCATCTTCATACAAGACCGAGACAAAAGCTACCCGGTTGGTCCAGCTCGACCCCGTCATCATCGCTGCCCGCGAAGCCAAGAAGAACGGCTCGACTCGGTTCTGTATGGGTGCCGCCTGGAGGGATCTCGCGGGAAAGAGGTCTGGCTTTGACAGGATCTTGGAGATGGTGCGTGAGGTGAGAGGTATGGGTATGGAAGGTGAGTCCTTTTCATCTCTAGTTGGTAGCTCAAGCTGATGGGCCCAGTCTGCACCACTCTCGGTATGCTTACTCCCGACCAGGCTCGCCGACTCAAAGAAGCCGGTTTGAGCGCTTACAACCACAACTTGGACACTTCCCGAGAGTACTATCCCGAAGTCGTCACCTCCCGTTCCTACGACGACCGTTTGTCCACCATTGAGAATGTGCGACAGGCTGGTATCTCGGTGTGTTCGGGTGGTATCTTGGGTTTGGGCGAAAAGGATGAGGACAGAGTGGGCTTGATCCACGAGATCTCCAGGTGTGTACATCCTGCTATGAATGAACAAGGCTGATAAAAAGCAGAATGGCCGAGCACCCCGAGTCTTTCCCCGTCAACACCCTCGTCCCCATCCCCGGTACCCCCCTCGAAGGCAACGACCCCGTCAAAGTCCACACCGTCCTCCGAACCATCGCCACCGCCCGTATCGTCCTCCCCAAGACCATCATCCGCCTCGCTGCCGGCCGTCACATCTTCAACGAGACCGAGCAGATGATGGCATTCATGGCTGGCGCCAACGCGGTGTTTACTGGTGAAAAGATGTTGACTACGCCTTGTTCTGGGTGGGATGAGGATAAGAAGATGTTGGACCGATGGGGTTTGCGGGGTCAGAGGAGTTTCGAGGATAGTGAGAACATTGATGTTCCTCACCACCACCACATCCACGAGGAGACTGGTACCGGTGCCATGCTCTAGAGCTGAAGAGTGATTTGGACCTGTCCCCGCTGCCCGCTGCTTTTGGCGGGCAAGTCTCGGGACGATGGACAAGGTCAAATGTGGATACGATTATGAATGTGTTTTCGAAATACAAAAAAGGAAGGTTGAACGACCCGAAACAAGAAGAAAAGTTGTGCTGTGCAAGGGACGATTCGTATGGTAGATTTTGGAGATGCGATTATTTGTAAGCTGTGTCTTCTTGAGACTACTCTTGACTCGCTTCCCTCCAGCCTAATCTCTGGTGGTACATTTTGGATGCGATGGTCGATTCTGACATCACAGGCGAACCATTCATCGGGCAAATCGGCCGCAAACGCGAGAGGCGAATGAGAGACTGATGTTTGGTCACCCTTTACCCCTTCCTTTCATGAACGTCCCCTTTGACATGGTGGTGGAAGCAATATATTCTGAGGTTCGCCGTGCTCGCCGCGCGATGCGGTGTAAGGGGCAGTACTGCTTGAGAGGTTCGATTCGGGGAAGAAGAGTATATATTTGAGGGTGAGATCTTCATCGCTGAATCTCTCAAACGTAGTGATGATTGACTCCTGATAGCGCTTTCATCAGTACCTTTGCCACTCTCCCTGCCTTCCATCTCGCAACGTTGTATCTAGAGCACTCGAGTCGACATTATGCTCAGCCATCTCCGCCGAGCCTTATCTCGCCACCACGATGACCTCCTCCAACCTTCATACCAACTCGACCTAGCATCCTCGTACTCTCCCTCTCCTTCTTTCCAGGACCGGTCCCGAACTGGACATGGTCGTTCGAGGATCACACCCTTCCCTCCTGGTCGATTCTCCACCCCTTCCCCGGGGTCTTACCATGACCAAGTCCAGGAATTCTCAGAGGGTGAAGTTGAGAGAGACGAATTACAAGCGCTCGAAGCGCTCTACGTCGCCGACGATAACACCCACAGCCACCCAGGCGAATTCAAGACGGCAGTGAGGGAACTTGTGAGGAGGGAGGTGGAGGGGCAGAGGAGGATGTGGAGGCGGACCGAGTTGGGGTTGGATGACGAGCTTGGGGATGAACTCTTCCTCTTCGAACAGAGTGATGAAAGAGACACGAGGGACCGAGGGGAGGTTGGGGAATGGGATGGGAGAGAGGGATATGGGGTGGAGAGTGTCTTTGCGACGAGGTCGTCAGGGACGTCGGTGGGGAGTTTGGATGGTACGATCGCGAGCGAACTATGGCGAGCACGCGAGAGCTTATCGCGCTCTGAGCGAGGGGTGAGAGAATATCCGGAGGCTCCGCCGCCTTATCGTTCGCACGAAGTTTCGGCTTACAGTCAGCCTTTGGTTTTTCAACCATCACCTGTTGAGGGCTTGGGAGTAGGGGGTGCACCGTCGTATCGATCTGCTGGGTTTGCTCTTCCGGCGCTGAGAGTACACGGGCTCGAAGAGGAACAACAACCTCTCTCCCCCGCGCCGGACTACATCTCCATTGAGGGGATCAACCTTCCGCATGCTCGGCACTCTTCCAACTCATCCCGCCAATCTCAGCATTCATCATCATACCCTTCCAGCTCGCCAGCATTGACAACCCTCAGCTCTAGCTCCGGACATTCTCCGGTAGAGTACGACAGAGCTCCGACGCCATGGTTCCCTGCTGTGCTGTCTTCTGGAAGTTCAGTGGGAAGCTCTCGTGAGGGATCGCCTGGAATCGTGGGTGATGGGTATGTTTCTGAGACGTCTTCTGGCCAAGAGTCGCCCTCACCCAGGCCTCCAAGCCCGGTATCAGATAGTCATGGCAGTGGTTAATTTTAGCCAGGATTCTTTGTTGTTTTGCGGTTCAGTATAAGCTTCAGAGGGGATCTAAGGGGACATACGCCCATTGGGACACATATAATTCATGGATCTATAGAGTATATGGCGAGTGCCAAGGCAGAGTCGCCAACTGAGAGGGCTATAGTACTCGAGTACTGCATAGTTCACGATTGTACCATACAACACACATGTTTCTTCCCAAGTACATGTAGAATATCGACAAAAGACACTGCGCGCGCGGTGGATCTAGACGGTAGAGCAGGCTTAGAAGTAGGTTGTAAGAGGAAAACCCTGGATCGTTCTCTAGTAGTGATGTATATGCATGCTGTGGAAAGCACCACAGCTTAGAATGCCTTGTACGTCCAATCACCACCTAGCATAGTCCCCTTCACCTTCATCGCTCTGAGTCCAGCAGCATCACAGCTGAGAGGGTCAGCGTTGATGATGATGAGGTCTGCTCTGTCGCCGACTTCGAGCTTCATCTTGTTGTTCTATCACGCTCGCGTCAGTCAACGTCCAAGGTAGAGAGAGTGGGATGAACGGATGGACGTACAGAGGTTGATGCAGCCCAAGCTACTTCAAGGTCGATAATCTGCTCTTTACAGAACGGATTCTCCTCATCCCCCTCTCCCGCTCGTGAGATAGCAACAGCCATAGCCTCCCAAGGCTGCAACGGCGCAATCGGACAATCACTCCCCATCCTAATCGGTACCCCGGCATCGACCAACCACCTGAACGCGTACGCCCCCAGTTCCCGCCCAGGCCAGAACTTGTGGCACAGGTCCCGGTCGTCGACGAGGTGGCAAGGCTGGATGGAGGCGATGATACCGAGGGAAGCGAATAGTGGGAGGTCGGAAGGGGAGAGCAGTTGAGCGTGTTCGATAGTGGACCCGGGGAGGATCTTTTCGGCGCGAGAGAGGGCTTGGAGGGTGAGTTGGTTGGCGTGGTCGCCGATGGCGTGGATGGCCATCTTGAATCCATTATCCGCACCCCTCTTGATCAATACCCCAAGTTCCTCTGGCTCGTAGTTGAACACTCCAAAGTTGTCTTTCGACCCCGGATAAGGGTCATGACAGAATGCAGTCTGCGAGCCTAGAGAGCCGTCGGTGATGATCTTGAAGGGACCAACCTTGATCAGGCCGTTGGTGTCGGGGACATCGTCGCCGGATTTGAGGCAGCGGTCGATAGAGTACTGGAGGTGATCGGTGTACATGCCGACGTTGACGCGGAGAGAGCGGAAGCCTTTGTTGTAGCGCCGTTGCCAGTCGATGATACCGAGTTCCCACTCGAGGTCGACAATCTCTGTCACGCCCAGAGAGCTACAGAATCTCATTAGCAGGGGTCAAAATGGAGTAAAAGGACTTACGCAGCATATCTAGCCTCTTCCATCACCCACTCATCCATCGCATCGGCACCTACCTTCCCGATCACCCTTGCCATCGTAAAAGCCTCCTCCTCATACAGATATCCACTATGTCCCTCCGGCTCATGTCCTCCAAGCTTCAGCCCGAGAGAGTTGGCGCAGAGAGAGTGGTAGCCGTTGAAAAAGAGGTGGATGGGGCGTTCTGAAGAGATGGCATCAATAGCTTGCCGGGTGAGGAGCTCGGGACCAGGCCAGCCAGCGTTACGCATGTTGGTACCTGCGAAATTGCTACAGCCCTCAACCATCCGGTACTTGGGGTCATTGAAGGCATCGGCAACGCGGTCAAGGACTTCTTGGGCCGTTTTGGCTGTTTGAAGGTCGAGGCGGTGGGAATGGAGAGCGTTGAGGGAGGTGTGGACGTGTGAGTCGACCAGACTCTACATGAGTGTCAGAGGGGCCGAAGGAAAGTCTGGAGCAACTCACGGGGCTGACCCATTGCGAGCCGAGCTCTTTGACGTCGATGATTTCGCCGGCTTGTGCGTTGTCGGTGCCAGTCTCTGTTATACTGGCGACTAGACCATCTTGGACGAGGACACGGTAGGTTCCAGCTGGATAGCCCACGAGGGATGCGTTGCGGATGAGGGTCGTCCTGGGCATTGGCGAGTGTAGAACACAAGAAGAGATAGAACTCCGTCCCGATAAAGGCAAGAGGCGCGCATCGTTCAGATTGCCGCGCGCCTGAGTGCCTGGCGAGATTGATAAGATAACGCCTCTAGGCAGCATGCCTCTCTCCGAAATTGTATCGAAAGAGCTTTTGGCCTACTCAAAGACAGATTTCGGATCCTGCGAGAACAGCCTTTACGCCAACGCTACGACCAACAATGGCGAGTGGTTGTTGCTTGCGCAGTGCTTCACAATATGCTCAACAGTTATCGCCGCGGTATCGATGAAGGAGACAGGGAAGATATGGAGATCGGTATGAGGGAAGACAGGGCCGAAGACCAATCGAGAGAGCACAACAGTGGCAACATGCCGGCAGAGGGGGGTCTCCAGTCAGCCGGAGACATGAAAAGGAGGAGGGACCTTTATACAGAGTTGCTGTGGGATAGATTCCAATCTCGACCTCGCCCAGAGCTGTATCAGAACGCCAACACTTGACTTGCATGTACAGCTCGGAAGAGAAACATGCTAGGACATCATGCATGGTACAAATATGAGGGATGAGATATCAACCCAACTCGAGCAACAAGCCCTAACTCTTCCACCCCGCACCTTTCGCCACCCAGCCCCAAATCCCCCTAAACGTATACCCCTGCCACCTCATCCAAACCGCCAACACAACACTAATCCCCCCGAACGCCGCGCCCCACCCAGCCACCATCCTCACCCTCTGCGCCGGGGACATGGCCGAACTCGGGCCTCGGGGTGTATTGGACGTGGGGTTGAGGGCTACGCGCGTGATGGCGACCCAGAGGTTTGGTAAAGGCCCGGAGCGGGCAGAGACGGCCATGGGTGGGAGGAGGTTGAGGCGGCGGCAGTAGGAGTCGGGTTGGACTTCGTGTCGCTGTTGGGCGAGGTCGAGGTCGGATTTTGTGGCGACAAACACTGCTGGGATGTTGTCGAGAGAGTATTGTTGCTATTTCTTGAGATCAGATTTGCACAGAAAGCGGGGTGAGAGGGGGACGTACTCTGAGGTTGGAGATGTATGAGAAGGAATTAGTGTCGCTCGAATCGTGCACGTAGATGATGATGTCGGCCATATCCAGTCGTTTACTGTTTCGTAATGTTTCGCTCTCGTACTTGGACCCAAACTCTTGCAGCTGCAGATCCGTCAGCCAGGATAACCAACACTGGCTTTGAAACTCACAACAAGGTATTTCTCCACCCCTTCCATCTCCACAGTATTCACAACACTCAAAACCTTCGTCGTAGGCTCATACCCCCCAAACCCATCCTCCCCACCCCAGAACGGCTTATTCACAAACGACCTCAACAACGACGTCTTGCCCGAGCCCGTGGCACCCAGGACGTAGCACAAAAACACATTACGCGTGACCTTGCGTTGACGGCGGTCTTGTTTACGCGGGCGGGTGATGTGGAGGGCGGATGGTGATGGCAAGTCTGTTGCTGGGGATGAAGAGTAGCCCAGGTGGGCGAGGTAGGCGAGGGTGGTGCGGTGGTTGAGTAGCGTAGTCATACTGCCCGAATTAGCGCGGCTTCGCGTGAGATGAAAGAAAGCAGCTTACCTCCACTGCGCGAGCCAGCCCTGCAACGTGACGCGTCCCATATCATCCGTAATCGTCGTATCCGGGAATCCCTGCGATATCCATGGATTCCCCGGCGACGTCGAGAACAAATCATCCAACTCGCTCTGCGACAACGCCCCATCTTGATCCTTATCATACGCCTCAAAGATGTCTGTCAAGAACTGGTTTCCTAACGGACTCAGTTCCACCGAACAATCATACGGCACATCAAACCTCGGCGCCAAAAAGTCTTCTCTCAAATCCAGACTCTCTCCATACCCGAATTTGCGCAGGACCGTCCAAGTAGTTTCCATGCGGCCTTGTTGGATAAACATGGTGTGGAGGTAGAGGAAGCCGAGTTCGGTGATACCTTCTTGGGGCGGAGAGGGGGGATGGTTGATATAGCCGAATTGAGGATCGCGGGGGAGGGGAGTGGTGGGGACGGAGGATGAGGAGGAGGAGGGGATGGATTGGACGGCGTAGGGGTCGTAGGAGCGGACGATGTCGAGGATGCCTTCCAGTTCTTGGGATTGTAGAGGGGCAGAGAAGCATTTTTGCTACACGAGGTCAGTCAAGGGAATGCGGTTATATGAATGGGCGCACTTGAAACTGGTTCAGCTCATGGGCGTTCAAGAGTCCGTCCTTGTCGATATCAGAAATGTTGAAGATTCGCTTCAAAGCTTCCAGGCATTTCGGTTTGAGAGTCTACAGACGTCAGCTTATCGTTTGTAAACGATCAAGTCACTCACATGTTCTCTCGAATCATAGAGAGGAGCCGTGGGGTGCAATACCGCCTTTTGAGCAAAGTAGAACACCTCCGACACGTTGAGCGGTAGTAACGCCGAACATTCCACGACCGTCTCGACTTCCTTGAATTCACGCATAATCGGCGCGCTCTCATCCTCCAACCCCTGGTTCGTCACCCTCCCACCCCTCATATCAATCTTGTTCCCAACCAAGATGACCGGGACCTGCATGACCCGTTTAGCGGTGCACGGTCTCCTTAGCAACGCCCCGCCCTGCGAAAAACTCACATTGATGCCTTCTCTTCGGAAGAGCGGGAGCCAGTACTCTGCTACGCGGTCGAACGAGCTGGGGTCGGCGATGGAGTAGACGAGGCAGATTACGTGGGCTCGGGAGATTGCGTTGAGGAGGTGTGGTCTCGAGCGAGGGGCGGCTGTGCGAGGGATTAGTATTGAGCGACCGATGAAGGGGTCGTCGTGGATGAGTGTGCGTACAAGATGTATCAACAATAGAGGTTGTAAAGTTCTCAGGGGTGATCTCTGGGGGGATGGTGACCTCTGGGACGACATGAGGGACCTGCAGCAGGGTCAGTGATTGGCGACGGAATACAGACATAGTCGACCGACATTGGTAACGAAGGATTCCTTGATAAGTGAAGTGATAATAGAAGACTTTCCCACGCCGTCTGTTCACAATACCCATATCAGAAATCTGTCTCATGAAACATGCCCTGACTCACCATCTCCCACGAGCACAATGCGGACCAAGTCACGTCGGGGCATACCGGGCAGTCGGGTGCCGATTTTTTGTGGATACCGGGTTGTCTAAGGAGTGTGGGGTATGGATCAGGAGCGGAAAGCGAGCCGGTGTTGATGTTCTGTCCAGTTTATACAGCGTTGAGCGAGTCGGGAGGAGAGAGAGAGAGGACTGGGAGAGGGGAAAGTCGACGGAAAGTGAGTGCGAGGGAACAAGATGTTTGATCCCGTCCATTCACTGCGTGCCCATTAATTTCGGGCCTCGCTTTATTTATGACAAAAGCACGATACATCTATGGACCCCAACGCAGAGGACAAGCCCAAGTCGGTGCAGGTCGTAGAGCTCGACGTGGAGCCTGCCCGTGATATACCCCAGGAGCCCGTTCGAAGGGCTGATTTCGGTCGAACAGTGAGTTAGATCGCTTCGAAGAGATTCTGTAAGCTGACAGGATATGTAGGAGAATCCTATAGTGCCACCTACTATACAGGCTCCCCTGGCGAGCTCCATTTTCAGACAGGCATTGGAGCCGAATACACCCCCTCCAACCGGCCCTGCACTTGCAGCAGAGCGTAAGTTGTAAAAAGTCGTAATGGCCAGCAGAAACTGACGTGTTGTAGCTATAACAGAAGACCCAAAGAAGATCAAGCAATGGCAAGAGGAAGAGTTCCATCGGAGACTTCGTGGCGAGTACGAACAGGCTCAAAGACGCGTGGGTGATGTGGTAAGTCGATTCAAGGTATGACATTGGCCGAGCTCATGTACTTTAGGTGACGGACAACATGGAGCGTCCCCTCCGTCTGACATCCATACGCCTCTCCCCTCCCCCTCCCACCACCCGCGCCTCATTCACATCCTCTCTGTTATCCCCCTTCATATCTCGACCCAACCCGAACCTTCCATCATGGCTCAACCCTGCCCCGCCGCCTCCGACGACACTGCACGAGATCCTGCTGTCTACGAGGGCGTTGGTGGGCCATGTGGGACAATTTGGAGTATACGATATGGACCGGGTGAATGTAAAGCTGGAGCCTAGACGAGGTGGAGATCCGGATGAAGTCGAGATGGTCCTGACTTTGAGGGAAAAGGGACGGTTATTCTTGAAGGCTGGTACCGAGGTTGGTGGGGGCGAGGGTGGTGGTGTAGGTCAAGTTCTTTCCTTCCTGATTCAGAGCTGACTCTAGGGCAGAACGTCACTGCTAGAATACGGAACGTCTTTGGCGGAGCCGAATCCCTCGAAGGAACTGCTTCTCTCGGCACCAAAACCAAACACGCCTACCAACTCTCCCTCTCCTCCCCCATCTTTGCCTCTCCTCTCCTAAACTTTGCCCTCTCTGCATTCTCCCTGGATCGAGACAATTCGGCTTTTGCGTCGCATAGAGAGAGGTCGCAGGGTGGGCGAGCGAACTTGAGCATGATTGCGCCCTGGGGTACGCATGATTTGCAGTATGAGCTCATCAGTCGAGAGGTCGACCGGCTCTCTCATGATGCTTCCGTCTCGTACGTCGCTCAACATCATCAACAGGATCACACTGACGCGCTTTTAGGGTCCGTGAGCTTGCTCAGCCATCTACGAAATCATCCATCTCCCACACATACACCTCCGATACCCGAGACGACCCCTGGATGGGCACAGCCGGCCGCCTACTCAAAGTAACCCACGAATACGCCGGACTCCCAGGCTCCGACAAATTCGCCCATTTCCTCAAAACCGTCACCCAAACCCAACTCTCACGAGAACTCTTCGCCGGGTCCGGCGTACACTTCTCCCTCGCCTCTCTGACTACTTTCCTCTACCCTCTTTTCCCGCACTCGCCCACTTCACAATCGACTACGTATCTCTCCGACCGGACGTTCTTGGGCGGGCCGAACTCGATTAGGGGTTGGAAAGTCGGCGGGATGGGCAGGAGGGATGGGCCGGATAGTTTGGGCGGGGATATGAGCTGGGGCATGGGTCTGTCGTTGCTGGGGCCGATACCGGGGAAACCGAACTGGCCGGTTAAGTGGCACGGGTTTATCAACGGTGGAAAAGTCTCAGCTTATGACACTTGTGCGTATACACCTCTCTCTCCCGTCTTGACTCCTCTGACGCTGATACCATAACAGCCCGGTCATTCGTCGACAACATTACCAAAATGTACTCTTCTCCCTCCCTCTCTGTCGGACTCGGTCTCGTTTACAGGCTTGATCCTTTGCGAGTCGAGGTCAACTTTGCTGTTCCTCTTATTGGGCGAAAGGGAGAGGCGTTCAGTAGGGGATTGGGAGTCGGCGTCGGGATCGACTTTTTGTAGGAAGGGGTCCGAGGAAGGTAGAATGCTACTATTCAAGGCTAGAATAGTCAAAAGGACACTCGACGATGTCCATGATGCATTGCATAGCGCTGATATGGAACAAATTGAGAGTCCGGGCCTCTCTCTATCAGTATCTAGGTCTATAGATACCAAGATAAACACAAGCTCATTGCTCTGACAGGAGTCACAGTCCTCTGAGCCCATTGTCAGTAACGACGACCTACGCACATATATATATTTCTTACTGGGATATTCAAGCGTGGCCTTCATACTGGCAGATTTCACACATCTTTGATGGGCCCAGGGTCAGTGTTCCTCTTGAGTCTCCCGCCCAAGCCGAATAACCCGGCAGGCCCTCCAAAAAATGTTGAAATTGTTCGTGAGAACCATCGACAACGTCTTCATGTTGCTCAGCAGCATATCCGAAAGACACTGGATAAGAGGTAAAGCTGGTAATGTCAACATGAGTAGGGAAACCGCTGAATCAGAGTCAGTTGGTGGTCTCAACACATGAAGAGAAGGATTCACATTGGTCTTTCGTCAGAGATTTTGTGGAAGAAGATTTTACACCACTGTTTGACCTGCTCCATCTTCACCCCTTCTGACTCGCGCTGTAGCTCGCCACCATTTCCATGTATCAGGTCTAATCCGAAGGACGAAGTCCGGAAAACCCGTGTCTTCCAATCAGCGGCATGTACGTCATGGAAGACCAGACGTGAAGGCAGAGAATGCGAAAGGGCGACAATGTCATAGATGACCATGTTGAAGCGGGTGCGTTTAGCCCATAGCATATCACGGCGCTCATCCTCGTCCATAATTTCTTCGTACCCTTTGGCCGTGTCTGGCAATCGCATGCAGACTGCAGCGCCACGTTTCAGTCGGCTCATGAGAACAGACATGGCAGACCTGATACTGATCTCGCCTGTAGCTACAGACGCCTCGGGGATCTGTTCTGGGTGATGATATAGTTCTTGCATGATAGGTAAGGCGAAAGATATACGCTTGAGAGAGGGGAAGAGGGGGTGGGTGTCACTTGGGATGGTGAATCCTGTGTATAGGTAGTAGTCTGGGTCTTCTTCGTTGAGAGGAGAGCGTTCGATTCTGAACTTTCTCCACTCGGTGTCCAGACGGTCAGAGGCGAGGGCGGCCATCCGTACTGCCGTGACCGATTCTAGTCGCAGAGAACGACAGTACCGCCATAGCAGGACTCTTCGAGAGGCTGGATGAAGATTGAGGGGGATGATGCCGGTGGGAGGATCGGGCTCATTGTGGTGCTGGAATGTCTGGGAGCAGGTCGCAAAGTCCCAGCTATCGATATCAAGCTCGGACCCCTCGCCTCCTGCCCCTTCCCAGCCATCAAAGAACGCTTTGCAGTTATGATCGTCAAGAGAGACGATATCATACAAGCGCCAGATATTGTTGACGTAGAACTGTTTGGAGGTGCGTAAGAGATTGGCGAAATGCTTGGGACAGCAAAAATGAGTGTCGAACACGAGGGCGTAGATGGGGGCAATTAGCTCTAGTGGAAGAGACTGGAACGTATCGATGGGAATGGGAGGTGAATGAAGGGAGCAGACCATGGCGGAGGCGAGCAAGGGAGTAATGAGAGTCAGCGATGGAACCCAACAAGAGGGTGATCAGTCGGTGAAGCCAATCGGCGTTACGCGGCAGATGTGACTGTGCCATGATGCAGATGTGGCATCAGCATTGCGCTGCATCATTCAACATCCACATGAATGGGCCTCCCTTCATGGTTAAAAACCAATAATATTCACATGCATTCACGATCTCAGTTCTTCTTCCTATTGCTTGCACCCTGTGCTTCACGCTGATTGGAGACCTTTCAGAACAAGAAGTCAGCAAAGCTTTGATTTAGATCGAAGCTGATATCTATGGAAGAAGTGTTGTAGAGCTCACATTTGATCCAGACTGCTGGGTCTGACTGGCAGAACCAGTGGGGGCTGAAGAACGCGCTGAGGCATATGACAGGAAGTCCATGATGTAATTTTCGCTCACTTGAGGGACCTGGAAGGATGGTACAGTTAGCGTCAAGACATCGCTGGTGCATCCGTCATAGTGGAGACCGCATTTTTGTCGAAAGGAATTGCTTAAAAAGACTCACATCTGTTTCAGCATAATGCGTGTGGACTACAGAAGTCTCGTCTCGGGTAGGGGCTGAACGTTTGGAAGCGTAGCTCAGGAAATCACTTATGTAGTTGTCGCTCAGTTTAGGGACCTGGGGGGAGCAAGTAGCATAGTAAACCAGTCATCATCAAGTCGTCGCGAACGCAGTGATGAGTAGGAGGGAGGGTCTGACACCTACGTCAGTTTTAGGCCACTTTGATGGGTCCATGTTGTCTGTTCTTCTGCGCGACGGTGGTGATTTGATGATATATCGATCAGAACAATATGGGCGGACAGACTTCTGTTTTATATGTGCTTATTTGGCACCTGGCCTGATCCGGCCTTACCCATTGTCTGAGCTGGCTAACGCCTATCCTCGTTTCATCGCCTGCTGCCGACACAAGGGTGCTACTGCGGGAATATCGCATGTTGATGAAAGGAAGAAAGTTTCAATGCTTTCACATTAGCAACCCTCCTTTTCCCACGTTCACGGGTGTACCCGTACTCTATCGTACATACCAACGCAACATCGGGTCATGTCAGTTGGGGGAGAAGAAGAGGAGGTGCTGTGGGCGGGACTGGATGCTTCATTTCCTAGTTCATCCGATCAATGTGCGATTGAACATTCGATTTCACGGTCGTTCAACCTTCCCAGTACGCAGAAGACAAGGAATGCGTGATAGAAGTCCTCTAGCGAGACTTGTTGATGATCATCTACTTGGTCGAAGGACATGCATATCACGGTACCAGTGTTGTTGCCTCGAGAGGCACTCTTTCAATGACCTGTGATTGTTGGACATACCCCTTCAGTCTTCCCGGAAGGGCGGCTTCAGTCTTCCCTGGCCCGGGTACGCACACTTGAAGATTAAATTTCTCCTTCTTCCACCTCCTCGGGCCTATCCTTCTTTGCCGCTGGGGCAGCCACCGATGAAACAGAAGACAACCTCCTCCTCTGTCGACAGCGTCAGCGATTGGAAATATGAGGGATGAGATTGACGTACCTTTGGATCCCGATCATCATCCTCAAGACCTACCCTCTTATCCCTCGCCTTCTCCCGACCATACTCCCTATCCCTCCTGTCCCTATCATCCCGCTCCCTATCCCTTCCTCCCCTATCCCTCCTGTCCCTATCTCTATCCCTGTCATCCCTCTTCGCCCCTCGGGACCCATCATCCCTCTCACGAGGATCAACGTCCATACGATCGGTTTTGTAGTATGCTCTATCGCGGTCGGAGCGGTAGTCGCGATCTCGGTCTCTGCGGTCTCGATGATCACGGTCAGAGCGATGATGAGTAGAAGATTCGCCTTCCGCAAGCTTTTCCTGCTAGCATATCAGCACGTCTTTACACATATTTAATGGACTGGACGTACCTTCTGACGCCTGACAAACTTTTCCCAACCCAACTGTTTCTCCTCTTCAGACTCCATCGCCTTGAACTCGGCAACATCCTTGATATGGGGAAGAGCTTGCTCGTAAGACATGTCGATATTGATGGCGTCGACTTTCCGGAGGGCGTAGCGGAGGTCGTCGATTCTGTGACGCTGGCGTCGCTCGGCTTTACGAAGTTCTTCTTCTTCCTGCTGCCTTGCGCGAGATTGAAGCTACATGTCGTCAGCGCCGTAATAGAATACAAAGCGCAGCGCCACTTACAAGTGAAAAGACCTCTTTCCGGAGCCTTTCCGAGATTTGTTGGTCCATATGCGTCTCATGGCACCATCCCTCGAGCTCCTCCCACGTCGTCCCCTTCTTAAACTCCTTCCCAGCCTTACCGAGCGCGTACTCAATCTTCTCAGCAGCCCTCGAAACTTCCTCCGACAAGTCATCAATAGCGTCCATCCAAAGCTCCAAAGGCGACGACCCCGGAAGCCCCAACAGCGCTTCATACCTCGGATCCCCCTTGACAATCCCATACGTCTCCCTCCACTTCGACGTCCTCTTCAAATCCCCCCTTTCCTCCATCTCCTTCAACAACGCCTTATACCCCTCCCTAGCCTTCCTCGCCCGGCGCACATCTTCAATACGCAATTTCCGGCTTTCTTCCTTGTGCTCCTGCTCGAGCTTGTAGGCGTAGTCTTCGTAGGCTTTGATCATGTCGAGGACGGAGGCTTGTTGCAGGCTGGGGTCGGCGCGGAAGGCGGGGGAGGAGATGATGAGATCGTGCGCGGCGCGCCAGCGGGTGGAGACTGTGATGGAGAGGGTGGGGATGAGGGATTTGAGGGTGCGGACGTTGTACTCTTTGAGCTCCCTTTCGGCGACCTAAACACGAAATTAGTCTGAAGGATAATAGGAAGCAAGAACCAAGACCCACCTCTTCCTCGCGTCGCAGCTTATCCGTGTACTCCTCCAAGATCAATCGCTTCTCCTCCGGCAGCGCCTCCTTCCAGTATTTGTCCTTTGCAAACACTCTGTCGGCAGTCTTCAATGTGGAATACGACTTGATGGCGTTGGACTTGGTGAACAGCTTGGTGAATATGGGGCGGAATCGTGAGATACGAGCTTCCTTGGCTGCTCGTCGTTCTTCCAGGATACCGTTGGTAAACTGCAACATCAGCCTGTGAGCCCTTACACACAAAATAGATGTACTCACCTTTTCAAAGACACCCTTCTTTTCTGCCAGTGTTTCCAAAGCGTTGTAAAGAGGATCCAGGACAATCTTCCTCATGACCTGATCCCAAGTCCAAGTCTCATTCACGCCCTCGCGCTTCAAAAGGTACGTGAAGGCGATCTCAGCCTCATGTTTATTCTGGAAACCACCAGTAGGCATGACAATAGGGAGCAAATCTTCTTGGGGTTTCGTGGCAATAGGCGTGTCGACCTTGGCGGCAGGCGAGGCTGTCTGAGAGGTGTCCTGCTTGTAGATGGCGATGGCGCTCGCCGCGGACGCTCGCAACTCCCGGATGTCTTCAGGAGTCGGCGACCTCGACATCCTTCTGGGACTGGGCGAAGGACTCAAAGACTCTCCCTTCTCCCTCCTAGCCTCCCTCTCATTCTTCCTAGCCTCTTCCGCTTCGACTTGTGCTTTCAGCGTAACCAGCTCTGCCGGGAGATCCCACTTTGTTTCTTTCGTCGCCGAATTGACATAGTAAGGTCGGTTTTTGGAAGTGTATTGCTTCCATTGAGTTTTGGCGAGGGCTTTTTCGAAAGGTGTTTTGAGTTCGTCGGGCTTTTCCCAGACAGATTGCTTGGTCGTGGCATGGGACCAATAGACACGGCCCTCCGCGTTCTTGTACTCGCTCTGCGCCAATCGTTAGTTACTAATCAGCCATAATATATTTGAAGACGTACCCAGAGCGACCTGTTGTCAGACATGCCGGGTATAGGTGAATGTCTAGAAAGCAGAGAAGTGACAATTGAATAGTTACCGGTACTCGAGGAATGCTTCGATGAATTGCTTCCATGATTTGATCCCGTTCGGATGCCCTCCCCATCATTCTGTCGCCGCCGAGATGTCAACTTCATAAATCTACTTATTTCTATCTGCAATGTCCTCCAACGGCCGACCATCGTCTGTAAGGGGCCTGTACACCCCGCCCGCCGAGGAGTGGGTTTTCCTCCCCCCCACAGTCTCCCCGCCGAACCCCTCCTCGTCCTCGCCCCCAGCCCATCTGCCCACTCCCTTCCACGACGCGTCCACCAGCTCTTCCTCCTTCCTCGATGCTGCAGACGACGCAGATCTCGTCATTCCAGCCATGGGGAGGCCATTTAACCTCTTTCTCTCGGAATATCTGGCCACTGCTATGGGAATGCCGTTCGAAGTCGGAAAGACTCTGCTTCAGGTGGAATACCGACCCAGGAGACAGTTTGAGGCGCTCGAAGGGGCCGGAGAAGGTGTGAGGATCTCTGAAGAGGAGACTGTCACGGAGCTTCAAGATGAAGACGAGGTGCGTAAATTGCTCGTGCGTGAGATCAGACAATAACCCAATATAGCTAAGCAACCCGGACGAGGCCGACATGTACTTTACCGACCGGCTTAACAAATCTGCCGACCCACTGGTCTCCAACGAAGAACCGGTAGCGCTCCAATCGGATGCCTCTGGCTACCTTCCGGACTGTAAGCGTGCTGCTCTTCAAGAGGACAAAGCTGATCAGTCAAGTCACAGTGCATCCCACGTGGTTGCTGAAAGACGATCCCGACATTTCGCGAGGCAACGGCGTCTGGGGCATGATCCGCCGTATTCGCTACACCCCCTCCGAGGGCCTTCCCGCTCTCTGGAAGTCTCAACTAGTCTCCACCCTCCACGCCTTCCTCACCACCACCCTCCAGCCCACCGTCCACTCTTGTCTCCTCCTCCTCACACCCTATCCCGCGCTCGCCCTCGATACACCGCTCGCAGCTCTGCCGAACCCTGCTCTACCATTCGGTCTGCAGATCGCCAGTCATCTCCTGACCCACCTCGTGCTCTCACCGCTCGAGATCATCCGAACGCGACTGATCGTCATGCCCGCATCGCATCCCTCCACCCCGAGCAGCGTCAAGATCTTCCGAGATATGGTCTCGGATGAAGGCGGTTTCACCAGCATGATCTTTCACCCCAACCTCCTCCTCCCTGCTGTCCTCGAACACACCCTCCGCCCCCTCTTTGCCCTCTCCACACCTTTCATCCTCGAGCGATACCTCGGCATCTCGCCCGATCTCTCACCCATCACCTACTCTCTCCTCGACCTTTCTCTCGGGCTCACCCACTTGCTCGTGCTTTTGCCCATAGAGACTGTTAGGAGACGATTGCAGTTGCAACACCGAGGCAAGGGCGGGAAGAGGATGAAGACTGTCGTCAGAGTCAGGGAGAGGGATTATGTTGGGATTGTGGAGGGACTGTGGAGGATTGTCAGCGAAGAGACGAGCGTGAGGAGGACCAAGCTGGATAAAGGTGAAGAGGGAGGATGGTTTGCTGGTGTCAGGCAACTCTACCGAGGCGTGAGTACCCAATACATATGTCGTTTGATTCGTGCTAATGGTTATCCAGTTTAGTATGGCTGCCACCGCTCATGCCACTGTGTTCAGTCTTGGCCTTGTCAGCGCTACATTGTCTGGTGGAGACGGTGGATGGAAGGAGATTTGAGCCTGGATGGACCATAGTTGAGTGTTTATATGAGAGTGTTTACAATTACAGGTGTACGATTGTTGGATGTATTCCTTATCCTACTCATCTGATCCATGAGGGAACGGCGTACTGCATCTGACTTGTCTGGTGCGAAGATCCAGGCAATCTATCAGCTGAAAGGATACGTACAGTACTCGAGTATAGGACCCCTTTCAAGAGCCAGGCTGTGATCGTGTGCATTTAAAAGTCAGATGAGCGCGCTGAGTACCCAAATTGGCCAGAAGTAGCTGTGACATAAACCTAAAAGGCGATCAAAGGATCGACCGATCGTCCCTTACTACTTACAAATCCTTTCACCGATCTCCTTGTGGCAGTCATGATGGCAGCCGGATGTTAAAGGACCATACGACTGCCGGAGTGTGAGCATTCAAACGTGGATGTAAGGATGTTGAACAATGCCTAGCTCCGCTCACGATTATTTTCTATTAGGAGACCCCAAAAATGATACTTAAGACGGGCTACAAACCAGCACCAGGTTTCATTTTACCACACAATAATCATTACTCCTCACGTCATTTTCCTGTCAACTGTTACCTTTCAAGACTCCAGATCGCCCCACTGAATCATTCTTTTGCTCAACAATCCGACCCTCGAATCCTGAGAAATTCATCACGAGTTGCAGACATGTCATCGACGGCTACTGTTCCCTCTCGACGTTCCGTCACGGAGATGCCAACAAGAGGCGATTTGTCTGAATTCATCTCTGCTCATGGGGAACGACTTGTAGCGTCACATGTCAAACAATCTCAGCAGAAAGGGCTTCTGCGAATAACCCCTATGGAAAAGACAGACGAAGATGGAAGAATACAACGGACTTTCAAACTCCAGGGATCTGCAGAAGTGTTATCGGTCATGAGTGCGCTGGATGGGATTGGCATGGCGGCCAAGAAGCACAGGCAAGATTGGATCAACACTGTCCGTTCCTACAATGAATCTCAAGCCCATCTCGAGTCTGCGTTGCAAGAGGCCGGTGTCGATGAGAAACGCAGAGACGCATTGCTGGACAACATTGGCTACAGCGTACTGCATCCTATGGACGCCGGTGTTGAAGCAGTCAAAAAGCTCATTTCCACTCGCTGTACATCCGAATCAGGGTCCAGAGCTAGCGAGTTTTTGTCGAATCTGCAATCGTTCATGGGTAAAGGCAGTCGTATTCTGACACATTCAATGGTCATAACAGGACGAACGGACCCTGGGGAGATCCTGACCGGGGCATCGAAGATCACTAAGGCCAAGGCCAGTGTCCGGAATTCCAAGGGGAGTCAAGCAAGAGCGATTGGGCTGTACAGAACCAACGACGACCATACCGAATCTAGTACTGTGAAGAAGTATAGCCGGATGCCCAGTATGGGCTTCGTCCTCCAGCAGCGCACTGCACCTCTCTCGAAAGCTGCTAAATCTGCTCTGGGATACTGGCCTTCCTCTTCTTCAGCATGTAGGTCGTCCAAGGTGCCCTCTGACGCTCCATACTACCCCTCAGCGCCATCAATCTCCGGAAGTAACGGCGGTGGTCTCGGATACAGTCCCTCGGCCCCTTCGCTCAATGCTGTCGCGACCACCGGTCAGGCTACTCCTCTAGACTACTATCCTTCTGCCCCTTCAATCCGCAGGCCTTCGCCCGATTGCTTCTCAGAGGAGCTGAATAAGGGTATCAGTCCTTCGACTGCCAGCGATGGGTCTTGGGACACCGTTTCGGAAGCCCCCAGTAGTCCTGCTTTGACGGAAGTGTGGATGGGAAAGGCCGAAGGTGTGGTGTCATCAGCAACAAATGGGCCGGTCATTGAAGACGGTTCATGGCATCCGGCCTGGAGGCCCGAGTGAAGTACAGGAGCTGGATAAGATGGTGGCGAGTTGTAGATATGGGTTGGAAGGACGCTGTCTGGCAGGAGGCGTTTCTAAGAACGAGTAGTACCGTATCGTATCCGAAGTATATGCATTGTCATAGAAACACACACTCACTCTCCATACTTCTTCAAATGTACCACATTGATTCTCACCATATCGCCTGGTCCTGGTCACCCAGGGTGTTCGTCGGCAAAGCCAGGTTGCCAGAGTGATACAGGGTTTAGAGCCTGAGAGGAGGGGGTGTGCGATGCTTGTTAGAGTGTACTAAACGTGGTTGGTGATCGGTAGATCTAGGCGTGAATCGCTAGCAATGCTTATTTCCTCTAATACGAGTGCATCACAAACTAAGAAAGACCCCCTTCAACCTCCTATCTCTCTATTCCGCCTTCCTCTTCTTCTTCTTATCCTTCCCGTCCCTATCCTTCTTTTCCTTCCTATCCTTGCCGTGCCCACTCGAGCTGACCTTGCCCAGCTTTCGGTCCAAAACTCTTTGCAACGCGCGACGGGTTTCAGAATTGGCAGGGAACGATTCGGGGTCAAAGTATTCGGCGGCGTATTCGAGGAGCCACTCGGGTCGGACTTCGGTGACCGTTCGGATAAACTTAGAAAGTCATCAGCACGAGAGGATCAAGAGGGGGAGGAGAACGTACGTTGGCAGTGGTAAGGACAAACTCATTGTACAGCACCCACTCGGGGGTAGTGTCCATTCCACAAGAAAGATGTAACCGCACAACCTAAAGCAAATTAGCACCATCCAAAATGATGGTTGGCAAAACTTACCTGGTTGTCCTTGACAGTCATATAGCTCCCCTTCTCACCTTCCTTGTGCGCAACTTGCATGAAGAACCCGCAGGTCAACGCTTGTCGGATGTTGTTCCAATAATTCCTGTCCTCCCAAGCCGTTGAGCAAAGCTCCAAGTCAAACTTTTCCATCGCGCGCTTCAGCTGTGTACGGACATTGTCGGCTTGGGCGAGCGAACGCTGGTTCAGGTAATTTTGCCAACACCAGTTCTTGGCATCATCCTCATTCGACTTGTACGCATGGTACACATTCAACAATGTCAGATGGTCACCGTCCGGGTGGCTGAACTGCGCCTTGGCCAGATCGGCCTCCTTCCTCTGCGATGCGGGGCGCATGAAGACGTTGGGGACGGAGAGCATAGCGGTGAGGGAGAGGACTTCGTTGGAACAGCCGAATTCGGGAGAGACGATGAGCATCTTGGCGAGCTGGGGGTCCAGAGGGAATTCAGCCATGATGGCGCCCAAGGGGGTGAGGTTGCCTTCGTCGTCGAGCGCAGCGAGGTAGTGGAGTAATTCGAGGGCACGCATGATGGTTTCGGGCGCGGGCGCATCTGTGAACAGTCAGCCGGTGGTTGATCAGAAGGAAAATGAACGCACCCATGTAGTCAAAGTGGACGAGATCCTTGATACCCAACTTGATCAACTCGAGCACCGTATTCGACAAGTTGCTCCTCAAAATCTCCGGGTGCGTCTGCTCCTCCAACTCCTTCACAAAGTCCCTCTCTGTATACAGCCTGAAACACTTTCCAGGCCTCGTTCGGCCCGCACGACCGGCACGCTGCATCGCCGAAGCCTTGGAAATGGGGGTGACCAACAGCGACTCGAGTCGGACTCGGGGGTTGTACACCTTTTGCTTACAGAACCCAGGGTCAACGACGTACACGATACCGTCGATGGTAAGGGAAGTTTCGGCAATGTTGGTGGAGATGACGACCTTCCGTCCTGGGAGGCCGTCTTTGCCGGCGGGAGGGGCATTGTCAAAGATACGTTGTTGTTGATGGGGAGGGAGGGATGAGTACAGGGGTACGGCGAGGATGGGACCCGCCATTCCCTTGTTTGCGAGCTCCTCGCCCTCTGCTCTAATCTTTCTACACGCGTCTTCAATCTCTTCTTCACCAGTCAAGAACAGCAACACATCTCCTTCGTCTTCTGCTTGGTGTATAAACAGGACCGTACGGATAGCCGCTTCGACATAGTCATTCTCGGGTTCTTGAGTGAAGAATGTTTCGACGGGGAAAGTTCGACCAGAGACTTTGACGACGGGGGCGAGACCGGTGGGGTTGGTGTCACCAAAGTATTTTTGGAATTTGGCAACATCGAGAGTGGCAGACATGACAATGATCTTGAGGTCGGGGCGTCTTTTGGCAATCTAAGAATAGTCAGATGTGTCCAGAACTGGAGAAAGGATACTCACGTCTTTGAGAAGACCCATCAAGATATCCGTAGCCAAAGTCCTTTCGTGCGCCTCATCCAGGATAACAGTCGAGTATCGTTCAAGTAGGGGGTCGTTCATGGCTTCTCGCAAGAGCATACCATCTGTCATGTACTTGAGGAAGGTGGTACCTTGTTCTGTCATGTCTTCGAATCGGATAGAGTAACCGACTTGCTTTCCGAGTTGCACTGCTAGGTGTCAGCATTTGAGCCAGGGCACAAAGACGATACTGACCGTCCATTTCATCGGCCACACGCTTCGCCACACTCATAGCAGCCACACGTCTCGGTTGTGTACAAGCCACCATCTTGCCCCTCAACATTGGCAAGTCGGAGTAGCACACAAATTGGGGAATTTGGGTGGTCTTTCCAGAACCAGTCTGACCTTCCATGACCACGATCTGGTTCTCGTTGAAGACCGACAGGAATTCCTGCATTTTTTGGTACACCGGAAGGCCCTTTCGCTGCTCAAGAATCTTCTTGTAGTTGCTGGACCAAGCGGAAAGGTTCTTGAAGGGGTTCACTTCACCGTCCTGCATGAAATGAGCACTTCAAGTATCGACGTTTGGATGCACCTACCATGATCTTCTTGGCTTGGTCAACAGTGACCTTTCTGGGAACCATTCCATTCAGAGGGTGTTCCTTCCTGTCCACAGATCCAGTCACACCAGAAGCACCGTTGCTCAGTCCATTGCCGTTCTGGTACTCTTGACGGTGGGCGCTGATTTCGATGTCAGCTGGGCGGTTTTCCTAGCTGGAAGCGGGCACGCACAGGTAGGGGTTGGTTTCGGGGGCGGTGTTGGACTCCATCTTGGATCTTTTGGCAGGAGGCTCAGACATTGTAGCTTTGGAGAGTTGGAGAGCAATCTATGGCGGCGAACGCTGAAAATCGACAAAAACATGCTTAAGTGGGCGCTCGACCCGAAGTGATGGCCGGCGGTGCGTCAGCGACAGCGATTTCGTTAGTGAACGCTGCGGAACTCGGATTCTTCTTCAATTTCTTTTGTTTTCACGACCCGCCATGGCTCAGCCGACGAAAGAAGGTGGGTGAACAGCCAAGGACAAGTATAGAGCTCATGCATGGCAGATATCGACAACTTTGTCGCCGTCACCCAGGCGTCCAAGGACGACGCTCTCCACTTTCTCCAAGCGGGCGGCGGCCTCGAGGTGTGTAGGCTGCATCAGTAGATGGCCACTTGCTAATTCAATCAGACTGCTGTAGAGAACTACTTTTTGGCTCAGAACGCAGGTGGTGTGCCCCAAAGCGGCGACCAGGAAATGCAAGATGCCGCTACCGCCTCGGATTCCGCGGCACCCACAGAAGGCAGCGGCGGTGGTGGTGGTGGCATCACCCTTTCTGGTCAACGCGTGGACGACACGCTTCCCGCAGGATGGGGAAAGAAGCCCAAGTCGAGATTTGGCGGTCTGAATAAGCAGGAAGAGAGTGACGACGAGCACGCTGGGCACGATCATGGGGATGATAGTGATAGCGAGGAAGAGCTCTTCACGGGTGGTGGCAAGAAGTGAGTCCTTTTACCCTGCTTTGAGTATAAGCTGATACAGTTGAAGCTCTGGTCTCGCTGTGCTTGGTCCGGACAAGAAGAAGGACAAGAGCGACGCTCTCGTTGACAACATTCTGCGCACTGCTGGTGAGAATGGCCCCGCGGCGCCTCCTGCCGGCCGGGCTCACCCCGCCGCCCCTGGCCCTTCTGGCCCTTCGAGAGCCTTCCAAGGTGGTGGAAACACCCTCGGTGGTGATGGTACCCCATCCACACAAGTCCCCGCTCACGGCACCCACAACGAGACTGACGAGGAGGAGGAAGAGTCCTATCGCCAATTTCTCCGGCACATGCTTTCTGGAGTCAACTTTGGCACGGTGGGGTCGGGCGGGTTTGACCAGATTCTGAGCCGTATGGGCGGAGGTCAACGAACCCAGGCTGGCGGCTCCAACTTTCAAGGCCAAGGCAACGTACTCGGCTCTGAAGCCAGCCCTGCTGCTCCCGCTGCCGAAAGTGCCACTCCTACCCGTTCAGCCATCTCTCCTGGTCCTTCTGGTTTAGCCCACATTCCCGAAGAAGATATCTCTACCGATCCCGAGACTGGCGAGCGCGTCGTCAACCGCAGACTCACTTTCTGGCGCAACGGCTTTTCCATCGCCGACGGGCCACTTCTCGACTATGAAGAGCCTGCCAACCGTGCTCTCCTCGAAGCTCTCGACTCTGGGCGTGCTCCGAGTGTTGCTTTCGGCGTTCCTTTCGATCAACGAGTCAATATTATGGTAGCGCAGAGGAGGCGGGAGGATTACGAGCCGCCAGCAAAGGTGCTCAAGCCGTTCGAAGGGGGTGGACAGAGGTTGGGGAATGTGGCGCCTAGTACTGAGACGAGTAGTATGCCTGGGGCGTTGCCTGCCGCCCAGGAGAATACGGGTCGAGGTGCGGGAGGGCAGGTTGATTTCAAGGTTGACTCCGACAAGCCTACGACGAGCTTGCAGCTCCGTTTCGGCGATGGTTCTCGGTATGTCCTTCCCTTCTACGTCTTTCGCAGATACTGATATACACCACTAGCCAAGTGGCCCGATTCAACACCACCCATACCGTCGGCGATATCTACTCCTTCTACCGATCCGCCAACCCTACCCAGGGAGAGTTCGTGCTCCAGACTACCTTCCCGAGCAAGGAGCTGAAGGAGATGGACAAGACCGTGGAGGAGGAGAAGCTCGGTGGTGGTGTCGTCGTGCAGAGGTTTATTTGAGCGGGGCAGAAATTATAGAATATGGCAAGAGAAGTTTATGTAAAGTATGAAATCATGTTTTTCAGCTCTTCTGGTATGATGGGCCTGGTGGATCATCATGCCCTGCTTGGGCTACTATCTTCTCTGCCCGCTCTCTGTTGTAGTAAATAACTCAACGGCCACCTGCAAGATTTACGTAACGCTTCCCGTCCATGACCTCCACCATCGAGCTCCGCTTGTTCGCTGGATCCTATTCTTGTCCTATTCTTGTCTCCATCCACACAAATGTCCTTCTATCGCGCACGTTCACTTCTCTCCCTCTCATTTTCCACAATACCCTCCCTCCGGATGTCCTTCTCCGCCACCTCCTTCAAGCCCCAGAAAGATGCCCACTGTTCGAGGTATCTCTTCCGACAGCCCAGCCCCGCTGCTTCGAGAGAGAGCCCATGGCCTGTCGTTTTTCTGAGAGCCAAGGGACTTGGTGAAGATCCCGGAGAGTGAGCCACACATCTACTGATGAGCGCCAGAGCTGACGAGATGTCTAGGTGGGCGGACTGGTCAGGCATGTTTGCCGAAAAAGGCTACACAGCCATCGAGATCGACATCACCGCCCCAACCCCTCTCGAAGACGCCGAATCCCCTTTCGGTCAAATGTCAAACTCTCTCTCTTCCCAGATCCGGCTCTCCGCTATCCCCTTCCCTCCTATCATCATCGCCCGCGGCCTCTCCACGCTGCTCGCCCAGACATTCATCTCCGACTTTCCGGCCTCGGCTTTGGTGCTCGTCGACCCTGTGCCGGATGAAGACCCTCGGCCAGAAGGTTTTGGTACAGCTCTTGACGGCTCGTCCAAGGGTCAAGGCTGGGCCTGGCCGAAATTCGACTTTGAACCCCACTTCCCCATCCTCCTCATCTCTTCTCAGCCCCAGCTGAACGGACTTTCCGTATCCAACCGCCTCTTGCGCACCCATACCGGCATTGACCCCAACAAGAAGGGGTTCCTTGGGCGTTTGGGTGGGGGTGGTGGTAAGGGCGTGGAAGTGGTCGCGGCGGATGGGCTGGAGGGTGGTCAGTTGGGAGAGGGGGCGAGAGTGGAGGTGGAGCGGTGGATGGACCGGTGTGGTTTCTAGGGTCGGAAGGAGTAAGAAAATACGAAAGAAGTAAGACGTTCTGGACCATCCCATAACTGCATGAATGTAGCATATGCAGAGAGCGAGCGTTCTAGTGCTTCAACGTATCTTCGGTCTTTTGCTTCAGTATTGGGACAGTCCGAGTAGCCGGGATATGTCCTATCCAAGCATTTACTGCTGCCCATAGCATCCTCTAACCCTGATCCCAGATAGCAAAATTACCCAACGCCAATGAGTTCCTCCCCACGTCTCTCCAGCTCGATTAGCATAAGCTTGATTGAGGGTTGACCACAAGCTCCTCAAGGATGCCCAGCATGCACGAGTCGCTTTGCATGAGTGTCAGGGAGATTGAGATGCCGCCTTTGCAGAGATCTGAGTCTGGCCAGTGAAGCTGGCGGCTGGTAGAGATTTTGTATGGCGCGACGTTTACCGAGAACGTTCTAGATACGGCGACCTCTTTTCGTGAGCCTCCTATCATTTTAGAATTCTCCGTTCGTCTACCGAGAGAGGGCCTTTGGAGATCTTTCCGAACCTGCATGCAGTCCTGGATTTTAGAGCTGCACCTAGCATGTTTCCGGCCTCTACGCAAAGCTCCTATCTTCATTTCTTCATTCCCTTGGCCTGGCTCCGGCCGCTGCTTGCGTCACCATTCAAGGGGTGAATCAAGATCGATCCCCGAGGTTTTCCTTCTTCAACTTGTCCTAGTGCTCATCTGTCTGCATGTCTGGAGAGTAGATCGTTGTTGACGACCAAGAGTACATGGGACATACTCTGTAATCAGCTGTCGTTCAACATTACGTTACGCGGTGAACTGTTGTCCTTCTCAATGCATAGTTTATCTCCATGATGATGCTTCTTGACTCTATCCATGGGTTCTATCTGATCCTCTCATCCCCCATACGTACTCCGGACGGCAGGAGGAAGGAAGGGCATGGTGCAGTCATAACCGGAGGCTGACGATGGCGCCAAGTGTCATTCAACGCGACACGCTGTCGGTTGATGTCAACTGTGTGTTTTGGCCTCCTTTCGTCTTTTGCATCATCATCGATACTTGCCTCTTACAATCCCATTTTTTTGTATTTCATGTTTCTCTCTCAACACACACCCGCCTCATAAGATGATCCTGATCATCTCGTAGTACAGCCTTCAACGGTGTCATCGCCGCGCTGTCGGGTTGGATGCACCAACACACGTCGCCCTCTCTCACACCGGATTGTCCTCTCGCCTGTATATTCGTCGATGGACGCGCTCTTGGCCACCGTCTCCGACTTGGCGCCTCGTCCACTCCTGATATCAGAGCTTGTTTGTCATGTTGAATGATACGCGAGGTTGTTGTTGCTGAATGTTGACCTTTGAAGACTGCGGTATGTTCATCTAAGGCAGGTAGTACTGGCATTCATATCAGCTGACGTGGATGGTAGAAGATGATCCAGTCAAAGATTATGAGACGCTGCTCGTCCTGTCAATCAACACGTCGCATAGTGTTGATCCGTCTCCTTCTCCGGAAGTCAACAACTTTTCGCCGAAACACTGCCTAATATGCCCAGCGTCATTCAGGGACACTCAACTTTGCCCAAGGGCACGCGGCCTCCTCAACGAATGTCAAGATGCCACCAACCACCGGCGAGCAGAGAGGGGAAGCCCCTTTACAGCCATGGGCATAAGAAGGCATGATGACGAAGGTCATCGCATGCTTTTGGATGTTCCACTATCCGCATGGAGCGTGGCAGCGGCCGAAAGTGGTCGACCAACGAGGCCAACGAACGACTTCTTCTCAGAAGTGCATTGACTTCAGAGCATGCGCGAGCTTATCAAGACGATTAAGCATGACCCCGTGGGCCCTTGGAGCTCCCCGGCCCCGACGATCAGCCCTATGATCTGCGAGAGACGCCGTTTTGTTTGTTTACGTGCATGCGCATGCCCAGTCTTGAATATGTTGAATATGTCTCGGTAGAATCAGCAGATGAAGAGCTGATTAGCTGATTGAAGCAGATTCCACCGGGCCTCCACCGATTCTGGAATCGTGTCTCAAATTACCGAGTCTCCCGCCTTCACGTCATGGCTGCTATACATCTCTTGCAGATGCTTGGCAAGCCACAGTCCATGGTCGGGTAGTGGCCAACTGGTCAAGCGATGGGGACAAATCTGAGCGGGTGTACAGGGGTGTAAACCGGGTTTGCGTTTGGCGAGCGGCAATTGGCCCTAGATAGTCGCCGACGCCTGTACCTCGCGGCGGTGGGTGGGATATATATTACTCATCTCTCTGCGACTCTCGGCAGGGTGAAGGGTTAGGGAAGGCTAGCATGGGTGGGAGCAAATGATCAAGCCACCATGCACGGGCAGCACGGTAAATGGAGCAATAGATTAACCGCAGAGCCCGGGTGTGCGGTTGCCGGGCCGATGTTGCCGAGATCTCATTGGCCCAGTGATCATTACCGGGAGCCCCCATAAAATGATAAAACCGACGGCGCTCGATATAAAGTCAGCTTCCTGCCGTACTTTTTTCCCTCACAATCCATTTCCCATCATCACCACCATGGCTCCCACTTTCACCCACGAGTTCAACCACCCCGGCTACAAGGGCAAGGTCGAGATCCCCACCGGCGTCTTCATCAACAACGAGTGGAACACCTCTCTCGACAAGAGCGCAGAGACCATCGAGTGCGTAACCTTCCGCCTCAGCCAGCTTCCGCTGACCCCGCTGCAGCGTCTTCAACCCCTCCACTGGCGAGATCCTCACCAGCATCCCCGAGGCCAGGGAGGCCGATGTCAACAAGGCCGTCGAGGATGCCCACACCGCGTTCAACACGACATGGGGTCTCAACACTCCCGGTTTCAAGCGTGGCGAGTACCTCATCAAGATTGCCGAGCTCATGGAGCGTGACCTCGATATCCTCGCTTCCATTGAGGCCCTCGACAACGGCAAGACCTTCGGTGCCGCCAAGGGCTTTGACGTCCCCGAGGCCGCTAGAACGTTCAGGTACTACGGTGGATGGGCCGACAAGATCCAGGGCAAGGTGATCGAGGTATGTACTCTTTTTTATTTCTCTTTGCGTACCATCGCTGACAATGCACACAGACCTCCAGCGCCAAGCTTGCCTACACTCTCCACGAGCCCGTCGGTGTTTGTGGCCAGATCATCCCCTGGAACTTCCCCCTCCTCATGTTTGCCTGGAAGGTCGCTCCCGCTATCTGCACCGGCTGTACCGTCGTCATCAAGCCTTCCGAGCTTACTCCTTTGACTGCTCTCTACATGACCAAGCTCTTTGTTGAGGCTGGTCTTCCCGCCGGTGTCGTCAATGTCATTGTCGGGTACGTCTTTCTCCCGCCCGTTCGCCGTCCTGCGCTGACCATGCTGCAGCTACGGACAAACCGTCGGTAACGCCATCGCTGGCCACGACAACATTGACAAGGTCGCTTTCACCGGTTCCACCGCCGTTGGCCGAAAGGTCATGGAGGAGGCTTCCAAGTCCAACATCAAAAAAGTCTCTCTCGAGCTCGGTGGTAAGGGATCGAACGTCATCTTCGCCGACGCCGACTTTGACGAGGCCGTCAAGTATGCTGCTCAGGGTATCTTGTGAGTGCACCGTCGCCCTGGGAGGGCAAGGGCTGATTGAAATGTAGCTTCAACCACGGCCAGACTTGCTGTGCCGGTTCCAGGATCTACGTCGAGAAGCCCATCTACGACAAGTTCATCAAAGCTTTCAAGGAGACCACCCAGAAGCTCCAAGTCGGGTACGCCTTCATCATCCATTCCAATGACTTCAAGCTGACATGCCGGGCAGTGACCCCTTCGCGCCCACCACCTACCAGGGCCCTCAAGTCTCCAAGACCCAGGCCGAACGTATCATGTCATATGTCGAGTCTGGTAAGGAGGAAGGCGCGACTGTCATCACTGGTGGTGCCCGTCACGGTGACAAGGGCTACTTTGTCCAACCCGTAAGTCCTCATCCCCATTTTTCAGTCCATGACTTCATCTCCCGGATTGCCGATCGGCGCCTGGCTGTCGGGCGGTTCTTTTCCCGACCGATTGCCGAGCTTCCGAACTTTCGACTACGTACTCTCCTCTTTGGTTCCACACGCTGACACCTCCATGCAGACCATCTTTGGCGACGTCAAGCAAAACATGAAGATTGTCAAGGAAGAAATCTTTGGTCCCGTCGTTGTCGTCTCCCCCTTCGAGACTGAAGAAGAAGTCATCTCCCAGGCCAACGACTCTGTCTACGGTCTCGCCTCTGCCGTCTTCACCTCCAACATCTCGCGTGCTACCCGAGTATCGCAAAAGATCAAGGCTGGTACCGTCTGGATCAACTGTTACAACGAGTTGCACCCCCAGATTCCCTTCGGTGGTTTCAAGCAGTCTGGTGAGTCTTACTTGTTACGAGTGTCGGTGGACGAAGGCTGATGGGGTGAAATAGGTCTTGGTCGTGAACTTGGTGAATACGCTCTCGAGTCTTACACCGAAATCAAGTCTGTCCAGATCAACGTCTCTGCCAAGTGTGGTATCCCCGCTTAAGCCGATTACCTCGTTGTAAAGTTGTAAAAGGGAAAAGGGGAAAAGGGGAAAGGAGAATGCGTGAGAAGTCAAGGAGAAGCAAAGTTGTCAGAAGTGCATTTTCATTTCATCTTTTCATGCTGGGTGTGTTTGGCGAAACGACCCTTTGATTGTATTATGCGGTTCTAGCTTTTGATACTTGTGTATGCAGTATACGATGAGGTCATATCTCGTGCGGCTGACATGGGGTGCATACTCGAGAACCTGGTACTACGAGTATGTACACGAAACAGGAGAACTTACCGTTTCCCTCTGCGGTCATGGTATGCCCATCGCCTGTTTGGTCTGCCATCTTGCGGGTGCTTACAGAACTGGCTAAAGCGAGCCGAGCAATGTCAAAAAGTATAAAGTAGCATCGTGGGCCGTCGGTCAAGGCTTTGTCAAGGCTGGTCAGTGGAACAACGAAAGTCGTGACGTCGCAGAAAAAGTTTGTTGACGATGTCCTGCAGTGATCCAGCAAGAGCTTCGTTGTCTCCATTCTCAACATACATATATAGCATACCGGATCCCAGCAGCACAGATATCAATCGAATGCCGTCCCGTGAATGGTATCAGTCTGCGAGCATGAAAGACCCGAAGGTGAGCGAATTGAGGAAGGAAAGAGCTCTGCGCCGGCAACGCTAACTCCTGGCTAGCTTCCGGTCTGACATCCACAGCTTGCGACATCACGCACCTCCCCTTCCCTCCTGAGGTCACTATCCTCATATACGACTACTACACCGATGTCCCACTTCCCGGTAGCCGCGAGTACACCGATCTCCTCTGTCTCGACCGAACGACTTTCGCGAAAAAGATCAGCGGCCTCTATGAGGATATCATTTTGAGTTCAAGGAATGTGGAGGCATTCTTTCGGTCGTGGAGGGAATGGTATGCGAAGGCTCTGGGACCACCGGACCCATGGGACTTTCGCCGCCCTGCACCGAGCGATATGTGTCACATCCGCTCCTTCCTCGCCAACACCCCCATCCGGCAACTCACCTTCGCCGACACCACCGCCCTTACCACGACTCTTCAGTTCTACCATGACTGGCAGACATCTATCTGGTGTAAAGCTCGACTATCCTCCCCACATGTCTCTCCCGGCAAGATCTTCCTCCAACTTTCGAGGGTATCTTTCCTAGCCCCTTCCCTGGGTCAATCGTCCAGTGATCACGGGCTCTGGCCGAACTTTGGAAGTTTATCCACAGGTCTTTGGAGATGGGTCAGCACTAATTCTGTCTCCCTCCAAGTACCGAAGCAGCCTCTGGATCATGGAGTGGTTAGAGCCATGTCGGAGTATCTCAAGTGGCAAGAGAAAGCTGGCTTCGAGCTTCTCGTGCTTGACTGCGCGGTACCTCAGGACCTGCCGTGGGCGCCGATTGTGGAGCGGATGTCTGTGAAGTATATCATGAAAGGAAGGGAGCTTGAAGACAGACTGGGGGACAAGGACTCTGTGGCTCTTTACAATCTGAGCCCTCGAGATGCCACTCAGTGGTTGATGGATCTTGCCGAGCGCAGGTAAGTCGTTATGTTCTATGCTCTGATGCAACTGACACTCTTTTTAGCTTGTCTTATATACCCAGTATATCATCTTCAGTATTGTAATCGTGCCTCATACCCGGAAGCATACATCTTGAACATGCCGCATGGACATATCGCAATCCCTCGCCTTCCCTCATACACCGGCTTTCCCCTCTATGACCGCTTTCCAAGCTATCTACACATCTGTAACAGGATGGCTACATAGCAGGCGGTTGCCGTCTTGCCCTACACTCGCCCGCATCAGCCCTTCCCGCCTCTATGTACGACTCCAACGTCCTTTTCACCTCTCTCTTGGACGCCTTTCCCAGCGTTGCCTTCCATCCGTCTGACGTATCAACAGCCTTTGCCAACGCCTAGACAGAGGCCTGGGTGCACATCTCTCTACCGATATGACAGAGAGCAATAGCGGAAGGGGCGTGAAAGACGAGATAAATAGAGAAGGAAGAGTATCATGGAGATAGCAGGAGAAGTGTTGAAGATGGGTACATCACATCTCTCTTTCCATTCGATTGCAGTCCCTCAAGAAGTCCCCGTATGTAAAGCCTATTCTGTATACATGTCCAGGTCATTTAACTCTCATTATCACCACTATCATCAACGATCAACGAGACAATGGCCCCGCATGCACAGGCACCTTCTGCAATATTCTCCTTGCCCTTGCCCTTGCCCTTGCCCTTGCCCCGGGTACGCAGATGTTCGGCGATTTCTCCTAAGCATTCAAAATCCCAGTCATTCCTTGCAGCAATGTCGAATGTGAGAGTGAACTTGTCGAGGATAGAGTTCCAGACCACAATCTGTGGCCATTCCTCCTCTTCACCTTCGCTGAAGAGACATTCAGCTATGGGACTGATACGCATAAAGCTTATAAGAAAAGACCTACTCGTCAATACGTCCGAATTCTCCAGAACAGTAGTCGATGAAATCATCGTGCTGGCACGCCCTAAATGTTTCAAACCTTTTTCCTCGCTCGTCCTCATCGCATTGTCCTTCCCCTGGAGCGACCCACTTTCGCATGTAGAACGTAGTCACAGATGAATTGTGACCACCCCGAGGATGCCACAAGATATCTGTGGGACTCGTGCAGTTATGCACATTGAGCCGGAATTCGAATTGATCACCGCAAATATCAAGAAAGCGCTTGAGAGATTGGGCGACGACGCTGTGAACGCCTTCAGCAGGGAGGTGGAGACATACCATGTATGTGTGGAACAGCAGGTGAGAATTGCTCCTTCGGAATAGGGACCAGACCTCACGATCTCCAGGTTTGAAACGCAGGGCCGACTTGCCGAAAGTGAGACTGTTCGGACCTATAAAGGAGCCGTAAGGGGTACCAGGCCCTTCGATCCTGCCCCTTGACAGTCTGATGTGTTTGTAAAAGTCAAGACTGACTAGAAGAGCTGTGGCGTCGACAAACATCAGGGACCAGACGACGCCGAGGGAGCTTGGCAGATAATGTTGAATAGGGGATAAGACAACGTCGGCGTCGGAGGACGGTGGTTCGTCTTCATCGTCTTCATAAGCTTGGAACACATCGTCATACCACTCGATCCAAGGCAAGAAGAAGCTCCCTGCGTTCTTCCGACTCAGTTTGATGTGTCGGTAGAGCTCTTTCGCCCTTAGCTCGAGGGTACGGCGGTGTGGTAAAGTCTCGGGTGCCGAGGAGTGGGGAGTCGACGTAGAAGTCGTATATGAGGGATATGATTTCGCTGGGAAAGGGGAGGTGGGATATGTTGGAGGATGTAGGGAGGGTTGCCTCTACCATCTGTCGTTTAGTGAGTGATGCCTGGTACGAGTATACGCAACAGTAGCACTTACTGTTTCCCTCTTTGGTGATGGTACGCCCATCCTCCTGTTGGTCAGCCATCTTGCGAGTTCTTACAGCTCTGGCTAAAGTGAGCCGAGCAATGTCAAAAAGTATGCAGAAAGTATAGCATCGTGTGGCCAGTGGAACAAAGTCGTGACGTGGCAGACGACGGTCGCGCGAAATATGTGGAGGATGCATGTCCCAGCTTGCCTCTCTATAATATTTCTGTCATCAGCAGGCATGTCCGAAGCAGACAAGGCAGCGGAAAGAGCCAAGCAGGCTGAAAGAGCTCGCAAACTTGTACGTATCCTCTATCCACAGATCCGCGTGGACTGACATGGTGCACAGCTGGCGCAGCGGAAGAAGAAGAAGGCTGCTGCCGGTACAGCTACCCCGGGATCACCAGCCTCTGGTATAGACACAGCAACTGGGCCCTCGGCGAGGACGAGTCTGAGCTTGGATGATTCCGCGAGGGCGGAGTTGGAGAAGGGAGAGAAGAACGTGACTGAGGGACAAGGGAACGAGGGGAAGGATGGGGAAGCGGCTGAGAAGGTGGTCGTGGATGAGAAGGAAGAGAACGTGGAGAAGACCGAGACGGAAGTGAAGGTGGAAGAACCGGCTGCCACTGCTCCCGAAGCTACACCATCGCCCACGCCCGCAGCCGACGATACACCTACCGAACCCCCCGCCGAGCCCTCAGCCGAGACGTCAGAGGCCCCCAAAGAATCCAAAAAGAGCAAGAAGAAGGCGAAGAAGGAGAAACAGGCGGAAGCAGCAAAGGCGGCTGAGCGTGACGAGGCTGAGGATGAGGAGGACGAAGGTGGTGCCAAAACGGAGCTGCCGGACGAGCCTGAGCCCGTGGAACTCGCCCCCGAGACGATTGAAGAGCCGAAGGACGCTCTGCCCGAGACGACAGAGACCACCCCTACCCCGAAATCCACAGAATCCCCCCAGCCCGCTGAACCGGCATCTCCGTCAAAGCCTTCCCCTGACAGCTCATCCCTCGCAAATCTCCAAGAAACAGTCTCCCTTCTGATCGCCGAACGATCGGATCTCCAAGGTCAGCTCGCCTCTGTCAAGAGAGAGCTGGCGACTGCTCAAGGAGATAGCCAACTGCTGGAAGAAGGGCGAGCGCTCGTAGCGCGCCTGGAAGAGGAGAAGAAGGACTTGGAAAAGCGGTTAGAAAAGGCAGAGAGTGATGCTGGAAAGGTGGAGGGGTTGGAGAAGGATGCTGCTCGTGCTACGAGTGAGCTTGAGAGCTTGAAGGGTGAGAAGGCGGATCTGGAAGAGAGACAGGCAAAGCTGGAAGAAGAGTTGAGAGTGAGAGAACAAGAAGGGAAAGAAAAGGTGGCAGAGCTGGAAAAGTCTCTGGAGAGATCGAGAGAACGAGAAGGTGGACTCGAGGCCGAGGTCACACGGTTACGGCAGGTGAGTTGTCCTTTATAGCCCATGGCCGGCGCTGACAGAGTATAGACCAACAACGAGCTTTCCTCTTCACTTGCCACCATCACCGCCGACCTCGATGCCTTAAAGACTTCTTCTTCTGTCACTTCTCAAACTCTTGCCGACCTCCAAGTCGCCCACGAGACCCTGACGTCGACGCACGAATCCCTGTCATCAGAGCACACCACTCTGAAGGGAACGCACTCTGAACTCGTCGGGAAGCACTCCGACCTCACCAAATCAAGCTCGGAATTGTCCACTCAGATCTCTTCCCTCCAGTCCACCCATTCATCTCTTCAATCCGAACTCGAGACTACCAAGTCCAAGCTGGGTGCTGCGACCAAGAAGCAAGAACAGACCGAGAAACGAAAAGACGCTTTGCAGAATGACAATGAGGAGCTGGTGAAGCAGCTTGAAGAGGTTAGAGGGAAAGTGGTGACGGCTATGGAGGAGAAGGCTGGGATGGCGGAGCAGGTCGAGAGCTTGGAGAGGAAGGAGGCGGCCTGGGAGAAGCAAAAAGGCGAGCTGGAGCATCAATTAGAAACTCGAACTGCTGAGAGCCATGTGCGTATCGCCTCATATCACCTGAATGTAAGCTGACAATAGACAGGACATTCACGAACAAGTCACATCATTAGCCGAGGAGAACCGTGCTCTGTCCTCTCAGATCTCGACTCTGCAAGAGGAACACACCTCCCTTCAGTCCACCCACTCTTCTCAAAAATCCCTGGTGCAAACTCTCCGCGCCGACATTGCCTCTGCCCGAGCTGCCATACCCCTCCCCGTCTCTCCCCTCGTCCACACAGACGCCACTCTCCCTGCAACCACAAACGGCAGAGACGAAGCCATCGACGACCCCGAAAGCATTGTGGCCATCCAAGCTGCCCACGCCCTCGAAGTATCCGACCTGACCTCGCACATCCGCACGATAGAAGCACAGCTCCACGCGCAAATGTCGAAAGTGCACGAATTGTCAAGACAGGTCACGGATTTGCAGCCTGCTTCTGCTTCGTCCTCGAGAACAGCGGGAGCGAGGGGATACTTTATCTCACCGGCCGAAGAGCGACCTGGGTCGCCTGATTCGGCGGTTGTGTCACCGGGGACGCCGAAGAAGAGGCTCAATCCTGTTGATGCTATTCTTCCTGCTGCGGTCCGCCATAAAAGACAAGTCTCGCTCACGGCATTGAAGGCGAGGATGGAGGTATCGTCTCCGAAGGCGTCAACCCCTTCAAAGATGAACCTGGTATCAGAGAGTGCAGAGGGAGAAGGCCGTAGAGGAAGTGAGACGGGAACTGAGAGGGTGCACGTGCAGCAGAGGATCCAGTTTGGAGAAGAGATCATGTTCTGTTGCCCTGCTTGTGACGGTGATCTTATCATATTGTAAGGGCGCCTCTTGGTAAGGCGGGACAGTTTTTGGGAGTGGAGATCAGAAGGCACTATGCATACATACATCTATATGAACTTGATGATTTTGACAACAGCATTGACAGACTCGATTATAAAAGAGTATAGTCACAGTTCAGATCGGTTTAGCCCAGGAAGACATCATCGTCGATTTCGATACCAAACTCCTCCTTGGCCATGGTCTCAAATTGCGCCTGGAGTCTTTCCTCCCAGTCACCCTTTTCCCTCGGCATGATTCCTAAGACAAGTATCAGTATCCTCCACCACATTAGCAGATAAGGGACTCACGCTGCTTGAGAGCATTCGCCCAGAAAGCCAAATCAAAGAACCCCACCGTCACTCGAAAGATCACATCCTCCACTCTTTCCCTCATCCAGACCCACCACCCCACATTATGCAATGACCTTGAGCCAGTCAGGGATCGGGTGTACCCAATGGAAGCCCATTTAGCGGTAATGTTGATACGGGAGGAAGGCGAGCCGAGGAGTTGGTTGGCGGCTTGCATCATGCGTTGACAGCGGGTGAGGAAGATGAGTTCCTAGAATCACTATCAGTGGGTGGACACGACTGCTGAGTGGGGCGACGTACACGAGGGATGAGCTGCTCGTTCTCCAACATAGTCTTCAACCTTCTCTTCAGCTCCACCTGCTGAGCATACTGGTCTTGCTCCGCCGTGCTTCCGGGTGCTGGAGATGCAGATGAATGCTTGCCATGATGAAACGCGTCGCCTTGGGTCTCGGGCTTTGGGGCAGCTTTCTTGTCACGGTTGTTGACTTGGAAAGGTCGGAGGAGTATGGCGGATGCAAACCTGTCGGTATCGCTTAGTATGGGTCACGCTACGCAAGGCATGTGTGGCTGTTGCCGAGCTTACAGGTTAGGATCCAGGGCGATACCCCATTTCCTCGCTATCGTCTCTATCTTTGGAACATCAATCACAAACAACGATCTCCACAGCGTACAATAATCTTCCCTGAATTGCCGGGGTAGATCGATATACAGGCCGTGGTCTATCAAGATCTGTTTTTCCGTCAGCTCGTTAATGTGTCGATGAGTGCAAAGGGATATTCGAACGAACAATTTGAGGCTTGCCCTTTTTGGTGGGATGCGGTCTGACGAGGATGTTGCCTGGATGAGGATCGCAGTGTACGAATCCCCAGGAAAAGGTCATGGCGGACATGGTGGAGATTGTGAGATCCATCACTTCGCGTACATTCAGACCCCAGTCCTCAATCTGCTTCTTATCATTAAGCCTGACCACCGGGTCAGCAATTAGTTTACCCGAGAATGAAGCGGACTCACCGGCACCCGTCCACCCATTCCATGACCATCACCCGATCGCTCTCCTGACAGCCTTCGTCTTTGCCATAGACTCTGGGTACGTAGACGTCATCCCGAAGTTCCGGGGTCTGTGCTAGCAGAACGGCGCAGCGACGGGCGTTTCCGGCTTCGTGGATGAAGGAGGTTTCGTATCGCATTTGGGCGGATACGTATTTGGCGCTGGGGAACGATTAGTCATGTCGCGGGAAGAGACGATCATATCGGACTCACACAAAGTACACTGGGAGATATCAGCGATGATCTCAAGAGAGAGATAGGAGAGACTCACTCGGCATGTCGAATAGTTTCTCGGAGAGCCACATCAAGGCACTATGGTACAGTCAGTAGTAGTATGGGCAGATTATCACTCTGTGCGTACCGGTAGCTGAACAGATCCCACTCCATTTGAAGAGATATTTCTGGCTTTTGTACCTTGACAGCTACAGGCTTGCTGTCTTTCTCGTTCCCCACACCAGGTTTGAGGGTCGCCTTGTGCACCTGGGCTACACTAGCTGTCGCCATAGCTTCCTCCGAAAAGGTCTCAAAGATATCCTCCGGCCTGACCCCCACGTCGTTTATGAAGACTCCTACTACCTCTTCATACGGCACTGCAGGAGCACGATCAAAGACATGGCCAAACGCTTCACGATATGGCTTTGGCAGGAGGGCTGCTTGGAGGCCGAGAGCTTGGCCGAGTTTGAGGTAGAGGCCTTGATTGGTGTCGATGACCCATCGGAGGCGATTGGCGACTCGAGAGTGGAGAGCTTCTATCTGATCGGCTTTCGAGGGAGCAAAGTTAATCTTGTCTATAGTGCAGTCAGTCGTCTGAACTCTCTTCTGGAGGTGAATCGGGCTCACAATCCAGTGTGCACACAATTCTACATTCATTGGTCAGCCTCCATCCATGGTGGGTCTCTCTACCTTCGGCTGCGATGACTTACCCGATATACGCAGTTCTCAAGCTTCTTCCAACAGCACTGGCATTGTACTCCTTGTCATACACATACAGAGTACCTCCCAGTGCCCCTGCTATCAGTAGTCTTCGCCCCCAGACTTGCCCACGCGACCGCCGATTATTCGGCTTCGAGGATGCTGGCGATGGAGGGGGCATTTGCTGAGAGGCAAAAGGGCTAATGCCCCTGGGTAGAGCATGCCGGATATAGGGGCGGGGAATGCGCATTTCGAGATGAAAGAAGAGATGCAAAAAGGAGATGGAGTGGACAAAATCATGTGGAGGCGCCGATGCCCCAGGCTTTGACGTAGTGCACGGGCACACCGGCCGCCGACAGCCGTTCAACGTTCAACTGACTTGAACCGCCAAATTCCAATGAGCAAGAGCTACCAATATGGCTTGTTGGACTGTATCATGCTTAGTTAGTGGTATCTTGTAATCGTCCATAAACCTTCTTTGACTGTACGTTACGTGAATGACTATACTCGGATGTTTATGGCACGACGGAAGAAGACGAAGAAGTAACTCGGATTGTGGTACCAGCATCTAGTCGTCCGCGTACCTCTACACACGTATACATATCCCCACTTCCTCGCGTCATCATGAAGGCTGTGGACTGCATACATGGCAATATGCACAACGTACCAATTCGGATGGATGACAGATGAAAGAGAAAAGATCTCCAGAATGACAGCCAGGCCTGCAGCTTCCAACCTTCCACCATGCCAGCTGCTCCCAGAGCTCCCATCCCCAGGCCCAGCCATGGCCCCGAAGGCCCCGAAACGTCTCCAACCAGATCCAACCTTTCTTTAGAAGAATTATGGAGAGCTGCACGCCACTGCAGATCAGAACTCAGAGATAGGTGACTGTCCAAAGCGCCACAACTCCTAAATCCCTAATTTTGATGTTCTTTTGCGACATCACGTTTACCACAGATTAGAAACCGCTGTGTCTCCATTCGCTTTGAGTGCATATGGCATATGGTGCATGATTCTCCTTTGCATTCACCGGTCTCCAGCCCTCGACCCAGCCCTCGAGTCTCTCCTTTCATTGGAGTCTTGAGTTTGGGAGAACAACAACCGGCAGCCGGGCGGATAACAGGGATGAAAGAGGATGAAGGAAAATGCCTTATCGTCACACGGGCGGCTATAACAGCTTTGGAGGCCATGGAGGAGTCATTCACGGTGCCGGCCATCCTCATCGAGCCGACAGCCGCCCAGAGCCCATGCCAGGATGTCCAAAATCCGAGATCCAAGGTAGCACACAGAACTCGGAAGCCCATAGCTCAGCGCTTCTAAGACGCCACCACTACCTTGTCCTCACTCCTCACAAACCGGAACTGCATAGCCGCCGCATCGGGCAATAAGAACAACAAGCTAGACAAGAAGAACGAAAATCCTATTACAAAAGCGATAGGGGCTGTAATAGGGGGAGGCTGCTGAGGCTGATAAGCAATCGCCGGGAGGCGTTCAACCTTCTTTGCGGTTATTCCTGGGTCTCCTGGGAGATAGAGCCGCAAGGATGAACCTTGTTTTATTCTCCTTTTTGTTTGTGTCTCTTTATTTATGTACCTGTGCATCTTGGCGACAGATAGGTATCCATTGAATGAGTTGTAGTAAGTAGGAACGTCATATGTAGATCATCGCATCGATCTTTGGTGGATACATAATCGAATCCTTGAAGTTGAACTGCCAGACCACCTTTTGATCCCTTTTGATAAGATGAGACCAAGGTCCCAGGCCCCAGGTGTCACCCTCGGTCCGTCCTGTCCGCAATCCGTCCGAGACTTTCTCCCCTTTTCTGTTTGTCCGTCTCACATTCATTTTGCTCGTCTTGGCTCTGCTTCTGAGTGCATCTGCTGCATCTGCATGACTGCATCTGAACATACATACTTACGCGAACGCGTGACACACACCTCCGCCTCCCGCATCTTCTTCCCGTGCCCCGTGCCCTCCGTGGCCGTCTTCATTCATGTGTTGACGCGTTTAATTACATACAGCTTTGACGCGTGTTTGAGGTCTGAACACTGAATAGCGACTTCAATATGTCGTAAGGAGCGGAAGATGCTGAGATAATCGAGGACATGAAGGCAGATGAATTGTGGCGCTGCAGGGATATGTACGGCGGGTTCGTATTTGTACTTTGTAGGTGAGTTGATGCACGAGATGACCTTTTGTTTGGTTCTATCCACCGGCAACATCATTTTCATCGTTATCGTCTCACGAGGGAAGCTTTCAGTTTCGACTACTGGGACCTGGTGGATAGCGCTAATGAATCATGAATGAGAGAGGATTCAACACCATCCTCGTGGGCCTCGTGGACCTCGTGTTGCCAACAGGCCCAACAAGCTTCTTGATTTGCTGGTCTTCCATTTTGATTTTGTCTAGTAGAGACTGGCAATGGACGGTCATCATCTCGAACATTAGAACTTAGCGCCATGAGAAGAAGAGACACAAGTTGCTCATACAAACAGTATGTAGGAGTTATAGGAGTGCAGCGCAATCTATGATATAGTGATCGACGGCTCGACAGCAGAGCATGTTTGGTTTCATGAGTACATAACAGTGATAAGACTAAGATCGCACAAACAACCAGGCCAAGATCTCCTCCGACATTCTTGATCCCAAGATCTCTTCCAAGCTCCAACATTGTTGATCATGAAGCGTGGCATTTTTGTGCTCATGTCTGCCGTCCAGGCTAACGCGACTTGCGACAAACCGCCAAGCAGTGCCCGGGGGAGATGTCACATCAGTGGGTACATATCAGGCTCTACTGTCTACTATCTACTACTGTACCTCCTCCAACGCTCCAAGAGCCAAGAAAGAGGGGCAAACAAAGATGCAAGGAGAAAAGGAGAATATGGCAAATAGGCTTTGCGGCGACCCGGGTGTTCGGCGCTGGGCGGCTCTCCCATTCCCGCGCACCGCCTGCGTCAATCGGAAAGAGAAAGCATTAAGCTCCTGAACCCTGGCTTCAAATGACACGGACCTGGTCTTGGAGCTCCTGAGAATTCACAAATGAACCACTGCTAATTTTTACAACATTTTTGTAATCAGCCCCCGGCTGTGTTTGTAATGCGACGAGCAAAACTACAAATGCTAAAGACTCTCTACTCTAGGGCACCGCCCAAAATGTATTAATAGGCGATAGGTGCTGTTTACCTACGTCCCCCCTGCTCACTCAACATCTCTCTCTGCCCCATACACCTCTGACCACCGCCCCACTGGCCCGTCGCTCTTTACCATCTGAACAAATCTGAAACTCGATTCGCCCAGCCAAGCGGCGTGACTTGCAGCGTCACGTAAGAGAAGCCCGCCGTACTCGTAGTAATTCCTTGCCCTACGCTAGTTCGCTTTCTGCCTTCCTCGACCTCCCGTCCCGGTATGTACGTGAACAAATTGGCCTGGCCCGACAGCTCACTTTTTTCCAGTCTACAAAAGACTTGGCCCTCCATCGCCTGCCTCGTCTGCCCCCCTCCATCCCCCACCCGTCACCCAGTCGTCGCACGGCCACAACACTCGACTTGTAAGTGATCTCGCGCCGTCTCAAATTGCCCGAATCTGGTCTGACGCCGTGCTCCAAGGGTGTCATACTCCCCTCCAGGCAGCACGCGTACTCCTCTCGTTTTTGGGGCAACTGAAGTAGTCTTCACGTCTTGGCCAGGGATACTTTCCCGTCCAACCCAAGCGTACAGGCGGTCCTAGATCACCCCGGTCACACCCACACCCCCCACCCACCCGCACTTTCTCACCAATCTCTCTTCCGCCTCTCTACAATGTATGGTCGCCTCTCCCCTCCCACCACCAACCGCCCATTTGAAGTCGAACCACGAAGAGCTTTCAGCCTCCCCTCCGTCGCCATGCCGTTCTACAACTCCAAACAGCACTCCCCCATCCTCCCTTTATCCAACTCCTCCCCCTACTCTCCCGTGCCCACACGCATGAATGCCAGGAGACTGTCATACGGTATCAAAAGCCGCGCATCGCACTACTCCATCCCCCTCTCCATCGGCGCTTTCATCACCCTCGCCATCTTCTTTTTCGTCTACACCCGCCCCGACTCTGAATACACCCGCTTCCAAGCTACCTCCAAACTCTCTCTCCAATCCCGAAGCCAAGAGCGCAGCGAGCTTGCCAAGGAGGTTGCGGCGCATGAGGAGCATGTGCCGGATAGGCATATGGACAATGGTGTGGGCATTCTGGTGAATGAGGACGAGTTAATTGCGGAGGATGATCTCTTCTGGGATTCGTACACCGAGGCGGAGCCGTTGTCGGCGGAAGAGGCTGCTGCCGAGGCAGAGCTCCAAGCCCACCGTGCCGACGTCTTGGCGCACAACACGGCCGACTCTCTCCGTGCCCTGGTCTGGTGGCTCGCCGAGGGCGGTATTCTCCCCAACAACTGGGAAGTGCCCACCAAAGCCCAGCTGAAGAAGATGGGGAGCAAGGGATTTGAGAAGCTGTTGACGGAGATTGATCATGGTGATGAGGAGCAGGAGATCTTTGAGGATGGATGGGCCGACTTTGCCAATAGGCGGTACAAAATCGTTGTCTTCTCCAAGGTGAGAGCTCTTTTCTCCTTCTCGTGTGGAGCGTCCAACTGACAGATGCTAGTCTTACTGCCCATACTCGCGAAACGCCAAAGCCATTCTCGCTCAATACCATCTCTCCCCCGCACCCTTCTTCATCGAGCTCGACCATCGATGTAAGTCACTCCCCGCCCCATCATCTGACAACCCTCATGACTGACCCCTGATGTAGCCGATATGAACTCTCTCCAAACACTTCTCAACCACTTTACCGATCGCCGCACGGTACCCAACATCCTCCTCGACTTTGTCTCCAACGGCGGGTCGGACGACCTGACGCTGCAACATGCCGAGGGAGGGCTGCAGCAGAAGTTTGAGGATATGATGGTTGTCTAAACTTGATGGCTCTGCCGCTAGTGAAGAAGATGAGAGAGCCTGAAGAAGAAGAAGATGGTCAAACAAGAGATGGGTCCAAGGACATTCAGTTTCAATTCCCCACCAATTTCCCTTATACCGCGTTACCCAGGCAGCCTTGCGAGGCTCAAATCACCCTGTTGTCAGATTAGAAGAACCAACAACCTCCCTGTACAAAAGAGCCATATACCCCATTATACCGATATATCTAGTTTGTAGCATCGAAGCAATACAAGGCCTTCTCATGCATGGTCGTCACATGTCGCGCACCGTATGTTCGTAGTTCAATCCATGGTCACACGACTTGCGATGCATTATATGAGGGGTACGAGTTGACCGTCTACATGTCACAGACTACCACCTCCGTCTACTGCCACCCTGGAACATCCTCGAAACCCCTCCTCGTCGAGTGGCTAAAGCCCCCAGCAGACCATACATGATCCCTCCAATATGACCAGCCGAGTCTGTCCCAGAGTTAGGCCTGAAGAGCGCTCCATAGAAATCCCACTGTTCTTTCCATCAGTCCCCGCTCAACCAGCTCACCAACTAGACCCAGGACATGAAAACTCACAGCAAACATTCCAGAGATGGCGAGCCATACAGGCATGGGGACAATAAAGAACATGAGCACAGTGCTCTGGGGGAACATGGCACCGTAGTATGCCAAGCAAGCGTAGATCGCGCCGGAAGCGCCTTCAGAGCCCCACCATTGGTGTTTGGACATTCGGTGGTAGCCGAGAGAGACGAGAGAGGAGAAAGCACCGGCTATTGGAATGTCAGTATAAGGATATGAGGAAAGGAGGGTGGAAAGAGACGTACCACCGAGGTAAAGGCCGAGGAAGTTGGCGGCACCGAGAAGACTACATATGGATGAGCTTGGGCAGTTGGGATGCGTGAAGGACTTACCCGGCAGCAGCAGGGGCAACAAAGTAGAGACCCAAGCAGTTGACGAGAATGTGGGTTCCGGAGCTATGGGAGAAGGCGCTGGTGACGAGGGTCCATCTGCAGATACAAGTCAGTGGCGCTCATGAATCCCTCAGACGTCAAGGCTCACATTCTTCCAGCAAAAACGTTTGCCTCGTTCAAAATAAAGTTGTTCCTCAAGAAGTAGAGCAGCGTTGGATCGCGAAAGCGTTGCTGCAAGTGTAGGCGTCAGCTTCTGATACTTGACTCATCTGGACTCCACTCACAGCCGATTGAAGTGCATACTGCCAGAGCAGGTAGACACCTCCGTTAATGCCGATCAAGGCATACACAAGCGTCATCGGCTGTATTGTGTCGAGACGCCGCTTGACCCGAGACCACCAATTGCTACCACCACCATTTCCACCACCATAGTAGCCGCCGCTGGACCGTTTGTAGTATCTATCTCTGATAGCCGATGTCGGAGATGAGGAGATCAAACGCTTTGAGATGGATAGTGATGACTGTGGGCCGGCGAGAAGACGAGAGATGGGCGGAGAGTTCGAGAGCGGTCTGCTGGGCATAAAGGAGCGAGAGAGGGTGGTGGTGGAGATGCTCTGGGCCAGTCTGGCGTTGGTGGGAAGGTGTTGACACCTCTTGAGGGTATGGCCCAAGCCAATCGTTGCTCTGGGGAACATTTTTGAGTCGCTTGAGATTTTGGAATATGGAAAGAGTGGTCAAGAACGGTAATGTCTGGGTAATGTCACCAAGCGTTTGGCAAGCGTTCAATAGGCGGATGTCGCCGAAGATGCCTTCGCTTTCCGCCGATGATCGATGTGGATTTGATGTTGATCTGTGTTTGATGGCGGATAGCCGGGCTTTCCTGGTGCTTTCCGAGTGCTTTCCACGGGTCCTCATATACTTTCTCCCTTTTCAAGTTTTCTCTCTTTCACATCAACACAATCATCTTGTGAATCGTGTCACCAAGTATCTTCGCAACACCTAAAGACCCTTTTGCCGTCGTCCAACTCGCCCCTTTTTGCCCTATGGTAAGATGCTCACCGTCACTCCCGATAGTTGACGGCTCTCATTCTGACACGTTCCGCAGGCTGGATAATGAAACCCACCCTTGATTCCGCAGACCTCACTGTATTACCTCTCCCTTCCGAGGTCATCTACATGATATACAATGAGTACCTCGAGTCAGTGGTCCCCGGCGAGCGTGCGTTCACCAGCTCTCTTCTCCTCTCTCGAGCACTCTACGAACTGCGAGCCCCCAAGATATACTCTACAATCACCCTCAACGCACGCAACATCGACTCTTTTATTCGCCCTTGGAAACTATGGTTCTTCGGAACCTTCTTCAACCAGGATGAGAAACTCGCCGGGCATTCCAGGAAACAGGACGTACCCCTCGCCAGCGCCGTCTGTCCCGTTCGCCGTTTTCTCGCATTCACCACCATCAATAGCCTGACGTTCCAGGATGTCTTTGCGCTTTCCCAGTTCTGGAACTTTCTGTCATGGACCGCCTTCTTTCCATGGAATTTGTACTGCATTTCCGACCCTCGGGCGTCTTTCGAATTCCTGGCCACTCAGCTTCCAGTTATCGCTTTCAACGCCCCCGCATTCGACCATTCTACCTGTATGGTCTGGTTGCGATACTTGGAAGGATCTCTCCCCCACATCAAAGCTAGGAATTTTCACATCAACATGCCCCACGCCGGGTTAACAACGATCGTAAATAAGAGTTTATCGACCCTTTTGACAGCAGCGGGGAGCACACTTGGAAATGTGCTGGTCACCAACTGCCTCAGTCCACGGGAATTTGGATGGTGTCCTCCCCGCAAGACAGTTGGCATATATTTCGAACTTCCTACTTTGATCGACGTATCTGAAGAGTTGAGGTTGGGACAGACGAAAGCAGATCAGGCACTTTCGGAACAAGATAAGATGATACTCGTAAAACGATCTTTAGCGAAGAGTTGTGCAGGCTATCTCTACCGTGTTCTCTCCTCTCCGTTAGCATTATTTGTTTCTTGCCCTTCACACAGCACTGACAATATTATAGAGCGGGATGCAGACCACTTATCGGCTTTTGTCAACCACACTTTACTGTACAAGATTTCAACGATGTTCTGGGGGATTCCAGGCTTCCTCGACTTTGCGTAAGACAGATGGCTTGGGAGTCTGGTATCATTGATGTGGACTTGTTTTGGAAGGAGAGGTTTGGAGATCCTGTTTGGACTAGGCTTGAGATGAGGCGTTGATGTCGAGATGTATATGATGAGCGCCGACGTTCAGGGGCGCACGAATGACAAGAATCGGCAGCAGGGTCCTCCAACGTCTTCTGATGTGATCACTGTAATTAGGCGATACGAAGACATACACGGCCCGAATCGTATGGAATATTGGCATATGAATCGCATTATAGATCTAGAGTAATGAGAATGTCCAAAGATAATAAACAGCTCCACCCCTCATAGTACGTACTAGAGCAAAACCCAAACGCCCATCACACCGCCTACTAAGCATGCTACACTCTTTACTGGTAAAGCGTGCAATTTAGTTGCTGATGAAGTAGTCTGTATCATCATATCCATCATAAGCATCTGATAGTCCGAAAGAAGACACAGGGGAAGATAGGGAAAAGACTCACGAGACCGAAGATGACAGACGGTGTCTTGAGTCTCGGCGTAGCGGAGGGGAAGAGCGTCGAGGAGGCGTGGTAGGTAGGGAGAAGATCGCTTGTAAACGATGCCGATGTGGTTGAGAGAGATGAAGAAGAGGGTGGAGAGGCGGAGGAGAAAGTGGGTCCTCCAGTAGCCGATGATGTAGCCAAGGATGGATCTTGTGAAGAAGCGGATGGCGTTTCGGCAGAGCTGGATGTGAGCGCTGTCGAAACTTCGGCAACAGATACGGCCTCGCTGGTAGTTTCTGTGGATGAAACAACCATAGTGAGAGTGACAACCTGCCCACTCGCTTCCCCATCTGTCGCCACAGAAGTGACCACGACCGTCTGCGTCTGTGCCTCCTCCTTCACCGTCGTCGTCCCCGCCGCTGCACTAGTCACAACAGTGCTCGTCTGAACAGCCTTGGCGGAGGAAGTGGTGACGGTGGTGGACGATGTGGCGTCGGGATCGGGGTTTTTGGAGGCGAGGGAGTAGAAGGAGATGTATCCCCAGCCGCCGCATTCGTATTGGGCGTTACCGGCGCAGGTGGAGTTGCAGTTTCTTTCGTCGACTCGCTGAAAGTTGGAGAGTTTGGAGCCGCACATGCATTGGTCGGCGTCGGCTGTGAGTGTATCAGCGAAAGGTCATATGTGGGATGGGTCCACGTACCGAGGCCGGCGAAAGGGAGCCCTTGATTGTTGCAATAGGTGACGCAGACGGCGGGCGTCATTCCACTACTTGGATAGACTGTAGTATGATCAGTCATCATGTTTTCGAACGGTAAGTCCGAGTATTACTTACTAGTCCAGTTCAAGATGCGTTGCCCCTCTCCTTCATAAAGACATCCGACGTATTCCCAGCCTGAAGCCAAAGTCGGCACGTTGACAGCGAGGACAAGAGGTATGAATGTCAGGAGGACTGATAAGGCGGCGAGCATGGTGTGAGACAAGTGAAGAGTCGAAGGGAGAGATAATTAATGGGATATGGAATGGACAGCCGCCAGAAGGATAGCACAGAGCAGCAGGTGGTGGTGAGATTGCGAGGAAGACCGGGTGCACCGGGTGACTGGGTTCTGAAATTTTAGATCTAGTAGGAGTATCAGTGTAAGACAGGTAGATGTGAGATGCAGGAAGGGAGAGATTTGAATCACTTGCCTCGGTCATCATCCCGCATCTCTTAGCCATCTGTGTACATAATCCACATCTACACGGACAGTACTCCTCACCTGTCGGCGTGTCAGGCTCCGGGTCCTTTCTCAAGCCGTTCTTCCTTGATGTACACACACGAATGCCCTATCCTCATGGCGTTCTACCGGAGGCATAAAGCATATGCGAGAGCCTACAGTATACCCTCGCAGCCGCCCAAAGACAGTGAAGCGCGCATGACACGCGTATGTTGTCGAGCTTGCCTGGTTGCAGGGTCTTGCTGCCAAGGTGTCGGACAAAATGGCGACTCAAGCCCATAGCCCAAAGCATCAGTCAACAGTGGCACAGCAAAGGGACAGACATGTGATGGATTGGACGTGTTTGGAAGGACTGAGTGGGAAGGCCGAGTGTCGTGTGACTGTGATGGGTCTACCCTTAGCATGGCGAGGCTGGGCTGGGCTTGACAGACTGTCGATGCGAGGCAATACATGGACACCTGGTGTTGTAGAGGAGAGAGGGCGATGAAGGTCCGAGGAGATATAAAGAAGAAAGAAGAACGGTTACGATATACAAGTCAGAACAATTGAGTATCGAGAGTATCGGCGTTCCTTGTACTGTAATAAAGCCGTCGGAAATATCACCGCCCGGATACGCGACGCGACGCGCACAACTCATGTCCTCTTTCCATCATGTCTCTTTCAAATTACGCCATCCCTGGCGGATCCTAGACAATGTCTGCTCCAAGAGATGACCGAAATGATGGGCGCCCGGTGAGCACTGCCGGCCGAATTCTCGATCGCAGCTGACAGAGGACGCTGCTAGGTCTTCGTGGCCGAGACAGAGGATGTCCGAGAGTTTGCGAGATTATTACGAGGGGTCGGACTGAAGCATGTGCGTTTGATGCACCTCGGGAGACTATCCGATCGCTGATAATCCCAGAACGCCATAATGGAAGTCCAGGAAAGCATGATGATCGTGACCGTCGAAGATTCGCGGACGCTCTGCGGTAAGCATTTACTGCTCCGTTGTATCAGAAACTGAAAATCTCTCAGCCTTATCATACATCCCGACATCTATATTCAGCACCTGGACATTCCATCAGCCCACAGACGATCCCCCAATGTTTGAATTCTCCCTCGATTCCATGCTTCAATGTCTCAACATCTTTGGCAACGCCGGGTCTTCTGGCAAAGATTTCAACATCAAAGCCAAGAAGAGATGGGCTGGAGAGGGTGATGGTCTGAACCTCGGAGGGGAAGAGAGGGAAGATGATAGGCGGTTTACGAGGGATAAGAGGGGAATGACGGGTATGAGGATGGAGTGGATGGGTCCGGGGTATGAGCTTACTTTGCTCTTGTACGTTTCAATACGATCATGGATTGGCTATGGAGAGGGAGCTGACATCAGTGTAGACAAGATGAACACAAAGGCCCGACAACGACTTGCTCGCTGCGGACGCTCGAACCAGAAGAGATCCTCAATCCTCCATTCCACCTCGAAGATCTGTAAGCCCCTCTGCCTGCTCTCAAGACTGGAGTTGACATGCCACGCCAGCAACCTCAATATGATCATGCAATCCGACTCCTTCCGCAACGCTCTCCTCGACCTACCCCCATCCTCCAACCGTATCACCATAACCGCCAAACCGCCTTACAATGGCGAAGACTCCGAGGACGACCGAGCAGCCGACGCCGACGAGTCTGATGCCAACGTGCGGCGAAGACGAAAGGTCAGGCAAGAGCAAGGGCAGTTCATTATCAAGGCGGAAGGTGATCTGGGGACTGTGGAGTTGGAGCACCCGAATGATCGGGATATCATGCAGTCGTTCGCTTGTGTAGAGGGTGGGATGACCTTCAGGTGAAAAATCTTCTGTTAAAAGGAAAGGTACAGGGACTGATTGATTCAGCTACCACTCGGTACACTTTGCACACCTCGCCAAAGCTCTTCAAGGCTCTATCAAGATTTGTCTACAGATAGACGACGAGGGTGTCCTGAATGCGCAGATTATGGTGGCAGAAGGAGATGATATCGGTGGACACCGTGGATTACTAGAGTACAAAGTGAGTCTTTTGGTCTCTTACGATGTGACCCGGTCACTGATACTGCTCTAGTTGCAGGCCCTGGAGGACGAAGCGGAACAATAGATCATTCATTCGTGCACATTTCAAGCTCATTGTTGTATCATACACCTGACTCACACTCATGCACTTCTGTAGCCACCCCACTCAGGCCGTAGCAACCACAACATTTACCTCACACTGACCATTCTGTAGGGGTGCTTACACCATCGCGGCAGTCGTATCCAAATCATCAATCACCGACTCCAAAATCCCCACCTCCCATTTCTGTGCACTCTGACTGTTCTCCAGGAATATCAAAGCCACCCTCAACCTCCCCGACGCACTCGCCAACCACTTCCTCGAACGTTCATTCAACTGCTCCAACCTACGCGCCTCATCGAGTTCTTCCTTTGCCATCTTCATCGTGTGGTTCATCCCCTTCGTCTCGGGGATATACTCCAAAATAGCCAGGGAGCGGGAAACGGTATTCTTCAGAGCGGTGGCTCGATTAGCATTGGTCAGGAAGGTGGTGATGCCGTCAGTGACGGCGGTGGATATGCATTTTTGGCCGGCGGCGGTTGAGATGTCGACCCGGCCTTTGCGGTAAGAAGGTGGTGAGGAGGAGTCGGAATCCAATATAGAGTAGTCTGGGGCCCTGCGACGCCAGGAGTCGTTTGCAGCTTGGGCGGCGGCGGTGGAGGTGGGGGTGGGGTTGGGGTTGGAGTTGGAGGTGGAGGAGAGGCTGCTCTCTACGAGCACACTGAGGAGGGATTCAATTTTGGAAACTCTGGCGCCGATGGACTGGATGAAGCGTCAGGGCGAATCGCGTTGGGGTCAAGAGGGCTCAACGTACTGTCTCGGAATCCATTCCATCACCCGCCGACGCCAGTGCTGCCAAGACTTTATCGAGCTTTTGCCGTACTTCATTGCTAGCTGCTTTGGAATCCTAGAACAATATCAGTAAGAGTGTCCATTTTGAGGGAAGACGGTTGGGACGCACGCTGACCAAAGAATCAGGCAGTCTCCCGCCCTCACTCATCGTAATCTGCCCTTCCGCCATATAGCCCAGCAAGTCGCTCAAAAGCGTGTTAGGTTCGGACTGGATGCGATAGATGGTCGTATCTATATCGTCAAGTCTTAAGAGAATGCGGTTGGCCTGAGAGGAATCATACTTGTCAGTTCGAGTCTCCTAGGGCGGTGGGAGAATACATACCAGTGTGGGCTTGTGGGGAAGTTCGGCATCCTCATCCATCATGTCCTCGACAGCCATCCCGCCGTCGGGTTCGGAAGGCACCTCGGACCATGTGAAGGCGCTGGGCTCTGCCGTTGCCGCGCTTGGACTGGTGGTACTCGAGGCCATTGTTCTTGTGTGTATGAAAAGGAGGAATGAAAAGGGGAGAAAAGATGGAGGATGGAAAAGAGATGAGCGGAAAGACTGTTGTGGCGGTTGGGCTTGGATGTACGTACGTATATGCGGCAAGAATGCATTTCTGCCGCAGCAATGGGAGCTTGGATACAGAAATATATCAAAGACACCAATCCCAGGTTCTCAATCGTGAGAGAAATATACCAGACTACAAATAGCATCATCATCGCGGATTCACCTCGAGTTGAATCAAAGCAGCTCGGTACGTCGGCTGTACTGAACGCAAGGCTGTTTAACCCCAATCACCCATACATCGGATTTACATCAATATCCGCACCGGCAGGTATGGTTATGTCACATGGCCTTGTGAGATCATAAACTTGGGGTTCCGCTGAAGACATCAAATCCAGGAGAATATTATACGTTGCATGAGCTGACAATCTATCTCGAGACAGCGCTCACACCATTGTAGCAGTAGTATCCAAATCATCTATCACCGATTCTGGGATCCCCATCTTCCATCCCTGCCCGTCCTTCTAATGCGTCTTCAGATACATCAAGGCCACCCTCAACCTGCCGGACGCACTCGCCAACAATCTTCCAGCCCCGCCATCCGGCCCTTTTGAACTCGCATTCGCTTGACAGAGGTCATCCATCGCAAAACTCGACATCATATCGATCCCTTCCGTCTTGGGGATATGTTCGAGGATGGAGAGCGAGCGGGAGACGGTAGCTTTGAATGCGTGGGATAGGCGGGCGTTAGATAGGTAGGTTATTATGCCGTCTGTAACGGCGGCGTCGATGGCCTCTCTCGTAGCAGATGATACATTGTCTGTGGGCATGCCGTCTGCGACAGTAGGGGCAAGGTCCTGCTCCGTGTCGATGGAGGTCTTGTCACCGGAGAGGGGGCGGGATGGTGAAGAAAGAGACTGGTCCTCTGCTGATTGCAGGAAGCTATCGTCGTCGCGGGGGCCTCTCCGTGCGGAGCTCGAATATCAGGACTTGACGGTGGCTTCCCTCACGTCGCTCAACCACTCACCCTTCGGCGATCATCTTCCCTGCGCCTCTGAGGATCTGAGGACGGCCTGTAGAAGGTCTGATAGGCTCGCAATGAACATCCGGTATCGACTAAACCAATCTACCATAAGCGATGAACTGATGCATTCTTTCATGTAGTGTAATCTACAGCCGGACACTACCAGTCTTCAGATCCCGAGCAAAGTCTTCAAACCAGAACTGTTCCGAGCCCAAGCTTCAAAGTTGTGCTGGTCGGGCACAACCTTCTTACTCGCTTCCACATCTCTATCCATCCCACTACACTCTCCATCAGCTTTTCCCCTTTGATGATGAATGAAGGAAACCCACCCTTCGATGAGAATTTTCATAGCCAACCAGAGTTCTTCTCCTACAGCTTCTTTGTGCGCCTCGCTGAAGAAGGTCTCACGAGAGATGTGGGGGGTGTCGACTTTGAAGCCGGCGAGGTTGGAGAGGGAGGCGGCCATCTCGCCGACGGTGAGGGCATCGGTACAAGCCGTCATGTCTTTGCCTAATACGATTCTCAGCAAAGTATCCTCACTACAAGAGATAGCTGAAACTCACCGATCCACTCGTCAGGCGCTTTCCAAGCAGCAACCACCCATTTACCCGTCTGGTCCGCGGGGTAAGAAGGCACTTTGGTGTCGTCTGGCACGGTAAAATTGAGCACCCATCGCTTGTCGTCGGGCGATTGTTTGAGGAGCCCGAATTTGTAGAGGTTGGAGAAATAGTTGCAGGTGTAGAGGTTGGTGAAGGGATACTTTTTCTCCTTCAGATACGTCGAAACTGACCATACATAAGCACGAGCCAAAACCCCAAAAGACTGAGAAACGTACCAGCAGCTTTCGACTCAAAGTGAGGCGCAGCGCCCTTCTCCACCGCATCCAGCGTAGAATAGACGATATGCTTGATACCCGCCTCGACGCACGCATCAGCCGCGCCTTTAGACTCTGCCGTTTCGGCCTCTTGGGCAGCTTCAGCATCACCGCCGTTGGACATGTACTTGGCCCAGAAATCGGCGTTGATGAATGCAGCGTCGAGGCCTTTGAGGGAGGAATAGTAGGAGGATGGGGAGGACATGTCGCCTTGGATTAGATGGACGCCTTGGGCGGCAAGAGCTATTCGGTTTTAGTATGAGCTCCCTGAGGGATGTGAGGAGGACACACCTTGAGCGCTGTCGGAGGTGGGGTTCCGGGTAATGCCATAAACCTCAAAACCAGCCTCGAGGGCATACTTGCAGACGCTAGAACCTTGGTCTCCAGTAGCGGTAAAAACGACGACTTTGAGCACCATGGTGAGCTATATCTTACAGCAGGCTATGGCCAACGGCGGGGGAGTAGTCTCTTCCCGGGGGGGTTTTATAGGCAGCATGTGACGGTTGGTTATTACTTAAGCTAACTGTATAGTGGCCATTCCGTCGGCATATTGGTGGACCTCGGGGTGGAGGCAGGTGGAGGTCCCCGCCGAGGTCATCCGTGGACGGATCCGCAGCTACATATGATCATGAATGATCAACCTTCAAGAAGACGTCCTGTGACAGCAGATCAGATCATAGCCATAATACCCATCAGAACGATACGAATGTTGAGTCACAGCAGGTTCTCTGTAGAACCGCAATTCCTTGTGATATGGTCCTCTTTGCCCATGCGTGCAGTAGTGAGTTGGATGATCTGGCACGTCCTCGTGTCTCGATTCGGTCCTTGCAACATCAGCCTGCCACAACGCAGCCCGAAGCTCATGCCCACCCCGCCCGCAGTATCTCCTACGCTTGCTGGAACCCTTGATACAACCACACATATCCACGTCGGATCATTTACTTCATAAACAAACATCGATATCGGATTAGATAGATACAGTAAGTGGAGAACCGAAGCAAGGTATCTCCAACATGTTCATGAATAGTCGGTGATGATCGACCAAGGCGAAATGCGCGGTTTAGTAACCGTGGCTACACACTCAATCAGCTCTACCCTCTCATTATCGCAGACCAAGACTTACACCACAATAGTGACCTTCGCATCCTTGGCAGACACAATCCCACTGTCAATCAAGAACTGCTTGGCGCCCATCCTCTGGTCGCCCTGGAGCTGCAAGACATCTCCGTGGTTGACCTTGGCACCAGGGGCAGGGGAAGCCTCCTCATCCGAGTCGACCTCGGGCTTGTGGACGGTACCATTGCAAGCGAATTCCTTCTTCATGGCTTTGAGGATCTTGTTGTGGTTGAACTTGGAGGGGATACCTTGGATGGTGGTAAGGGTCTTTCGACCGTTACGCTGCTGGAGACCTGGGCTCCGAGGTTAGCGCCGGTGCCGCCGAGTACATCAGAGCTAGGGGAAGAGACGCACGGATGTGAATCTTGTCATTCTTGTTACCAACGGCCTTTTCGATAGAGGGAGTGTCGTTCAAGTCATCGACGGGGGCAAACGGGTCTATGTTGATAATCAGCACACGAGCATAAAGAATTGGCGAGGAAACGCACCAAAAGCGGGACCGAGGTTCTCAACCCCAGTCTGGGCCGCGGGGGCCTTGGTCTTCTTGGTAGTGGCGTCCACCTTGTTTTGGGTTGTAGCTACAGACTCCCAGTCAGCTTGCCACGCTTTGATGATACGCGTCGAAAAGTGAGTGGCTCAAGTGGCGGGATGGAAGGTGGCGGGACTGACTAGTAGTGCTCATTCAAAAAGTAGCAGGGCAGCGGGTGGAGAGGGGGCTGAGTGGTGAGTGAGTTGAGCAGTCCGATGCATGGCTGCAGTCTGGCAGGGGGATAAAGGAGAGTGCTGCAGTGCACGGCGTTTACGGGATTACCCATGTGGCGCTGTTTTTGCCACCCAACGCGTCTGATTTTTGGCCAACATTCTAAAATTTCAACTGATCTACGACACGCCATGCCCCGAGTCACCCGCAAAGAGAAGGAAGCTGGTAAAGCACCAAGACCGAAAGCCAGGAGCTCGGTCCAGAAGCCGAGCTATGGTGGTTTCAAGACTGGCCCCGCCAGGGCTGGCAAAGATGCCTACATGGGCAAAGGTGAGTCTGTCTATGTTTGATATATCTACTCAAGCTGACGACATGTACAGCAAAGAAGATGAAAGACGACCTCATTGAACGCGCCAAAGTCAAGAAACAGTTTGCTAAAGTCCTCAAGAAAGAAGGCATGGACTCTGAACGGTTAGGCGACGGTACGAGGAGACGGCAAGAACGCGAGCCCCGCGAGGCAGGGTCTGAGAAGAAGGAGTGGAAGGACAAAGGCAAGCCTAGAGAGGGAAAGCCTAGAGAGGGCAAGCCTCGAGAAGGACAAAGTCAAGAGAGGCGCGGACCGCGAGGAGGCAGGGAAGATGAAGATATGGCGCGGATCCTCGCCCGCGCTGGTCCTTCTAAACCTTCCCCTTCCTCCAAACCATTCAAATCCTCCAAACCATACCCCAACTCGAAGCCATACACCAAACGCCCCCGAGACTCTTCACCCTCTTCATCATTCTCTGCGCCTGCCCCTGCTGCCCCCGCCAAACCCCGGGCTCTCTCCCCCGAACGCCTCGCTCTCCCTGAGCCGCCCAAAGTAGACGGGAAAGAAGCGTCATTGAGGACATTGAAGAAGGAAGGGTTCAGCAAGTTCCATTGGTCGCGGGATGCGCCCGCTGCTGGTGCTGGTGCGCCGAGAGGCAAGGGGATGAGGGGTCAGCCGAATATGGGCTCGAGGATGGATGTGTTGTTGGAGAAGATTAGGAGGGATACGACAAAGAAGGCTTGAGTGCTCTGCGCAGTGGACGAGGGGGTGGGAATGTAAGATAGTGGGCACTGGCTAAACGCTTATAATGCACATGTTGTATCTGTCGTTCTTCACCCGGGATGCCTTAATCCCGATTTCATTTCATCGTATATATCTCGCCCTTGACTCAATATCTACCTAAAGCCCAGCCAACTCCCTCACATCCTTCAGCGTATGCTCCAACACCTGGATCTCCCACTTCGGAACCTCATCCCCCTTCATCTCGTACAACTTTGCCTCCAAAACGCCTGCCACCATCGCAAGAGAACTCTTTGTCTTTCATATCCAGCTCAGCTCCGCTTTATCTTTGGTGCTTTCCTTCATATCCACAAGAGTCTCCAGGTTGTTGAAGATGTCCAGCGTCATAGCCGTCCTCGTCTTTGTCTTCTTCGATGATTTGTAGGAAGCGGCCGTATGCGCTGGCGAGGACGGCTTGATGAGCCCGATGGCCTCGGATGGCGGGGGGGGGGGGGGGGATGAACTCTCCTTCTTGAGTGGTGGTGAATATATCCCTGAAAGACAAAGATGAAGATAGGCTCTTGCCCTTAGATACCGTCGTCAGCTCTACACCTCTTCTCGAGACCACCCTGTCAAGGTAAGGAGAAGAAGAAGGAGAAGAAGAGGAAGTACCTTCATGCAGACTGCCGCAGCGCCTTCGATAGTTTCGATCCAGTCCTCGGTTGCCTCGAGAACCGTCTGGAGGACTTTGATTTCTTTATTGCAGTCTTCGACCTGATCGAGCGGGCCAGTCAGCTATACTATACTAGATTCTGGGAACAATGTATAAGAACGCTTACGGTAATAGCCAGAACGCTACTACCGGCGGCATCTCCTTCATCCTTACCGTCTTTCGCAGTAGTGCCGTTCTGGTCTTCCCCGCTCTATCATCACGAGACATCAGCCCCCTCGCAACCTTACACACAAGTCAGGACAGTTATTCAGCTAGTACTTGCTTTAACAACAACAGAAGAATCCCGCTGAACAGCAGGAGGTTGAGGTCGGACTTTATCATCAAAGATGGAAGAGTATTTTTTTGTGCAAAGGATCGCATATGGCGTGGCTGTTGTATAGGACGATACCGTGTTTCTGGTGGGGTGCGAACTTGATGAGCTAATGAACGCATGTCTTCAGCAGAATGTCATCAATACCGCCATGCGGGATTGGCAGGTAGCAATGGAAAATGCGGAAGATGCGAAAGACCCAATACAACAAGGCGGAAGGAGAAATGACTCTCACCAGACATCCCAATCCCCCTCTTTCCGAAGTGGGCTTTTTACGTTGTGTTTGGTTCTGTAAGGCGTTCTTGGACACCGAGGAATCCTTTTCTACTTTTGACGAGAAATGACCAAGAAGTAGACGACGCTTTCTCGCTATTTCTCTCTCTATACCTCCTCAAATGCCGAATTCCTGCCGCCTCCCAGCCATCATCGCGAGACAGCTGTAGCGTTCTCTTTTACCCCTGGCTCGACGCAAGCCCCGCGCGTGGGCCGGAGGAGGAACGACGGAGTTGCTCGCCTCCGTCTTCGTCTTCGTCTTCGCTATCGTTCTCGTTCTCGTTCTATTTTTCTCTTCTAGTAAAGCTGTCCGACGTATGTCGACACGCCCATATTCGCTACCCTTACCTTCTTTCGTCTTCTCCTCTTTCTTATTGTCTTTAGCCTTTTCGTACGCTTCGCTGGTCGACTTGTACCCTTATTCGCTTCGTGCCGTAGACGTATCACGTAGTCGCTCCGTCCATCGTTCGTCACTCATTCATGTATATAAGAAAGGCTGGGTAGTGGGACAGAAACTACAAACCACATTCTTTGACTCTCTTCTCTCCCCTCCTCTTCTTCCTTTACCTCTACACTTCCTGTCAAAACCTCATCCAAGCACATCCGTGTCTTCCTCTTCAAGTACTTGGACTCAACCAGCAACTATACTTGGTGTTTACTACAGCTGTCTCCCCAGAGCAGGTCTGATCACCACAACAGCGCGCTACTGCACGTACGGCGTCATCCAACATTTATTTCACCACTTTTTCGCATCCTATAAAACGCCCACAATCCCTATCCTGACATCTCGTCCGTCTTTCTTTTTTCGGTTCACAATGCTCGCCACCCTCAAAGCTCACCACATTGCCAATATGAGACCTCTCCTTGCGATGTCTCGAGCCCCCGGCCTTGACGTAGTGCACCGGCACACCGGCTGCCGACAGCCATTCAACGTTGGACTGCCGCCACAACTTCATTGCCCATGATTCCAATGAGCAAGAGCTTTCAAAACACCTACGCTTATGGAATCTGGGTAAAACAATGGTAGAGTGTCACTTCATACCATAGGCTACTCTCTACCTATGCTACCAGATGGACTCTACTCAGTACTCGTTTTCCGCTTCTTCTTAGCCCTCCGTCACTGCACCTCATACCACTTCCGGTCCTCCTCTCTGGTCCTTATGCGTATTCATTGTCGATAGCCTCAATAAGACGGTCCGCCCTTACCATGGGTTAGCTCCTATACGTGGGCTGGTAAGAAGACCTCTTGGCTTACAGTTCGGTGGGTACGCTCTGGAGGACGCAATCCGGTTCGGTGCACGAGCAGAGTCTGTCGTCTCGGCGTTCGAGCCTTTGATCCTGTGTGGCGTTAAAGTGCTCTACAGTCCATGTTCGGCGGTATGGATCGGGCACATAGCGCGATAAGAGGGTGAACGTCACATCATCAGGGCCATTTGCCAGGTAGAGCCTTCACAGGGTTCTTGTTAGTGAATTCTTCCAGATTCTTCCTCGGACTTACTTTGCATAATGCTCCCTCACCCCACTTCCAGGGAAGTCGGTATCAATAGAAGGGTCAATAGGGTCTTTGAACACGAAGTGGCTGTCCCTCTCGTATACGGTCCCATCCCGAGACACAGCTCTGAAACTGACTCTCTCCCAGGGATAATGACAATAATCAGTATTGTGTGCGTCGGGGACGATCAAAGAAGCTGAGCGATCAGGACGGTCTTCAGGGGGTGCTTCGGTTGGCGTGATGTAAATAACTGTAGGCTGCTGAGCGGACATGTTCTTGTTTGTTGGATACGTATATCCTGTAGTGGAACAGCTCGCTTTCAGTGCATTATATATGTACATGCAGTACCTCCCAATAACAACATTGCACCAGTACAAAAGAGAGACGATGAAGTAATATAGTGGTCGTATCGACTAGGCTCCGATGTGTTCACGTCATCATCCATCCATCGCTGGCGCATGAGAATCAAATGAAGTAATACATGTCTCAAGGATACTTCTGAAATCCATTGTTATATATGTAGGACGAATTCACAGTGATCTTCCTGAGTCCCGAAGATGAATGTGTTCACGTCATGATCCATTCATTGCTGGCGCATGAAAATCAAATGAAGTAATACATGTGTCAAGGATGCTTCTGAAATCCATTGTTACATATGCAGGACGATTTCACAGTGATCTTCCTTAGTCCGGACGGTGAACATCACAATTGCTCGATGATTGAATGAGGTAATCGAAAAACAAGCAGTGATCGACAAGAAAGTCTAAAGTCGCGTTCAATTTCGCGACGAGTCAAGCATCACGCATCACGACGTATCGTGCCAACGTGCGTCACGTTGATGAGGTGCATGGGTGTTAACGACTAGCAAGTACCTGCACGCACGACCTACAGACTGCTCTGCGCACCATCTCCAGGCGGGATTCCAGATCATATTCTGGCACCCTGTAGCCGGTGGGTGGCGGCATCTGTATGCAGGCAGGTATCAGCGACGCGGATGCCTGAGATGTTTTTCGGTCTATGTCTGTTACAGTATCTGTCACGATGTATTGATTAGCGATTGCGCAATGATGGTTTGTTGGACTGTATCATGCTTAGTTAGTGGTATCTTGTAATCGTCGATAAGCCTTCTTTGACTGTACGTTACGTGAATGACTATACGTACTCGGATATTTTTGGCACGAAGAAGACGAAGTAACTCGAATCATGGTGCCACCATCTAGTCGTCCGCGTACCTCTACACACATACATATACATATCCCCACTTCCTCCCGTCATCATGAAGGCGGTGGACTGCATACATGACAATATGCACAACGTACCAATTCGGATGGATAACAGATGAAAGAGAAAAGATCTCCAGAATGAATGCCCAGAGCCCATGCCAGGATGTCCAAAATACGAGATCGAAGGTAGCACACAGCATTCGGAAGCCCATAGCTCAGCGCTTCTAAAACACCACCACTACCTTGTCGTCACTCCTCACAAACCGGAACTGCATAGCCGCCACATTCGGCAATCAGAACAACAAGCCAGACAAGAAGAACGAAAATCCTATTACAAAAGCGATAGGGGCTGTAATAGGGGGAGACTGCTGAGGCTGATAAGCAATCGCCGGGAGGCGTTCAACCGTCTGTGCGGTTATTCCTGGGTGTCCTGGGAGATAGAGCCGCAAGGATGAACCTTGTTTTATTCTTCTTTTTGTTTGTGTCTCTTTATTTATGCACCTGCGCATGTTGGCGACAAATAGGTATCCATTGATTGATTTGTAGCAAGTAGGAAAGTCATAGGTATCGAGATCATCGCATCGATCTTTGGTGGATAATCGAATCCTTGAACTGCCAGACCACCTTTTCATCCCTTTTGATGAGATGAGACCAAAGTCCCACCCTCGGTCCGGCACTTTCTCCCGTTTTCTGTTTGTCTCATGCATCTGAACATACATACTTGCGCGAACGCGACAAACTGAACCAACGTGTGACGGGCGTTCGGCATTCGGCCCGTCTTGCGCACCATGCGTCCGTTATCGGTATATCTTTTCTCCCCCTTTTCCCTGTGATGGAATCTCAGAGCTCGTGGGTGAGCCGAAGTGTCTGCCGAGTCGCCCGACGGTCTTTTCGTTTACCAGAAAGGGCAGAAGCCAGAAGATCATCGCGGGACCAAACACTCCCCAAGCCCGTGCTGGGTCGATGATTCGTACACGTTAACCGCAAAGGTATCATCTCTTGTCGTTATGGCACACAACATAGTTTACAACATCTGGAATCACCAGCGTACCTCCAGCCCTATTGACTTGACGCCAACTCAATTTCATCATCAACCAACATCCATCCAACGCCCACCTCACTCCGCCTCCCCTTCTCCCAGCCTTTCTCCCATCCTCTCAGCCTCTCCCATCCTCTCAGCCTTCTTCGCCCTCGCCCTCAGCTTCGCCTTCTCCCTCCTGACCCTCTTCCGCTCTTCTTTCGCCTCCGACTTGGCTTGTTTGGCAGCAGCTTTTTGTTGGCGGTTGGCGGCTCTCTGGGAGAGGGATGATGCTCTTCGGGCTAATTCTGTGTTTTGTCAGTCAAAAGCTTTCGCGGGGAGAAAGGCGATGAGGGGGGATACGGACCTGCTTTGGAAACGTGGGGTCTTAGAGTGGGATCGGCTTTGGGGATGACCGACGTGTAGATGTCTGTACGCGAGGGTCTTTTCGGGCGTTCGTAAAGGCATTTCAAGCGATGGGATAGCACTGCAGCCAACATCAGCACTAAGGCATAAGACAGAGCTATGAAGGGGCTTACAATCTGGTCCGGGCTGGGTGTACATGGTCCGTAATCTGGCATTGGCTTTCATGACCTCACTAATGAAATGTCAGCGCGGACCTACCAGGAAGGACGCAATACTCACGCTCGAGCACTGGGTAGCATAGCAGCCACCTCAAGCACATCCCCCCACCCCAACGTCCCCAGATCTTTCCTAGCCTTGGCCACCCTCGCCGGTCTTACGCCCGCGAGCTTTGTCAACACCTCTCTCACCATCTGTTCTGACGACTCGATCAGATTGGGCGGGAGCAGTGGGTTTGAGAGGTCTTGATCCGGTAGATTGGGTAGAGTGAGGGATTGTGTTCGGATATAGGCAGTAGCGAAGGAGGTTATGGCTTCCGAGAAGCTTGGCGGTTGGGGCAATTCTGTCAACCCTACGGGCCAGCGCGTCTCTCCACTTCCTTGCTGCCTCTTTCTCTTTCCTCCCACCCTCGCCCCCACATATTCATCCCCGACCACAGTGGGTCTTCCACTCGCCCCCCTGCTCAGTCTACTCTCCCAGTCGCTCTCATCCGACAAGATGATATCCTCATCTTCCCATCTATGGGCGAGCTGCTGGGAAAGGTCGGTCTGTTGTTCGTGCTGGAGATGCTCAAGGAACGATGCGTATGCTGCAAACTGCGAGGGCTGGAGGGGCGCCGGGGGGGAGACTGACATATTTGTTTGCTGCATGTCGAAATTTGTTGACATCGGGTTTGCATCGGGCGGGCGGTCGGCAGGTGATTGGAGGGCGGCGCCCCCCGCCGGGATCTCCCGCTGTTTTCCCCGAGTGTGATTCGGCATCTCGCCTTCTCTTCCATCCCCCTCGGCATCCTCTTTCCATCTCCGGCGTTTCACCGGGTATCAGATAAGATAAATGGACTATCCCGGCTATACCTCCGCACAAAGGCAGGAGCAGCGCCAGAGGGAGGAAGGGCGTGACGACGACCACAGGTATCCCCCGCAAGAACAACAGCAACAGCCGCGGTATGACCCTGACTTGACCGCGTCTGCGCGCAAGAGGGCGGCAGAGGAGGACGAGTCGACCTCTCAGGCTGGGGCTGCTAGGGCCAAGCCGAAAGCGAAAGCATCGAATGGTGCGGGAAAGAGCAAGAAGGAGAAAGAGGGAGACGCGGCGGGACCGCGGAGAGCAGCGCAAGCATGTCTCAGATGCCGGCGCCAGAAACTCAAATGCATCGGCGGCTGGCCTTGCGACAGGTGCCAGAAAAGCAAGAACGAGTGCGACTTTGGGAGACCGGGGATAGTGCCGCCGAGGGAGGGCCATCAGCCTGCACCGGGGACCAGTGAAGCGAATGCGAGGCTAGAGCAGCTTGAGAGTAGCGTCGCGAATTTGCTTGCTGGACTTGCTTCTGCGCCTCAGACGAGCTACCCCAAGAGCGAGGCGCTTCATGCGCTTGAAGCTGTGAGGCGAGAGTCGCTGTCTGCGAATCTTGATAGGAAACCCTCGTTCCCTCCCCCTCCCGAGCCGTCTTTCAATCCCAACATCCCGCCTCCTACGCATACTCGCCATCTCGACCACCCCCGTATGGGCGTCGGAATGGGGTACCCCTCGACTTCTGCCTCTCCCGACGATATCCCGCAACACCACGTCCGATTCACTTCTTCGCCTCATCAGACGTTTGTGCAACATGGGTACTCGCCGTCCAACTTTTCGTCGAATGGGACAGGACAGAGTCCTGCGAGCACAGAAGCGTTTCCGCGGCAAGAGAAGAGGCGGCCTCATAGCAAAATGAGGCAGAGGGCGGAAGAGAGGCTTGCGACGGCTACCGAAGCCGACTATGATGAGCCGCCTTTCAAGCCGCTTGTGTATCAGGCAAGTCTTGTTTGATCATTGTTGATTTTGCTGACGTGTCGTAGCCGGCGGTATGGGACAATCGTGAGGCCTCCCGACGCAATTCTCCCCAGCCCAGCCAGTCGTCGCAGAGTAGGGACGATGGTATTCCTGGCACCTACAGTCGACAATCCATGCGTGCTCGAGATGACCCAGTCAACACCGAAATCATCTCTAGATCTACTGCTATCGTCATGTTTGACTTGCAAGTCTATTCCTTCTGCTACCTGACTCTACTGACTAGATGAGTAGCTATGTCCAACACTGTCACCCGTTCTTGCCGGTAGTCAACGTCTCTCTCGAGAACGCGTTTGATACCATCTCCCAGTCACCTTTCCTGATCTCCTCCATGATCGCCATCGCCGGCCGATTCTACATCAAGTACACCAACCTAAACCCCTCAACATCCCTCCCACCCATCGACTCTTCAGTCCCTCACCGCCTTGCCAATCTCGCAGAGGCCCACCTCGGCGCAACCCTCTTGCGAAAGCAACACGCCCTCTCCGACGTCCAAGCCGTCCTCCTCCTCTCCGCCTGGGGCCTTCAATCCGGCGGCCGCGGTCCAGACGCATGGCTCATCACCGGCCACGCAGCGCGTATCGCCCGTCGTCTCGGCGTCCACAAAAACCTCGCTACCGCTGCCGAGTTGTCTCGTACCGTCCGGCCGGGCGGAGAAGGCTGGGACAAGCTGCAAGCTTACATGCCGCAATGGCGCACGTGGCTCGCTTGGTTTACGTTTGATGGGTTCTTGAGCTTGGGCTTCGGGAGACCGCAGAGTACGCAGTTTGAGACGGTGGATGAATCTGGGTTCCTCCAGATCCGGCTGAATCAAAGCCCACCGAGGCCGGGGACGACACATTCCATGTCGTTGTATGGCGATGTGTACATTGCTGGGCAAGTGCAGCTTACACAGGTTGGAAGGGATCTGATCAATTGGGGTGAGATGCTGGCGGACCCGAGGAGGGCGGCAGAGGCGGAGAAGGAGAGAGAAGCCGGGGGGAGGGATATGAGTGTGAGGGGCATGTTTAAGGAATTGAATGGGAGGTTGGACGAATGGTGCAAACTCTGGGTCTATGGTGAGCTCCCTGCTCTAACGGTTTGGGGGAGTACTGACAGCAATAGCCAACTCTCCGAATGGCCTCTACCTCGGCTCTTCCGCCCGTATCGCCCGCCTTCAAGCCGACCACATGCGTCTCTGCCTCAACTCTTTCGCACTCAAGTCGTCTCCTGAGAAGGACGAGTCTGTGAGCGAGTGTCTGAGAAAGGCGTTGAATGCTGCTATGGCGACAATACAGACGCATCATGAGAGCAGTGTAACGGATATGGCGCTGAGTTTTGCTACTGATGTGAGTCCTTTGTGTACTCGGAGGGACGTTGAGCTGATGGCACGTTTAGTACTTGACAATTACGTTGGCGCAATCGGCCATCTTTCTCGTGCGAATCGCCAAATCGTCTACCACCATCCAACAGATTCTCAACATTGATCCGTCCGTCATTGCGCACTATCTCAAGCTCTCCACTACGCTCCTCGAGGATGGAGAACTTTCCGAGACTCGCGTCGGCACGTATCTCGCCAAGACGATCCGAGATATTGCCCGGGCAGGCGGAATTACCGGCTTAGGAGGTAAATGGGATGAATGGGTCGAGAGTCGACCTGCTTCTCGAGCAGTCTCTCCCCGCGGCCGCGTATCAGCATCCACAAGCGCACACCCTCCAAACTCGGCCGACTCGACCACCCCCGCCCATCCCTTATCCAACTCTCATCAACCCCCACCACTCACCGACCCGACCCAGCCTCCCGACTTGGCGTTCGAAATGAACAACCTCCTCGCATTCGAGAGCCAGTTCAACCTCGACAACTTGTTGGGCCTGCCGGGCGATGATATGGCGTCGGCGTCGCTGGGAGGGATGCCGATTGGGATGGGGGCGTCGGTGCAAATGGGGTTGGGCGGGGTACCGCCTTCTGCTTCGCCCTCGACCGGAGGGGCGGGAGGCGGGGGGACGATGTATGCCCCGCCGGGGATGGCACATATGGGGGAAGGATTTGATTTCGGAGGGGCAGGGTTTAATGAGTTTGGGTTTGGCATGGGAGGAGTGGCTATGGGGTATGGTGGGGGCGGTGACGGGTGGCCGCACAATGACGGGCAATAGTTTATAGATGGACATTGAGCGAATCACGATCGGTTTTTGGTAGGCATAAAAGATCATATAGCGGTACTAGGGTCAATGCATGGCATGTTACATCACAGTATATACCTGGCAAGCTACGTTCTAAATCCCGAGTAGCTTCCTGAGCTCGGAGCTTTGGCGGGCCCAGACCTCCATGGTCATCGGGTTGGGCACGACTTGCTTGCTAGCCTCGATATCTCGCTGAATACCCCTAGGACAACCGTCAGCACGCCAGCTTGGGCGATACCAGGCTATACTTGCCTTTCGGTGAGCACCTTCATAGAGGCCCAGTATTCTTCACCCAGGCCTTGCTTGTGTGCGTCGCTGCCCAGTATTCTTCACCCAGCGCTTGCTTGTGTGCGTCGCTGTAGAAGATTTCTTTGGTGATCTGGGGAGTGCCGACGGGGACTCCAGTAACTTGAGTGAGAACGTCGGCCATTTCGGCAATCGTCAAGACCTCGGAGCAGGCGTGCATGTCTTTGCCCAACTCATGACATCAGCTTCCTTCATGAAAGGCGGGGCAGCGACGAGATGTTGTGGTAGATTCCGGCGTGAACTTGTAGTGGTAGAAATAGGCGAAGAAGGGAAATAGTTTTTCTTCTTTATATGCAAACTAGACAGCCTAACCTTCCAACAGGTTATGAGCCTCGCCTTCCACTAGAGTGAGATAAGACCTGTCCTAGACCGTCTGATAATAGCCAAGGAGCTGCATAATCAACGTTGGATTACAAAATAGGCGTTCCGACGGAAGTGCTCTAGGACAGTGAGTGCCCGGCCGAGTGGTAGTCTCGAAGCCAGGCTTACTGCAGCTGGTTTCTTCAGGCCAGGTTTCAATAAACTAGGCTATCGCTTAGTCAGATCCTCATTGGTGTGAGTATTGTCAGCAGTAGTCTTCCGCCGGGAAGAGCGTAAAAACCAAAGCAATTGTGATTACGTTACTCTCGCCTTCAACATCTATTAGCTCCAAGTAAACCAGCAGTGAGTCCAGGCTGTGCTGTGTCTACGAGCGGAAATATCTAGCCAAATTTATATTCAAGAGTTTTGTTCCAGGCAGTACCGCCACGTTGATTTGTTGCCAGTGCACGTCCATCAACACCGCCATAAACATCAGTCAACATCAGTCTTATCAACTATCTTGTTCTATGTAAACCTCCGAAACATCGATGCCTCCGTAGCTGAGTTGGTTACAGCGTACGACTTTTAATTACTGCTTCTTCAGCGTTTTTAGGGATTCATCGTAAGGTCACGGGTTCGAGCCCCGTCGGAGGCTCTTACTTTTTGCCTTCCTCGTCACTTTCTTTTTGTCCACCTTCTGGTAGCCATGCTATGCATCATGCATGTAATCAATCATTTTTGAAGCCTCATCACAAGGTATGCGGTGTCAGGTCTGACACCTGACATTGGTCTTGCTGTGCCTTCAATTGTTTGCTTTTTACGTTGAATTGTTGCTTTAATCAGGGCCGTTGTGGTTTGGCAATCCACGCACGAAGCCAGTGATGGATTGTTCAGCAGGTATGGCAAAAGTGTACACATCATTTTGCCAAAAGGTATTATAACTAGACAAAAAGACTCAGACGTAAGCGTCCGCAAGGCCCAGCCCAGGATCCAACTATATCGTCATCATCTCTGCTTCATCTCCAAAATATTCTTTTTCTTTTTTTCGTTCACTGTACAAGAGCGTCGGGCTGCTGGTATTATAGCACGGACCAAAAGGAAGCAAGGGCTGGCAATGTGGGGGTGATTAGGAAAGGCTGAAGAGGGCGCAGGCGAACAAGGGGACGAGCGCGGTCAACATCGTTGTGCCAATCCGGCCTAAACAAGTATCAGCCGTGCACTACCAATGAGAAAGAAGAAAGACGTACCAGCTCCACTCGTAGACGCTCCTTGTGCACGTTCCGCGCTCGCACTTCCACTAGCACTAGCCGTCGCTGAAACTCCCTTGCTCGAAGCCGATCCAGCGATGGAATCGGGCGTAGCCTCCGCGGCATCAGAGGAGGTAGGGGCGGGGTTGGAAGCGGCAAAGTCGTTGAGGTTGGGAGCGGCGATAAAGTTGTCCATGGAAGCGCCTGGGGTGAGCATGTCGGGGTTCATGGAGATCATCAATCGAGAGTACCTGATCGCTTTACGTCAGCTTCTTTGAATGTGCATAGAGAGGTTGGGGGAAGACGTACAGGACATTCTCGACGACGTTGTCCTTGGTGACAGAAGCGCTCAAAAGAGAAGACATGTCCCAGTTACCGCCCCATGCCCAAGCTTCGGGAGTCGAGTTGCAAGCGGCTTGGACGGCGGCGGCTGTCTTGGCAGGTTCTGCGCCCTATCATCACATTAGCTGTGGTCTTGGAAAGCAAGCAAGGGAGAATACGTACAGACTTGGACCAAGAGCCAACCCAACAGTCGATCGTGTTACAAGCATCCTTCCCTTCTCCATTACCAGCGGTAGAACTCTCCTTGGGTGCCGAGGACGTCTTGGTGGCTTCCTCGCTCGCACTGTCCGACGCAGAGGACGAATTGGAAGCGGCGGAAGAAGAGTTGGAAGCAGAGGAAGCTGCGGCATCGTCGGCCGAAGGCGGGTTGATCAGACCAAACATGCCCATCGCACAGTGCATACCGACAGTGCAGTAGTGGAACTGGGGTGTGGTGGCGGTGACGCTAGTCATGAACGTCTCTGTAGCATTCACTATCCCACCATCAGCCTCCCCTTCTATTCAGACTTAAGAAGGAAGAAGGAGTACTCACATTTACCAGAGTCGAAAGCATTCTCCGTAGTACTCTTATTACACACATTCTCCCCCTGACTCAACGTCGCCGTGTGCGGCCCCGCGCCCCACTTGAACATGATCTGATCGCCTTCCGCGGCGGTGACGGCAAAGGGCACGAAGCGGAGGACGCCCATGGTGGGCGCGACGATGACGGTGTGGGTTGTACCGTTGGCCGAAGAGGTGGAAGTGGCGTTTTGGGAGGAGGAAGAGGCAGAGGTTTCGGAAGACTCGTATGAGACGGAGGTGGATGTGGCAGAGTCGGAAGAGCCGTAAGAGCCACCACCGAATTGCTTTTGGCACATCTTCATTCTTCATCAGTATCCCACCCTATAGCAAAAGAGGGAAAGGAACGTGGACGAACATTTAAGCAACTGTCCAAGTCACCGGTGTATGAAGAACCAGAGCCGTACTTTGGAGTCTCGTAGGACTTGTCGGCGGTTGACGTCTAGAACCAGTATCAGCTTGGGGTTCAAAAATGAAAACAAAAAAATGGACTTACGATAGTCTTTTCAGTCACTTTAGTAGTCCCCTTACAACCCGAATCACCACACCCCTATCCCATCTCATCAGCCAACATCCCAGATAAAAAAGCGAGAAGAAGAACGTACAGAGTCATAAGATGCCTTGCTAGTAGATTCCTCATAAGCGGCAGAAGAAGAGCTCGACCCGGCTTCGTAAGACCCAGAGTCTTTGCTGGAGTCGTAAGACCAAGAGTCGGAAGACGACTGGTCGTATGATGAAGAGTCTCCAGAAGAAGAGGAAGGGCTAGAGTCGCCGTAGGCGTTGTACCCCCAAGCAGAGGAGGCAGCTTTGTCACTAGACTCGCCGGAAGCGGAATCCTCAGAGGCCATGCTAGATTCGGACTTGTCGCCCGGGTACGGCGAAGGAGCTGCGATGGCGAGCGAAGAGAGGAGGGAAAAGAGGAAGAGCTTGGTGGCGATCATCTTGTCTTTTGCTTTTCTTGTTGATGTTGGTGTTGGTGTATAAAGGAGGAAGGCGAGGGGAGAGCTCTCAGAGCGTACTAGTGAAGTAAAGAAAAAAAAACGGAGGGGCGATCACAGATCGTAGGAAGTAGTCGAGCAAGAGAGAGCGAGGTAAACTATTCCGGGGAGGGTTCTGAAAGATGGCTCAGCCTGGGGTATGGAAAGGTAATAGTATGTAGACAGAAGAAAAGAAAGAGGGAAGGGAACACAGTTCGCCTTGAAGCCGGGTCTCGTAAAGTTCGAAGTAGAGGGGAGAGGGAGAGAGGAAGGAAAGGATTGAAGAAGAGGGAAAAACTGCGGGTGGGGGAGATATATACGTCTTCTTGCTCGAGTAGGCGTGTATGACGGTAGAGAGGGAGTAGAGAGGGAGGGGGTTACGGACCCAAGTCGCATGAGGCCAGCGTATCGTAGATATCTGTTATCGTCGTTGAGATACGGCCAGAGATCAAAAGCCGACTGTCGTCAGGACTGAGGCGGTGCATGCAAGAGAGGGCACGATCGCATACCCCGGCCCTTGGCCGGCTTTTGGAACGGTGCCAAGATAAGCTTGGTACACCTGTTGACCTCCTTGGACTCTTCTGGGTGTAAAGTGACAGGAAAGGGAGGGTTGGTTACCGGTGACGGTCACGTTGACGATAGGTTTGATGGGTTGATGATGTGGTTGCTGTTCCTGTTGTTGTCGATGGACGAGATCTCTTTTTTTGCTAGTGATGACTGGTGGCCTCTGGGTAATATGGTGTATAGACCAAGAGGGGACTAGCATCGTGGTGTTTTGAAGCCAAGACTGTTCTTGGAGTACGCTATTAGGATTTGGAGGTTGCTTGACACATGCACTACACGAACCTAGTCAGGAGTCAGGACATTGGACAAGCAGAAGACAGCCTTGGAAACTAGACTCACTTCTGCAGGCCTTGGTCCTTGGTTTTGGATCATGTTGCAGCCCACGTTAGAGGGTAAGTCGACAGAGAGCCCTCGTCCACGATGATGTCGTCGTGCGGCAAAAAAATCAACCAGATCCAGGTCTATATGGTCGTCGTATCAGCACCTTTCATTCCCCGATACCCATATCTCTCAATCTCACGATGGATACATACTCCACCATTATTAGATCTTGGACAATCATCTCTCGCAATGCGGGCCGGAGATTGTCAGCTTGTAAAGATGAGCTGGGTGCTTTCGGTAATCTTCGTTGCGACCGGCGATAGATATACTTGAATCGTGAGGGGATAGATGCAAGGTGTCACAAGTATATAGCTTCTCCTCATTCCTGCGGCAGGCCATCTTCCTTACCAATGGCCAGCGAAGAACAACACAGTGCCCCCTCTTCAACAACCGTCATATGATGCAACACAGCGATAAGCGCTGCCACACTCCCGGCATTTCGGCCTTTCCAAACCCACTCCACGTGGTTTATTGTAATCTGATTACAAAACAATCGGCGGTCGGCGATCGCCGACTTGTCATTTTGCCAAATAGAATTCGCCTCTCTTCAATTACATCACCCCCTTCTCTTATCCACATTCCCATCCACCCCAAGTAATACAACAAAACAACACCAGCAAAGAAGAAAAAAGAACAACAAGATGATGCGCTCTACCATCCTCCGATCTACCGCTCCCATCGCTTCCTCCTCCCTCCGCCCCGCCGTACGCGCCAGCGCCAGTGTCAGGCCTGCCGTTGGTGCTATTTTCGCCGCTCCCCGTGCGACGACGCCTGTGCAGAGCAGGGGGTATCATGCGAAGGTTATCGATCATTATGAGAACCCTCGTAACGTGCGTCTCTTCCCCCCCCCCCCTCTTTCACCTTCACCCTTGGGAGTTTTAGTGGCGAAGGAATGGTTGGTGTGATTGTGGAGCGAAATGCTGATAGGATTGGAATAGGTGGGTAAGATGCCTAAGGGTGATCAGGATGTCGGTACGGGTCTTGTTGGTGCCCCCGCTTGTGGCGAGTACGTCCCCGTTCCCCCCCCCCCCCCTCTCTTCCAAAAACAAAAACTAACAAAGTACCACAGCGTGATGAAGCTCCAAATCCGAGTCGGCGAAGATGGCATCATCTCCGAAGTCAAGTTTAAAACTTTCGGCTGCGGTTCCGCCATTGCCTCGTCGTCGTTCATGACGGAGCATGTGAAGGGGATGACGTTGGAGCAGGCGGGGATGGTGAAGAATACGGAGATTGCGAAGGAGCTCTGTTTGCCTCCTGTCAAGTGTACGTCTGCTTCTTCTAGGGGAAAGGGGAAGAGGGAAAGAGGGGTGGTGCTGATGGGGTGGATTAGTGCACTGCTCTCTCCTCGCTGAGGATGCTATCAAATCGGCCATCAAGGACTACCAGTCCAAGCGAAACAAGCGCGTCGTCACTGTACGTTTCTTATCATTCCTTTGTTTCTTGTTTTTATTATGGGGCAGAAGACTGACGAACGATATAGCCCGAGGTGATCAACGTATCAACAACGGGTGCGCAGACTGCTACTGCCTAAGTTGTCTTTCGTCGTTTTCTGGCTGTTTTTTTTTTTTGAATCCTCGAGAAGTGTAACATTGTACTGAATGACTGGCGTGCATGTGAAGACTCATGAGGGGATGAGAGGAGATATGAAGGAGGAGTGGATGGACGCGACTTTTCTCGATTCTTTCCACATTGATTGATGGGAGTTTAGTATAGTAGTGGAGTATGGTGGGATATGTAACGAGTATGAGGTATCAATCTGATGATGCCAAGACGGCGCGCTGCATGCCGACGCCGAGTGCAGAGAAGGTCCAGCCGTCCGATATCTTCCCTGGCTGGCGTTCCGTTCGTCATGTCTATCTGACTCGCTCATCTTGGGAGTTTGACGGGGGTACACGCAATCGGGTGTCGGTGGCACCTGAATCAGCGTATGGCCCAAGGCAGCATAGAGCTATGACCGATGGCGTGTATGAACGCGATATGAGTGATGAGAGCATGCATATAACGATCTGCCCGTCCCAGTAAAGTATGCCAGGGACGAGAGGAGTATATGAATGCGGTGAGGTGTGGCGGTGGAGGCAGTCAGGGAGGGCCGGCTGAGCCTGGACTTCTGGGCGCTCTCCAAGAAATGGACGGGGCATCTCTCTCTTGCATCCCTCGTACCCCCAGCCACAGCATACATAGAGAAGCGCCCCCCGCCGCAGCGTGTTCCTTGACCACACACGACAACAACCTCGAAACAGCCACATCTTTTTTTGTCCTTTCTATTGTCCCTTCCCTATAAAACACCCCAACCCAACCCACCCCTCTCCATCCATCACCCACCATGGCCTCCCTCGCCTCGCCCCCCTCCTACCCCCTCGCCATCACCACCTCCCACCCCCACGCTGACCAACCGTCCCCCCTCCCCTCCCCCGGTCCAGCCTCGAGCGCATCAGTATCGGGCAAGTGGAAGAACGTCTTCAAGCTTGGGAAGGGCGCCTCGTCCTCGGTAGGGAGGGGGAAGGAGAACCGCCCGGCGTTACCGTCGACGGCGCCGTTACCGCTCGCAATGCCGACGCCGCCTCCGACTCTTGGAGACGCGCCGGCGCAAGACACTGCGGCGAGAGATCCTAGAGGCGCGCAGTTGCAGCAAATGCGAGCTTATACAGAACCATACCATTCCAAGAACGCCGAACCCTTAGGGGCGGGGGAGGGGGGGAGGGAAGACGGGTCGACGGAGAGCGTTTCGGTGAATCTCGGCGTAGACTCTGGTAGGGACAGGGGTGGCCAGACCCCGCCGTCGGCGTCGACGACAAACTCGGATATGGAGGGGTCGTATTTGGGTACGACGGATGCGACGTCTGTAGCCTCGGTGGAGCGTAATGGTACTTCTCTCACTGTGAGTACCCTCTTCCCACCGCGGGAAGCTGGGTAGCTGATTCATGTCTAAGCAGCAGCAGGGGGGCAAACCCAGAACCCAACCATCCACCGAATCCATCCCCGCCCCCACATCGACATTCTACTCTTCCAACAACGTCTCCAACGACGGTCCCAGAAACTACTCTGACACTGCCTCCGTCTCCACAGCAGACAGGACATCGCATTCGTCCGCCTCTCACGCTTTATCGCCTGATGCTGCTGGTGCGGGTATCTCGACGACACAGGGGTACGGTACGCCCTCGTCCCGCTCGGCGAGTGGGAATTTCGGTATGGGCAGCTTTAAGAGCCGGTTCTTTACTACCCCCATCTCCACTTCCACGTCTACGTCTACAGGCGGTGGGAAGAAGGACAAGTCGGAAAAGTACCGCGGGCTGGGTAAAACCCCCGACGGCCATTCGAGCACCACAATGTCCTCTTTCGCCTCCTCCCACTCACCTTCCACTACAAACTCTCCCCATACCCCCGCTACACCCGCCACCCCAGCAACACCAGCAACACCAGGCAAGAAACGCGACCCCTCCAGCCATTCGTCCAGCTCGAAACGCAACCTTTCTTCGGAAAAGTCGAATGGCAGCATGTCGCGCTTTTTGAGGAGGGTGGTGTCGGCGCCGAATACGAAAGCGCTCTTTGGGAATAACGGTCTCTTCCAAGATGCGCCTGAAGTACCGCCTTTACCCAATAGCTCTGGTGGTGGTAGTGGCAAGCAAGGGCAGGGGCAGGGGCAAGGGCCGGTGGTGATTCTGGGCGGACAGGTGGGTCTGTCAGCATCGCCGATGAACGAACACCTACCTACCGGCTCGCCATTCGGTCCTACGCCGGGTACGACGCCTACTCCGTCACCCTTCAAATCCAAATCCAAAAACCCCAACCAACATCTCTCGCCTACATCCCCTTCCCCCTCCCACGCTCACGCTCAAACGTACCCCTCCCCCTCCCCTTCCGCTCCAGGAGGAGGAGGCGGGTTGACGGTACTGGGTACGAGGGCGAGTCGGGCCAAGACGACGGGTACGAGCCCTATACCGAAGAATGTGCGGGAATTGCAGCAGGGGCAGTTGGGTGTTGGTGCTCCCGGCGGCGGCGGAGGAGGGGTAGGAGGAGGGGGGGAGAGTAAGCATAAGGCGGTGTTTAAAAGGACGTATTCGAGTAATTCTATCAAGACTAGGACTGTGAGTTTTTTTGTCTTTCGTTTGGGATGTGTCTGGGGATCGGCGGGGGTGGGTGTGGGAGGAGTCGTTGATTCTGTTGATCGTCGGCCTCCTTTGTCTCCGTGAACCCTCTCGAGCCGGTCGACGCTACCGTTGTGTCGGGTGGTCTGTATTTTCTGAATGCTGACAAATCACCCAACCCAGGCCGAAGTGACGGCATCATCATTCCAAAAGATCAAGTTGCTCGGCAAAGGCGACGTCGGTAAAGTCTACCTCGTCCGCGAGAAGAGATCCGACAAACTCTTTGCCATGAAAGGTACGCCCTTC